ATCTTCCGTTATACTTGTATGCAATTGGCCAACATAGAGCTTCAGTGGACCTGTGGTGTTTGTAGGACCAAAGCCAAGCGTTCCACCAACGGTGTTGTTAGCTGCACGGTTTCTCTCAGCCAATGTTGGCTGGATTACTAACGGCGCGCCGAGTAATTTCTGCCCATTCAGTGCAAGGGCCTGGAAATACAAATGATTAACATTGGATATTCATAAAACAAGCAGCAAAATTTCGATTGCAAGATTTTCAGATTCATTTTAAATCTACCATTAATGAGATTGGAAATTTAAGAAATTCCATTAGAAAAATCTGAAGCTCTAATACTGGTAAATATGACTTTCGAAAACTATTATAAAAATAGGTTGAATGTCAAGGGAAATTAATAGAATCTGATGATATCGAAGAAATATCTGCAACTAGGAGTCATACAAAAGCATTAAAGTACAGAAGCGTTAAAAAAATAACGAGCAACATTACCCATGTTTTTTAATTTTCTAAAACAACTGCTAACCAAATTAACACTTTCAATTTCCCAAAATTCCACATAACAAATTCCTTTTGATCGTCGAGTTTTCGAATCTGTAATTATTCGCACGTCGCGTACATGCCCAACGCTAGAGAAAAATTCTTCCAGATCACGTGGTCGAGTTTCCTTCGCTATCTGAAGCACTTTTACATATTATAAAAAAAAAGGAAGAAAATGGTATACACTTCATTATTGGACAATGGAAGAATTACCTGTAGTATAAACACAGTACGCTGGTCACGCTCTTCAGATGTCATATCCATTTTTGCGTTTGGAGGCGGCGAACGACGAGCAGTAAACGGCATCCTTAAAAAATTCACGATTTTATCGAACGTAGGAAGTAAAATCCGAAACAAATCAGTGCGCCAGCCCCTCCATGAACCAAACTTAATTGATGGTTAACCGTGTGAAACTTTAGGAACTTACACATCGCGTCTTTCGGGTCCTGGCAGACGTGGTCCACGAGGTGGTGAACGTCTCCATGGTGGAGAGAACCCGCGACGATCACGATGATCAAGCACACGAGGTCGTGACCTACAATGAAAAAATTTCCCAATTTGATTTTTTTTTCTGCATCCGCTCAGCTATCTAGCTGAACAAAATTTTTGAAAAAAGATTTAGTTAAGAAACTAAAGAAATGACCATGACGGGCTTCTTCGCCTGCGCTCTCTGGAGCGTGACCGTCGTCTGCGATCACGTGATCTCGATCTCGAATGTCGTCGCGATCTTGACCGACGATGGCGATCTCTCGAACTATAATCAAATATATCACTGATACTTCCAATGATGTCTTTAAAAACATTATTGTAGCACCTGTTCTAGAATACCAATAAGGGTACACAAAATGGGACAATATTCAAATGTATGTACATAACCTATTCCGTCCTACCATTGAATATTTGCTAAAATATCAAATGGTAGTGCGAGCCAAAACTTTTCGCATGAATGACAAGAGACCACTGGATCAAAAAAACTGGAATCAGTAGTCATCTTCTTTCACGATTCGCAAATGCAAAACGGTTTTGATATTCATTTATTACTCTATGAATTTGCTTCAAAAATTAAACAAAGTAAAAAAAGTACCGCGACCGACGACGCGAATGACTACGCTTCCGCGAGCTGTGTCTGCGCGATCTTGAACGTGAACTAAAAAAGAACCATTTCCAACATCAATGTTCTGATCAGTTTACATCCCGATATAAACATATTTATCATGTAGGAATAGATAAAACACAACACAAAACATAACTAAGATCACACTGCAAATTAGTACCACTCAGCGCTCTGTTGGTCACCCATGTTCTATTGTGAATAGAGAAAAAGAAAAAGGCTATCTAATGCTTGTCATTAACACATCCAAAAATGTAAACCGACTTAGTTTGGATCAGCAGCAACTCAAGTTGGTTACTGAAATCTTTTGTATGCATTTCATCTCTTATCAGCTGTTTACAGGACTAAGAGGAGAAAAAGGCCCAAAAATACTGACCGAGACTTCTTCTTATGATCACGACTAGAACTTCTGCGTCGTTTCTTTTTCTCCTTGTCTTTGTCACGGCTGCGAGAACGGCTACGAGATGAAGATCTGTAATCACGGAAGCATCAAAACAAAGATCAAAAAAAAAATAATCACATAATTAAGTGCAATAATTGTGAGAAACAATCCCTGAAAAGTATTGTAGAAAAACACAAGTCCATTGTAAATTGCAAAATTAAGCTCGCTGGAGTCGAAATATCTGATACTCATGAGACAACTGCAGAAGTGAAATGAAGGCAAAGACTGATCCAGTGTTTCCAATCATCCATAACGCCATATGACATCGTGTTATGCCTGTAACACTTGGAGCGCGCCAGCCTTGACAGTACTTTTAAAAAATTTCAACCGCATCGAACATGTAATTTTAGGAAATACATTTTATTCCGTGAAATTAAGTGATAAGAAAAATGAGACAGGCGGCGCGCTCCGACTGCATTGATAGGCATCAACACATATACGACATTCTCGCGTACCTCATCGTCCACATTTTCAATTCATCCTCATTCAGTTTCCAACAAGAAGCAAACAGTTTCCCGAAACATCGATCGAGCTTTGTTCATCATTATAATGCAGAAGGTATAAGGTGACACAGAGCTGTATCAATCGATTTTATGACTCTACAACGACGATTCGACTTAAATTACGGTTTTTAATTACTTATTATTTCTGCAGTCATTTGTGGCCTCCAGATTAAGTCGTAGACACAGTAGGTCCGTCAAAAAAAAAAAAAAAAAAACATTACATACGGACATACATTACCGTACATTTAGAAATTCCAAATCCTTTACTTCCTGTAAGAAATCCTCACTGACTTACTACCAGAAACTAACGTTAGACGAGTCGTGATGCGCCAAGAATTCATGCAGTGAAAAGAGCGAAATAGTTTTACTTCCGTCAAATCTCAGTTTGGGAAATCCACAACAATCAATGGATAACCCGTCACTAAACGCAAGGTAAGAGGGTAGCAGGGTTAATTCAATTCGGTGGAAAAAACTTGTAACTTTGTCCTATGTAAGAAACGTTTGCATAATCCACTACTAGGAAAAACTACCAGAAAAAAGTAGGAAAGTAGTCTTCCAGAACCACCACAGCTTCTACAAATGCTCGGAGACGCGGTCACCTAACTTGTATAGAGACGAAATATATATTAAAATGACATTGGTAAATGAAAGCACGCACCCATACCATCACTTATAAAAGATCTGGAAATGAATTCCTGCAACAGTTCTGAATTCCTTTCACCCTGTGAGGTGCTGTCTACAAAGTTGCTGAAATAAACATATACTCAAAGATCAACAAAAAAAAAAAGCAAAATTACTAGTGGGAAAAATTTTCATCTGTTTTTGACCTACCTAGACCTGGAACGAGATCGCTTCTTATGTTCATTGCTCTCTTTCTTTTTCTTGCTATGTGACGAAGCCATTCCATCCCCATCCATTTTTTCTGTACCATTGGTTGTATTGTGTTCCTCACTACTTTCGCCGGATGGCTCCTCTTGCTTCATTAGTTCACCCCGTATCAATGCTGCCATTGGTTCCGCGTGCCCATGACCGTAATTTCGATCAGACTGAAACAGAGAAACAATAAGAATTATTTTCTGTAACAGCATTTGCCAGAAAAGTCTTAAAAACGAAAAGTCCCTTATAATATTTGCACTAAATAAATCCTAGAGCTGAAATTAGCAAAAACGTGAACAACGAGTCAACACTGCAGATTATTCCCTTTAAATCATAGGATGGAAATGTCATGAAAAAAAATATGGATAATCTAACAATGCAATCACAAATGGAAGTAGAATATGATCCCAATGATAATGTGCTAACCAATCAGTCCAAATTTACAGAGCTAGAAGACACCTAAAAGCAGCAACGCAATGAAATATTGCACAAAACATAACGATTACTGTACCAACAGCCATTAACGTTGTGGAAGCATTTATTTTCCTTTTTTTTTTTTTTTTTTGGTCCCATCATGTGTTTCCACGCTTCACTTACCCACACCCATAAACAAGTTTACCAATAGTTTTGCAACTAAAGAAACGAAACCACACTTACATCTTCAATTTTATCGAGCGCCTCCTCAAGCATCGCATCAACATCCTCTGGTTCACCCATATTTTTACGCAAACAGAGGAATAACTGTAACACTAAATCCACGTAGAAATTAGAGCTGAAATCAGCACACATCTGAACAACGAATCACACTTTGCAGACTTTTTCTTTCAAATCCACATTACGCCTATGCTCCTCAATTATTTTCCACGCACACCCACGCAACATCCTGGACGATTACGTCATGAAAAAAAGCTGACAACCTAACCGGAATAGTGGACTTGTGCAGACAGGCTACGCTGCAGGAGCAGCGTTACGAACTTTAAAGAAATTGGGGTTCGTTCGTCTGCCTCAAAATGCAAATTTAATCGTCCCCAGCATAAAGTTTTTGAGTTAGGCGTTTTGTATGCTTTTGTTCCGAAAATTATTAAAGTGGCTGTGTGAATTGCGAGTTTATGTCTGTGAAAGTGGTATTTAGTAAATAATTCATTAAGATCGTATAAGTGTACTAAAATGATATAAATATTTTTAATTTTCACTAAAAGACATATGATCGTTGCAATTATGGTTGTATTTAAATTACATAAACTTCTTATACTGCTTTTTGTATTTAATTAGAATAATATTCTTTTTTAATGTAACATAAGTAAATAACTCATGTAAATTGACAATAAATATATTTTATCATGATGATACAAAATGTTGTTTTCATACTAGAATTTGCTTAAGTATGAGTAGAGAAAGTTACACAGGTAATATATTATTCATTGAACTTGCGTTAAAATAAATTTATAAATTTTATCCATAATTAAGATAATGTTAAACAGAATAAAAAAATGTAAATAAGATGTGACATTTTCAATTCATGACTGATTAATATTAGAGAAACTAATAATAGTAATAGTAAGAATCATAAGTGTCATCTGTTGATGTGTTACTTAAATTATACTGTGGACAATAACCACAGGTACGCTTACAATTACGCCACATATAGTAGCTATGACGTCCCTCGACGTAACATAAATGTCTCTTTCTGATACAATCAATTTCAGAATCATTGCATTCTGTTGGAATATCCTCTTCAGTTTCGATATGATCACAAAAGTTACACGTATAGGAACAATCTGTACGCATGTCATGCTGATGCTCAATACGCTCACAAAGATTCCTTCTGTATCTGCAATAGCTCAAGTTATCCGAACAATCTGTAGGTTCGAAATTTTCTCGATCATATACTCTGAAAAATGCAGAAGTTAAAAAAAAAAAATATGACAGTCGATTTATTTAAAAAAGGAAAAGGTATTAAATTTTGTGATTAAGTTTTAATAAGTATGGTATGCTGGCCTAAAATTATAATCGGAAGTGAAATAACTACCTATCAAATAATTGAGCATGTTGAAATAATTAATTTATAACTAGTGTAAGATTTGATATGAAAAGTTTGCAATATTGTTAATTATCGTAAATTTAAATGTTACATCTTATTTTATGTTTATTGCAACGAGAAAAATGAATGAAAAAATAAGTGAAACCTGCAAAATGAACATGTTAAACGACATCTGGACTGCATTACCGCTTGATGCCAATAGGAAAACATGCAGTAATCGATTAATTCAGCGCAATTTGTTGCCAAATCAGCGCAAATATTATTACAAAATCCGCATGTTTCTGGACACAAATCATACATACGTTTAGCAGTTGCTTCAGAAAAACAATCAATTTCCTAAAAAAAAAAAGAAAAAATTAAACGTTTTGAAAGAATTTCATTAATATATAAATGATTACATGCAAGAAACAAAAACAAAAAAATATCAAATTGTATCAATTTATTTCATTTTGACTTATTTAAATTATGTTTTTGTAAAATTTCCAAATTTTTTAATCAGATCTTCCTAGAATTTTTTCTTTTTTTTGTGACGAAATAATAATTCTCTCTCTTTTTTTCCAAATTTTTTCTCAACATTTTATTTTTTTTTTTTTAAATTTGAATTGAACCCGTGTAGCACAATTTTCCTCCTTATCATAACATGTTTTCGTATTGTTCATTCCCTCATAGCACATATGACATGTCCGTCGACAAGCTTTCTTCATATAATTTTCTCGTGTTTTATTAGCATTAATACACCAACCTTTAAGTGTTGGACATAATGGATCTTCATCAATGCACCAATCTAAAATTAATTACAATTTCAAACTGAAATAGTCTTTCCCTTTCATTTTTATTTTTTGTAAGATCTTTTTTATAATTGAGAATTAATATAGAAGCAAAAGAAATCAATCAATTTCTTAGTAATTATTGCTTTTTTTTTTTTTAGCAAAACTATTAAACAAGGAAAAAGGGGTATGTTAGATTTGAAATTAATGTAAAAATGAGTGAATTTAAAATTTAAATCCTGAATTTTTAAATTAACAAATTTTCACCTGGTCTACGCTCATACATAAATTCAAATGGTACCCAATCGTTTCGTGCCACGAAAAATAAATCAAATAGGACAGCAACAACAAATTTGATCATTTTAATTAATTATAAATAAAAGTGATAAATTTCGTATTGTATGATATAAAATTAAAACTTTTTTTAAAGTTATTGTAATGAAATTTTAAACGCAAAATAATTGGGACGAAATTTGAATGAAATCCAAATAATTGAAAGTAATTGTGAAGCAACCGAATCTGATGAGAATACTGAAGTATTACTGACCTTCGCTATGTAATATCCTATTTGTGTGACCTCTCCAATTGATTATGTATGTACTTCTCACCTTGCTACTTTCATTTTCATTGCATTTAAAATTTTCCCGTTTTTTCTTTGCTAAGTTTTAAAATTTTAAGAAGTATCAGAATTTGATTTTTTTTTCTCATGATCATCAATGGAAATTATACAAAACGCAATTCCTTTTGTTAGCATTTGCTTATATTATTTCAATTATTCAATGCTGTGACCAAATTGTGATCAAAAAAAGAGCAAAAGCACTAGGAGAAATTATTATTAATATTAATGCACACAGAGATAAAATTTTCAGACGCGAAAATATTATCTAAAAAAAATTTTTTAAAAAGAGTGACAAATTAAAACGACAGGTTGAAATAATAAATAAGCTGCAAAGATGTAAACAATTAATGACTATATGTAAGGATAAAAAAAAAAAAAAAAAAACTAATCTTTTGAGATTTATTTTACCGAAATTAAATTAAAGTCATTTTAAAAAAAAAATTCCTTTTAGGTGACGATATTTTCACCTTCTCTTATATTTTTTTTCTTTTCTCCTGATAAAAAACGAATATCAATACATCCTAAATGGTTGATATCATACCTGTAACAAAAAAAAAAAAAAGTTAAAATTCAAATTTCAAAACAAATACATTTTTTAAAACTGAAAAAATTTTCAAACATTAAGCTTTAATGTCAATCATTTCTTTCTTCTTTTGGATTAAACACTTTATTTTTCTTTAAAAATTGGGCTACTTCTTTTGCTAAGAAAGCGCCAAATCCAATTGATGAAGTTGTAACAACAATCAACTATAATAAATTTCATTTGTTAAAAGTAATAAAAAAAGAACAAACTCAGACAGTTATAAATATATCATAAGCTGTGGAAATTTTGATGAAGAATTGATTAACTATTTAGATGATAAACAGACCTTAAATGCACCAAATGATAGAGTGTATGGCATTGGATCAACTGCTGAGCTTTCTAAATTGTTAGAATTAGATGACGGTGATGATCGACCGATAAGTTGAATGCGTAATTTTGTCAACAATATACCTAATTTGTTCATTAGACAGTACTGAATTGAAAACCTGAAAACATATATTCATTAAGATATGTTGATAATATAAAAGATATAAAAAAAAAAAAAAAAAAAAAAAAAAAAAAAAACGAAATTCAAACTTAATACAACGTATTATAGAAGTTTGGAAACATTAAAAGCATAATGAAGTATACTGCCTTAAATAACCTTCGTAAGAAATTACCGATTACAAACAATTCGAATTTCCGATAAACTAACACATAAACTGATTGTGATATAATTAAATAACCGATTTTATAAAGTCCTTCTGAGGACTTATATGTAATTGTTATCTCACGTACAGTTACGTCTTCAGCGTCTTCAAGTGAAACTATTTTGCATTGAATTATTCAATAATCTGGACAATATCAGAATAAAAAATTATCATAATTAACTTGGAAAAATAAAATATGAGCATGATGAATTGAATTTTGTATAACTGAATGAACTAATTGATTAAATTAACAAAATTAGTATACTTTTTAATAAATGAGAAAAATATTTCAACTAATTTTAATTATCCCATTGATAGAAAATAAATATGTAACAATTAAATAAATAAATAAACATAAATATCTGTTTGTTTATTTATTTATTCTTTTCTATTTTTCTTTATATCAGTGAAAAGGAAAGATAATTGAAAAGACACTTACTAATCCTTAAGGTAACTCTCAATATTACTTTTAATACAAAATTCGAACACTGAAATGCTAAAATTGCGAATCCTTTGCATCTGATAGACCAAATCGGAGGTTGGATGCAATATGGATAATAAATAATCTAATCTTTTCCATATCGCTTTCCTTCCTTCGTTTCTTACTCTTTCCTTACTGTCACTTTGTTTACCCAAAATTTTATGATTTCTTCATCACGAAGAAGATAGAAAAATTCAATACTAAACTCAATCAAGATCTCGATATTGAACTCATGCAAAAAGGATTGCAAAACTTTTAGCATAGAGCGATCACTGACCGTGAAAATGCAATAAATTAATAATATCAGTAATGAGAATTAACGGGTAATTAATCACAAAAAGTGTTTCGAATTCTACAAATTAGAACAAGAATATTTTTGTACAGTATTAATTTCTCGAAAGAAGAGAAATGCACAATGTAACAAATAAAAAGTTTCAGTGAATGAAAATAAGAGAAGTGCAAATGTAACTTCATTACCAATTTGATTTAAAAAAAAAAAAATTTTACCGATAATTAAATTTGAAAAAGCAATCAAATAAAAAAGAAAAAAAAAAAAAAAAAACGCCAGAAGAAGAACAAATTTTAATAAGATGGGATACTAAAAACTATTCTTCAAAAAAAAAAATATATTAGGGAAAATAAATGGTAAAATGAATGATACCTATTCTCTTATGTGATCCTATTGTATTACCTGTTGTATCTCTGTTGCTTAACAGTGTTTTTTCATTTGGATGAAAATTTCTTATATATTTATCTTAATAAGTTATCAGTTCATTTTTTTGCATAATATTAGGTGAAAAAATTTATGCAACGATTATCGATAAACGATTTTAAACAACAATAATTTTAATCTACGAACAACAAGAGAAAAAAAAAATGTACCATTATTACACGCTAAAGAAAAAAAGGACAGATTCTTTTTGGTTATAATTTGATTATAGAGATAAAATTATAATTTTAAACTTGCTTAAATTAAAATAAATTAATAGTGATAGTAGTTTTGGAGTATTCAATTAAGATATATACAAAAATACCATTAAAGGAATGCTCATGAACTATGTATCCATTTGGAAATTATTTTGAAACATAAAAAAAAAAGCCAAAAACAAAAACTTGAATTTACATGATTGTAATTTAAATTAAATAGATAGAAAAGTATGGCAGAAAAAATTAAAATGTATTATGTTATAAACATATAAGCTTTGCAACTTATAATACTATTTAATCAATATGCATATATATATAGTTGAAAATAAAAAAAAAAATAAAAATTGCTTATTTGTTAGAAATTTGGAGTGAAAGTAAACTTATGAGTTTATGCTGCAAAATTATCGATTTGTTAAATTTAAATTCAAAAAATTTGATGGAATTAATTAATAAATCACAATATTATTGTTTAATGATAGCATTTATAATAGATAATTGAAATTAGTTTGTCATGGCTTAATCTGTTTCAAATCAAAATACTAATTTCATTGCTTTGTTCAAAATAATCGAAATTTAATTTTAATAAAAATGAAATATTAGATTAATGAGTAAGATTTTGTAAATTATTGATAGTGTAAAAACATTTTTTTTTTTCGTTTTTTTTTTTTTTTTTTTTTTGTGATAAATAGAAATATTATAAAGATAGAATTAATTTTCAATGCATGAAATTCATTGTTATGAAATATTTTAATGGAAAAATGGATGGTGAAAAAGTGATGGAAGCTAAGTTTTGATATTATATGATTGTTAGATATAACCGGCATTTTTTGAATTCTTTTTTTGTTCGCAAAAAATGAATTAATAATTAATTCTAAAATTTAGTGCCAAATTATCACATTAATAATTCCATTTTTTTTTTCCTTTTTTTTTTTGCTAGATTGTAAATTAATTAGACTTTTGAATTATGGAAGCATTGTTATGCTAATGGACATTAACATAATTAGTTAAAATTAACAAATTTTTGTTGTAAAAGAAAAAAAATTTTTTTTATTAGAATGAGTAAAATAACAGTGACAATGAATGCATTTATATTACTGACTTCGGATGTCGAAAAATTTTACATTAATTTTAATTAATTTAAGGCAATAAAATTATTCTAAAGCAAAAAATAATGTTAATACCTTTTCATGTCACTTACTTTCTACAATTATTTATAATGCCATGAGCAGGAAAAGCAGAAAAAGAGCCTAGCAACAAATGGGTCAATAGAGAAAGTGACCAAGCTAGTTTGTTCTTTGATCATTTTTTTTTCTAAAACAAAAAAAAAAAGTGAATGAGCCCATTAGCATTGTAAATTGTGTGAAGTAAATAAATGTGATCAAAATAAAGTAAATATAATTAATTTCAATCCTTTTTTTTTTGTGTTTTTACAAACAATTAAGATTTAAATGTAACTTCAATGTTTCATTTTATGTTAATCACAGTTGCATATTTCTAATCATAATGATAAAAAACATTTTCAATTTTAGTTTTGCTTCATTTTTTTTTCTTTAGTATCAATTCAATATCAAAAAAGTAATAATGTAAAAAAAAAAATTATCAATGAATTAGTTTAATAATGAATGAGTATGGTTTCATTTACTGAATTGAAATTTGAAAATATTAAAATCCTTTAAAAAGACAACATAGCACACACACACACACACACACACACACACACACACACACACACACACACACACACACGCAGGTCACATACACATACATACATAATACAACTTATTTTTGTTTCAATTACTTTGATGAAGTAAGCAATATGATTTTGTTATCGGTTTATTGTAAGTATTTAAAATTAAAAATGCTTTGCGTATATTAAGTTTATTTCTGTTTTTTTTTTCCTTTTTTTTTGATATATTTTATATAATAAAATATTTTTTATAACATTTTATATGATAAATTTTCAATTTATGTTTACTGCAAAAAAAAAAAATATTTATGAATAGTTATGCAATTAAATTATCAAAAGTATTTGGTTTTAATCATATCAATTATACTTTGAAATGCTAACTTTAGTAAACCTTAATATCGACAAATCTAATTGTTCAGCATTCACTAAACTTTTATAAATTTCATATATATTTTTGAAGTTTAACGTAAAAATGAAAGAGAACGAAAAATGTTGCTTAATTTTATTTTTAGTTGGTAAAGTTTCCATGGATAAATTTTTTTTTTTTAATTAATTGGCTTTTTTTTCTGAAGAAAATTATAGTCGCTAATGGTAATTATTAAATTTTTTAAAGAGATAAAACATTTTTCGATGTATTGATGTTGGTGTTTTTTTTTTTTTTTTTTTTTTGCTTCTATTATTTATAAATTATTATAATCAACATTCAAATTTCAATTTCAGCAGTAAGATTTCAAAAATCTGTTCCTATTCAATGCGGAAATTTTGATATATAGCAACTTCCATTTCACATACTCAACGAATAATTTTGAATAAAACTCGCAACATGTCGTAATAGAGGTGATCATTTTAACAAATTTTAAAGTTATAATTTATTAAAGTAAATAAAATTAATATACATATACCTATTCAGTTGTTATTCAGTGCAAAATTTATGCTTGGCATCCATTTGTTTAGCAATTGATTATTGATATTTTATTTTATAAATTATCAATAAATTTTGAAAGATATTACATTGTATAATACAATAAATATAAATTCATATATATGCAAATGACATTTTTATCTAAATTAAAAATTTGTGAATATCAGTCATTTCATTTATTCCATCTATCCGCAAAATAAAAACAAAAATTGATATCAAATTAATTGATTAATCTATTTACCCACTTGTTATTTAAAAAATCGTAATCATAAAGTGTTTGTAAATTATGAATTCCAGAAGTTTTTATGATAATTTTTAATTAATATTTTTTCTCAAGCAAAATTTTTATCACTATACTAAATTAATTATGCAATATTACAAATTGTACAAATAAATAATTTTCTTTTTTTTTTAAACTATAATATTAGCATAAGATAAAATTGACACATTAATCAATTCTTTATTTTGCAAATAAAAAAAAAAAAAAAAAAAGTTATTCTTTTGCATCTGATAATAACTACTACATCTAATATTGCATCAATAAAACAAAAACGAATTGTTCATTAAATTAATTTTGCGCAAAAGTGGATCCGCTAAGTCCCCAGAAAATACTTATTGCAAGCACAACAACAGCAATACCACCGGTAGCACCAACTAGAATATAACTTGAATCTGATTCTAATAATAATGATTGCTCATTTTCACGAAGGTAATCTCTTTCGATGGTTGTTAATTCTTCTCGAATTGGATACCAATTACCGGATAATTTATGAGTACATTCAGTATTTTCTAAACTTTCCACTGCAATAATAAGCTGAAAAAAAAAAAAAAAAAAAAAAAAAAAAAACATTTTCTTTTCTTTCTGTTATAAATGATAATATAATTGGATAATTAATAATATTAAAATAAATTTTTTGCAGATGAAAAAGAAAAAGCACCAATTATGTTTGTTAAATTCAGTACTCTTTTAAAGGTTGTTATTACGAAAATTCTATGTGCTATTTGTTGTATTTTATTCATTCAAATTTATACTACAAGTTTAGAAGAAAAAATAAGTTCAAAACAATACTTCATGAAGATCAACATCAGCAGACATCCAAAGATAGCCACCATTTTGTAGGAGTAAAATCAGTTGACAAACAGATGGCAATTCTGGAAGACGAGTGTATAATTCAACATACATATCAATGCTGAGTGGTAGCATAATTTCATAGAAACTATAATTAGCAATGCCATCGAATGCTCGAACGACAAGTTCATAGTGATCCATTGGACATCTGTAATTTTATTAAGTCAAAAAATGAAATTTAAAAAGAGTAAGATTAATGAAATAAACAACCTATCTTGTAGTGAATTTATTCCCTTCAACATTTTTTGTTTTTTGATAATTATCAGGTTAAATCAATATTGATAGCTTTTTCTGTCATTAAAAAAATTTTTGTATGATAAAATCTAAATTCGATTATTGCATACAAAAATAATTTGTAACATAATTGATATTTAAAAAAAAAAAACAGAGATCATTATTTTATTAAGGAAGAAAGGAAAAATAAATAATTGAAATTATTTTACTTTATTATGAATTAAATCAGATTGTTAATTGATCTAATGAAAGTAAATTGAATTAATGATAATTAGAATATTTTAGAAAAAGAAAAGACGATTAAATCTAAATTATTGAAAGGAAACTAACCGATTATTATCAACTATATGTAAAACTTGCTTCTGACCATAACATAATTGTGCTATATTTATAATTGATTCCAAATGCTCCCAGGTGTTTACAATTTGTGCATTGAGTAACTCATGAGATCCGAGGAATGTAAAGAATTCTTCCTGGGAAATATATTCTTGTCAAAATTGTTGAATAGTATGTTGATGATAATTTTGTAAATAATTTCAACAATTTTATTTAGCTTTTTTTGGTGATATTTTAGTAATTTCAATAATTTTATTCTGATAATTTGATAATTAATTTGAATAATTCGATTAAAAAAAAAATTATTTATTCTGAGAATTGATGATCTCAATTGATTTCGGTTAAATGAAAAAGAAAAAATTCTCAAATTTTTTGCTAAATCAATCATTTAAATTATTTGCAATTATTCTTTGATGAAAATTTTAATTACATACTTTATTATTTATATTACCATTATAGAGAAACAATTGTCCATCAATAGCATAAACCAAATGAGGCTTTGAACCATTATGAATTAACTGATCGTTAAAAATAGGACTATTCCGCCGATTATCATAAAATTGATAGGTGAAATGTTCATGCTTTGCTGTCAGATTATTCTGCTTCGAGAATTCACGAATCCATCGTGGTATCTATGAAAAAGATATGAAATTAATAATTTTTCATAAGCCTTTTTTTTCACCCTCTCTCTTCCTCTCTCCCTTTTCTTTCTCTCTATTTTCTCTTTTTCTCTTTTCAAGGAAAAAAAAAAGGAACAAACAAACAAACAAACAGATGAAATTAAACAAATATTAAAAATTTTTTAATACCAAATATTTTAATCCTTGATGGAGAAAAAAATTTTTAAGTATCAGCAAACATTGTCGTAATGATAATATTCATCAAATAAACATTGATAAACATTTAAAAATTACCTGTGATTGTGTAGGATAACATCGCCTAATGCAAATAAGTATCAGAAGCCTTTCATTAAATTCCAATTTTTGCTTGATGGTGTCAACAAGACGTTGTGTTCTACGATCATATACAGCATTTTTGACATTCTTTAAAAGATGAATTTCACTTCCAAAATTTCGATCCCAAGTTTGAATTGAAACACCAATAATTGCTTTCCAAGTAACAACAATAATTAGAACATATTGCACTATGAACATTTATTAATTTTGAGAACTGAAAGATATCAATGTGTTATTGAATAATCATTCTGTTATCAATTATTTATTTATATCCAATTCATTTCAATTAAATATTAATACTAAATTCATAAAGTGAATAAATTTTGTTGATATATTTACTTACAATTTCATTTGCTATTATCAATTAACATAGTTATGGATAAATTTTTTGCTTTTAGAAATGAAAATGTTCGAGAGGAAATGAAATTAGTGATTACAAGAGAAAAGAAGAAATTATGGATAATAGTGCTTGCAATTAGTATGCATTTTTCAGCGAATTAAAAAATACGTAAGAATGAATGCTAGAAAATTAATTTTAGAATCGTTGAGAATAATAATTTTTGTTAGCAAATATCGATGGAAAAAAAGAAATCGATTAGTCATTTACTACAAAGGTTAAAGTTCATTATTATGATATGCCTTAAGTAATATAATGATTTTGAGGGTAAAAAAAATGTCTTTCCAACCCGGTTTCTTTGTTTGTTATTTTATTTTTTCACATTACATTTACTTACACTTAACTGAGATAAAGTTTAAGGTATGCAAGTACTTCATTTTTAATTTTTTTCTTTGTAAATTTATAATACCTTAAAATTGCTTTTAAGGTTAGTTAACTAACATTTTCTGAATTGAAGTCATTAATTGAATAATTTATAAATGATAATAAAGACTTCACTTTTCATATTTATCCATAATTCGCGAATATCAAATATTTGATTATATTCTACAGTAGAAATAATAAGTAATATAATTTAGATTAGCTTTAAAGATAACGAATGAGAAGTGAAGATAATTAAGCAATATAAAGCGTATTTTTAAAACAAAAAAGATATTTACTAAAATAATTAATTATTAGTAATAAGTTAGTTTAGTGAATCAGTTTTTATAACTTTATGGGAAAAATGTTAAAATTATATAACAATTTGGTCTAATATTAAAAGTTTACTCATTAATTTGCCATGATTTTTTTGCAATAAAATGAAATGAAGTCAGATGATTTTACAGCAAAAAAAAAAAATGAACTTTAGGGAAGAATGAAAGTATCGATTGATCAAATTTAGCAAATTTCTATCGTTTATCAAATTCTATACTTTGCTAATGATTTTAATTAACGATAAATTTTAGTAATTAAAGACAAATTGTGAAAAAAGATTTTGTGATCTCGAATGAATGAAGAAATATCAGCAGCTGATAGATTCATTTTAATCTTCTCCTTCCTTCATCTCCTGATCATTCTCCTCTTCCTCTTCCTCCTCCTCCTCTTCCTCTTTCATTTCCTGATCCTTCACCTTCTTCTCTTCCTCCTGCATTTCTACATCTCATTCATCACTTCAAGAATGAAAATCCATTATCACTGTTCATCTTTCCCTTCATTTTAAATTAAACAAATTTAACAATAAACACACACACACATACACACATACATACACACACACACATACATACACACATAAATTGTTATTACTCGTCTTTCGTGAACTGACAGTATACCATTCGTACAAACTAAACCAAATTAAACTAAACTAACTGACTAATTCAGTTGATCGATGGAGATGAAAAGTGGAAACTAAGAAGCTAAATGGGATGAACACCTTTAACGATGGAAGCAACTGATCCAGCAACATTCAGTATTCATTCATTTAACATCCTCCATTCCTTCTATTCTCTCATAACCAATCCTCCGTTTTCTCTATCCTTTATATTATTCAGTATTTGAACATCAACCGTCCGGTTTTTCGCATTTCGTTGATTAGCTTTTTTCAAAAAATATATATTATACATATATTTGTATATGTTATATATTTCAAAAATTACTCTTTTCCCTCAATTAACCATCATTTAAACATCATATTGTATACACAATTGATAAGCTTATCGTTATTATATCATTGATAAGTCTAAATAATATTATTATGTTATGTTTTTTTTTTTTTTTTTTTTTCAATTATTTCCTTTTAATTATTGATATGCAAAAAGGAAAAAACTTGCTAATTGTTATCATAATCATATTTTTAGAGTACAACATTCATTATTGTTTTATCCATAACATTAATCAATTAATGAAATTAATTATAATGAGATTTTTTTTTTTTTTCTAAAGAATTGATAATTTTATATTTGCTTTAAAAAATGGTAGAATGTTCTGTCTATTTTATGATATTTCAATAGTATTCACGAGTTTCGTTTGAAGTTTACATTTCCACATTTGTTAGAAAAGTGCAAAAGAATGAGTCAAAAAAATTTTTCAAACAATAGTTTGATGGTTAGAAATGAGTCTTTCGCTCTTCCCTCATTTTCCATTTCCTGGTCTATGAGTTGCAGTATCCAAATTTTTTTTTTTTCTAAAATAATTCAATTTATTTAATTAGCAAAACGATAGGCGAAAATGAAATTAAAAATCAGAAAAAAAAAAATTTGTTTATTATCAAAAATAAGTGCTTTGTTATTAAACAGCTGAACTTTTCTTTTTTTCCTTTCAATTAATTTCACTACAAGTTTAATTGCTTTAAATTTATTAATTTCGAAAGATTATCGGCTAATATAATGTGTAATATTATATATGAATTTTCATTAATTTAACTTCAACTAAAATTTTACGAATATATTATCTTCTTTACACATTGAACTCCTTTGCGTACAACAATGAGGCGGAATTTAACGTTTATAATGAAATTCTCTCTATGCTAATTCCTTTCACCTGTTTTTCTTTTTCTCTTTTTTTTTTTTTTTTGTCCATTTAAAATAAATTTTCATAAATCAAACTTCCCTCTTTCCTAATCATTAAAATTTTTTAGTATATTACACTGATGAAAATTTGAACGTCTTTGTTAAATTTTCAGCAAAATGTAATCATAATTTCTCTACTAATTTATTAGATTTTATCATCCTTCATTTTTGATCAAATATTGTTTGTCACAATTTTATTTTATAAGCTAAATAATGATAGTTCAAAAATATGAGTTTCAGATGTCATCGTTTATCCATATTACCACCTGCTTATCATTATCAGCATCCTCATATCTATTATTCATGTATCATTTCCATCTTATTGTTATCATCATAGTTTTTTTCATCACTATTATAATCATTTACTTATTATTATTGTTTTTTTTTTTTAATTTATTAATTATTGTTATTATTATTACTATTATTATTAATTAACATTTTCATCACCATACTGGTTGCACGTGAAAATAAGGAATATCATTTTAATATTTAATTTAATTTTTTTTTTTTTTAAATTTTTATCATTACTTGGCATAACTGTATCATAAAACTTAATTAAGGGCACATTAATTTCAAGTATTTAGTTAATATAAGCATTATTAAAGAATAATGTTTATGTTTAAATCATCTTCCAACCAGTGTTATCAATTGATAGTTTTAAAAGATAATCTGAAACATTTTAAGAATTTTAGTTTAACAATAAAAGTTTAGAAGAAAGAAATAGGAGATAATCGATGTGACTGATCACTTAATTAATTAATGTGTGTTAACTTTGTGTTTTTACCATGCAAAAATAGCCTTGCTAGTGACGTAGACGCGTGACACGTGATATATGATGTGTATCTTCTTTTCCATTTACCACATTTCCGTTAACACTTTCCACGTTTTATTCATTATTTTCACAATGACTGCTTTTAGTTTTTTCTTTTTAATTTTAAATTTTAATAAAAAGAGAATTTTGCAAAAGAAGGCAATTAAGAATATATTGCAATGAAGCAATTTTTAGCTACAACTGTGGACATGTTAAAAAGTGCATTGAACTGAGAAATTTAAAAAAAATAAACGAAAAAAAAAAAATTTTTTTGCACAATTGCAGAACTAATTAAAATTATTTCGAAAGGACTCAGTTACTGTACAAGGAAAATGATACGACACCCGAAACGGTGAAAATTCAAAAGTTCTTTATTGAAGCTATAACACAACTAATTATCCTAATTAATTTTAATTAATGAGTTGTAATGAATGAGTAACTCATGAAATAAAACGAACGACAGAAAAAAAAAAAAGGAAAAACATTTCCATTTCTGCTACATTATTTTGCATAACTGAACAAGAAATGTGAATTGTGAAAAAATTGTAACATTGAGATAAATTCAAACCCAAATTTAAAAAAACATTTCAGATTTAGGGAAGGGAAAATAGAAAATTAAACATATCACATAAAAATAAGTATTATTGGTAGCTATTTCACAAAAGAAAAAAAAAAAAAAAGAAAGGAGAAAAAACAGGAAAAAAGTGATTAGTCATAAAAAAAGAAAATAATTGAAAAATAATTTTTTAATTTTAAAAACATTTCAGATTTAGATTGAGAATATTTACGTCAAAAATGATAAACAATTTGTAGTATTTTAATAAGATATTATAAATTGAAAGGGAATTATTGTGAGAGCAAAAATCAAAACTAAACTAATGAAGTTTGAGACATCAAATGAAATCTTTATTTATTAAGAATGAAGTTACACACTTTGTATACATACGAAGATTGAATTGATTTTTACTATCATTGAGGTGAAGTGGAAATTTAGTGAAGAAAGAAAGAATAAGGGAGGAAAACTCTTCCTTCATCTCTCTCTCTCTCCTTTTCTCCGTTATTTTTATATTTCTTTATTATGAGAGAATGTAATAATATTCGTAAAACATTTTCGATTAGTTTTGTCAATAATTTATCAAATTTAAATCTGATGAAAAAACATTTTATCAATAATTTATCATATTCAAATTTGATGAAAAAAAATTTCTAAACATAATCTTTTTGAAAAATAAAAAATAAAAAATAAAAAATTGCAATCATTTTTGGTTAAATTATTATTATTATTTTTTCTTTTTTTTTTTTTCGACCTGATTAATTTCACATATGCACAAATTTTATGGAACAATTTATGAAAAAAAAAGAATGGATAATTAATTACATAGAATTAGAATAATTTAAATTACTCATTCTCTTACGACCATTAATCAATGCATTTGTTATCATTTTAATTGCTAAATGTATCTGCAAAAGTTATATCAGTCATTTATTGAAATGAAATAAGTAATCAAATCATTCTGATAATCATCAAAATAGCTAAATAACACTTATATTCGTCCTTCTAAATTTATTTTTTTCACTTTTTTTTTTATTTTAATCAAGGTTAATATCATTTATACTTATTCATTCATCAATTATTCAATTGTTTATTTGATTTTTTTATCGTTAAATTATTAGGTTATTAATTTGTATATCATCTAGCAAACAATACAATATGTATTTTTTTTTCTTTTCAAATTGCTTAAATATGAAATAAATTATAATCTTCAGAAAATTGTATGAATCCTAAATGTTTATTTAATAATAATTTATTAGTATTTATTATTAGATTTCATGAAATTAATTAACTCTATATAATATCTAAAATAGAAGTAAATGAATTTTTTTTTCTTCTTTTTTTCATTTTTCAGTTAAATAATAAAATACAATAGACAAATAGTATTTTCTTTTCTTACTTCTCTTTTGCAAAATATTTTCAATCAATCAATAAGAGTAAGGTAAAAAATGATATGTGATAACAATTTGTAAACTTTTCAATATTTTGAATGATAGTTGTTACAATGTAAAAAGAGAAATATTAAATGAATGTTCGAAATTCCAAAGAATCATAATTTTAATTCCATTTTTAAATTATAATTTCTCGGAGCTACAATGAATTTAAAGTGAACAAATTTGGTTGAATGGGCAAATTTAATCCAGAAAATGGGAATTATTTTATAGTGAAATGGGGAAAAAAAAAGGCGTGAATTTGCATTATCTACTCAAAGAGAGAGAGAGAGAGAGAGAGAGAGAGAGAGAGAGAGGGAGAGAAAAGGAGCAAATGCTTTGAAATATTCACTATTATGTCTTAAAAATGAATTAAATTTCCTCTTATTACATTCAGTTTGATATTCGTTTTGTTCAGCAATTTTTTTTTTTTTTTCTTTTACATTATTTTTATACCTTGATTTGATAGTTTTTGGATTAAGTTTTACCAAAATTGAAATGGCTACTATTTATTCTCACTTATTAAATATGATGAATTTCTAATATTGTTCACTTAACTACGTATGGCATTTTATTTCTTTAAAATTTAGCGACAACTTTCAAATGCAACACATAGCATAAAATGAAATTAGCAATTTAATTATTTATAGTTTGTGATAATGAGCTTTCATGCTTTTCTTGATGTGTTTCTCGTTGAAAAATTTTTTCTCACTTTAATAAAGGATAAAAATTAGAAAAAAAAAATCTGATAAAATTTAATTATCTATTGTTACTACAATAACAAGTGTTGGAAGAAAAAAAAAAAAAAAAAAAAAAAAACAATGCAAACTTTTGCTTTCCACTATTAATTAATTGTAATAATAAAAATTTTGAAATGTTGTGAAGATGAACTTTTACTATCATGATTAATTAATAATAGAAAAAAAAAAATAAAAGGCTAAAATTAAGTGAAAAAAAAATTGAGTTATTTATTTCCGCGTATATACTTGTTTATATGTACCAAAATAACCACTCTGTGAGATTATTATTATATTATTTCTGTTATCAATTAATTTCTATTATTAATTAACTGTAATAGTAAGAGTTTAGGACTTTTTTCTTCCTTTTTTCTTTTTTTTTACTACAATTGAAATAATAAAAAACTTTAAAAGTAAAATTTTTTTCGATTTCTATTATTAATTAATTGTAATAATAAAGAGTTTAAAAGATAAAAAAAGAAAATGTAGAATTGTATATTTTTTACCATATATTAAGTAAACATATGATAAGATAATTGCTAATCTTTATTATCACTTATATTATTTATATTTTTACTTAAAGTAAGAAAAAAAAAATTTAATTTCATAAAATGACAATTCAATTATTTACCTTTTAAAATATTGAAATCGTTATGTTTATGTAAAAGAATTAGTGATAAATGATATGAATATGAGATATATATATATATTATTGTTCAATAATATTATCTATTATTGTAGTTAAAAATATAAATGAAAGGTTAGTGAGCTCTTAAAGCGGAGGACATTTTTGATAGTGGAAAGAATGACCTTCAGAAATATCTCTCTTTCTTCGTCTCTTTCAACAACATTTATTTTTTTTTTTTTTTTTACTGGTGACTGCTGTTGCCTGTATCTCAAGGACTTCCCCCGCTCTTTCTCTCCTACCTCACATTTACCATCACTCCATCCCCGGCAAACTTCCATTATTTTATTTTTTGTTTTGTTTTTTTCGATTCTTAGATCATTTTAGGTTTAATCATGTATCTTTAAAAGCGTACGTCGTGTACTTTTACTAAAATATCATCAAAATACTTTTATTAGTTATTCATATATACGCTTACAAGTATAATATCATTCACTTATTTAATTAATAGTATTAAAAACTTATAATTATTTTCAAATTATCTTATCAGTATAATTGATATTTTTGTTTTAATTTTTGAATTTTTTAATATTAGAATTAATATTTAATGCAGTGTATTCATTATTTTTAGCATTATTATTGCAAATTTGATGATATAATTGAATTTTCTCCTCTAAAATAATGTTCATTATATGATCTATTTAATTTTTTTTTTTTTTTTTTTTTTCAACATAAATACTTTTTGTCGTTCTTTTCATCTTTCAAAATTTTCTCTAATAATTGATCACCATTTATTAATGTTATGCTAATTTTATTATAATTGTAATTGTAACAATTAAAGAATGAGCAAATATTTTATCAATGTAAGGAAGAGAAAAAATTATTGTATCTTTCTTTGTTCATAACAAAAACATTTAATCGATGAGAAAAACAAAGAAATGAATGAATGCATTAATGCATGTGACAAATAGCATTAATTCATTACAATTCTAAATGCATTATGCTACAAATGAAAAAGTGTCATTGCTTATTGATCTTTCACTAATTACTAATTACTTATGATTAATGTAAATTATTGAAATTGCAGCATGAAATGGTTGAAAAAGTTACAGCACCGGAAACAAAAATAGCAACAACCATATCGAATAATATAAGAAATAATATCTTTGGACATGTATCACCGCTTGTTGGCCGAAATAACAATAGCAATCATTGTTCATCACCTAAAAATAATTCGACGTCGGTAAAACGATCGTCAAGGTATATTTTAATTAATTATGTAAATTATTTCAAAAATGAAAAAGAACGAAAATTTATTATCTTTTTAAAATTTGAAAAAAAAAAATTTTTTTTAAATTAATTATCTCTTTACTCTATCATTCGTTAGTTAATATTATCATTAAAAAATAGATAAATTGAATATTAAATTATTGTAAGTGATATATTTCGGCAAATAGTTTGTACACTTCTATAAGCATAAAATCATTATGTATTATCACGTATGTCGTCTTTTTTTTTTATCTTTGTAAAATATAATGCTTTATTAGTTTAGTATTAGAAAATGTCTGTAATTTGCAAATTTCATTTTTCTCTAAAAAAAATCTATCTGAACTGCAGTGCTGCTGTTTTTGAATTTCCTACTTTTTTTTGCGATTATTTTCCAGTTTCATTTCCATTAAGAAGAAACAAGAAATTAAATTAAATTAAATTAAATTAAAATGGCAATTTCATTGTTTATTTCTTTTTTTCTTCTCTTAAAATTATTTGTTTGAGAAAAAAAAAAAAAAAAGATTTGAATTATTCATTTCAGTATTAAAAAATTAATCGATCAAGACCATTTCCATTATGAGAAAGTAGAATTAGGATCAATTGGTGTTACATTGATCGCTTATGAACCGAATGCTTCATCACCTACCGAACAACTTCTATTGCAAATTGAAAGTTCCGGCCAAAAATGGTTTCAATTTTTTTTTTTAAAAAAAAAAAAGAAAAAAACTTTTAGATGTATTCGTTGAAAAATTTATGGCATATCTTTTTCATTCATCAAAATAATACAAATAATCGTTTTTAATATCAGTTATTTATTGAAATTTTTTCAGTAATTAAATACATTTAGACTATAATTGCAAAAAAAAAAAAAAGATATGTCGTTATTGTCATTTCTTATTAATTTTTTTTTTTTTTTTTCTCGGAATAAAATAATTAGTTTAGATAACTTTAGTCTCTTTCTCTCTCTGTTATTTCCACTATTTCTTTCCAAATAATTTCAACTTGTGATAGAATTTGAATTGTTGATAATTTCTAAATTTAAATTTACAAAGGAAAAAAAAAAGAGAGAGAAAAGGAAGAATTTAATTGAATAACATTTTAGGTGTATAAATCGTAGCGTTGATCAGTTATGTGAATTTGATCATCAATTACATCGTTGTGTATTTGATCGTTCACAGAGTCATTTAAAGGAATTAGCATCAGAGTTAAAACATTGTGATCCAAAAAATGTTCAAAGGCAAATTCTTATCTATTTGCAACAATTGTCACATATTACTGGCAATTTGATGTGTTGCTATTCCGTTTTGAAATTTTTAGAGGTTTGGTTAATTTACTTTTATTTCTTTTTTCGTCAAAAAAGAAAATTATTATGCACATAATGTATTAATTAATTAATGTCTTTTTTTAAAGTCTACAATTATTAAAATAATGCAAAATTAGGTAATCAATATTGTGTTCAGATAAAAATAAGAACAAAAAATCTTTATACAATTTTTTTTTTTTTTGCTTTTTCAATATTTCTTTTTTGATTCTTTTCCTAAATATGTCATATTTTAACTTTTTTTTTTCTTTTTTTTTACAACAAATGTGTAATTTAAATTTATTAAATGAATGCTGATTAGTATTATTTTTTTCTATTTAAAAAAAAGTTTTTACAACAAATGAAAAACTATCGGTTAATTTGATTTTCTATTTCAGATTGATAGTCATGGAAATCGCTTCCTAGCAGCCGAAGAAACTCCAATAAATACACCAGCTATAGCAAGCGCAATTGTTACCAAAGATTTTAAAGCAGAAACAGGTGATCAAATTTCGTTACGGGTATGTTTTAATTCATTTATCGACTTAAATAGTTCAATAATTTACAAATGAAAATGTCGAAATTTTATGCGTACATTGTTCCGAAAATCCGAGAAATGTTCAAATTTCCAGTTGATCTTGATCTATTACTATTATCGATTTATACTTTAAGAATAATGTGAAATTATTCTGAACTTTTACTATAACTGATCAGAACAAGTAATATTCATAAATGAGTGATTAGACTGTTTGTCATTAATGTGTGGTTTGATTATTTATGTTGAAATTAATGTTGTCATCTACTTGGTAATTTTGTAAAAGTCTTTTTAATTACAACAAAAAAAAAAACGAAGTAATCAAATTTGCAGAATTTTCTTCTGGTAATTTTAATATGCAAATATACATCTATGCTATTTTAAATGCAGTTTTTTTTTTTTTTTTTTCAATTTCTAAATTTGTTAAATGTTATCTTGACGCTTCGTTGTCATCAATTTGAGTTAAGAAATTGTTGAAAATGTAACAATTTTTAAATTGAAATTTTGATAAAATAGAATAATGTATGAAATTCTTTGATAGAATAAGAATGGAAATAGGATTTCGAAATGGTATTGATGGTATTGTAAAAGTAATTCAATGAAAAATTGTAAAATTTCAACTTTACATAAATCTTCTAGAAGATTTCAAATAGTATATAATTATATAATGAATAGGTATGAATATATTAATTCAGTTCGTTGTGAAAGCATAAATTAAATATTCCTGAAATATAGTTGGTTCTTTATATCATTTCAAGGTTATTATCGAACCAAGAATGATGATTCCATTCAAATTCAATACAATTAGTCCTTCATCTGTCCTTTCCATTCATTTCATTTTATCCAACAACCTGTATGTACCTTTTCTGCTAATAATTCACATCCTTTCATATTTCCCGTAACCAGCAGATAATTTTCTTCATTTGATCAAAAATCTTTTTTTCTTGTAAATTTTTAAAAATAATTTCTGATATGCATGAATGAACAAACTGTCTCTTTTTTCCCACTTCTTTTTTTTTGCCCAACTATTTAAATTTAAAATTTCTTTTGAAATAATAATTTAGTAATATGTTTCATTGAATAAAGGATTTTTATTTTTTTTTCGATTCCAGAAATTTTTTTATAATTTCATAGCATATATCAAAAAGTTGTAGTACATTAAACAATTCTTTTCTTTTTCTTTTGTTGCTGTTATTGTTTTCTAGAATTTTTCCTTTTTTTTTAATGCAAAATTGCAGTAAATTAGTGCTACTTAAAAATTGAAATGTTCAATTTTTAAACAAATGAAAGTATTGCACCAAATTGATATAATAATGACATATTTTCATTAGAATGAGTTAAATTCAAAATTTAAAATAACAGATGATAAAAATTGCTGTTAATTGATATGTCAAATTTTTTAAATTCCAGTTTTTACACTTCATGTCTTGTTCTTTGAAAGCATTAAATTGGTGATTATATTTGAACGCAAAATGGTACAATGATCTTTTCATTTTTTTATGTCAATATTTAAAAACTTTTTCCTTTTTTTCCCTCTTCCTCTCTTCCACTGATCTTTAACTTCCATTTTACCACTTCAATATTTTATATTTGCAATAATGAAAGATAATCTTTGTTTCAAGGATTTTTAATTTTTATACAAAAATTAGAAAACATAAAATTTAATAATTTCTATCATAAATGAATATATATATATATATATATATATATATATATATTTTAATAATGTTACTTTTATTTTATCTTTTTTCCCCTCATGTCTGAAATTTATTGAAAAACTTTTTTGCTATAATTAATTTGTTTTGCTTGATTTTATGAATCATTTTCATAGTTATATGAGGGATGAAATAGGATCAGATTTATTATTTAGCATTAAAATTACCTGTTTGCTTATTTTTAATAATACGTTATTAAGCTATTTGCTCTTTTTGCATATTATTATATTATGAAATTTTTGTTATCGTTAAATTTATTGTAATTTAATTTTCGACTGTATTATTGAAATGAAGTAAGTTACCCAATGTATAATTATTAGATTTTATCATTTTATCTCTAATTTCTCGCTGATATTTTTTTTTTGATGTTATAGAATTGATGATTGATTACATTGGCCGTTGAATGGATTTTCTTTCCAATTATAATGATCAATTAAATAATTAATTTATTTTATTTCAATCAATTTTAATTTTTAAATTTCAAAAGATAAAAAAAAAAAAAAAAAAGAGTAGGAAAACGAAAAAATAAAAAAGCAAAAGCAAAAAGAATTACTATTCTTTATTACGAATGCTCCATATTGACTAACCATTGTAAATAATGATAATATGAGATCGACAGTTGTTATCTTCTAGTGTTATCCTGTAAAGTGATCTAACGAAATGAACCATCAAATGTTAAATAATGATTGGAAGTAACGATTTTGGTTAGCAAATCTCTTTTATTGGTTATATAATTCAGTTTTCATATTTTGATGTTTGTTGTAACCAAAAAATAAAAATGAAATCATTGTAAACAAAAATTAAAAAATAATTTTTAGTTTTAATAGTAATAATTTCTATTACACTCATATCATTTCCTCACTTGAATTGTTAACTCTCTTTTTTTTGTTTGTTTGTTTGTTTGGGATAAAATACTTTAGTTAATATCTTTCTGACTTTTTTTTTTTTTTTTGCAATTTATTCAAAGTTTCGTAGAATTGATGATTGATTACTGGTTGTAGAATGCATCTTTTGCCTATCATGGTGACCTAAATGATCTCATCACAACTTGTCATTACGCCTAACTGTCCGGAGGTTCTATCGCTTATCATCATTGTAATCGTTTGTAGTTTTTGCATCATGTGATCGTCAATACCATTCTCAACTTCACTCTGTTACAGGCTATTGAATCAGTTTTTTTTTTTTTCTCTTTTAAAACAAAAAAATTAATATTTCAAAAGAATTTTTTTTTTTTTTTTGAAGACCTTTTAGATTATTCGTAATGATACATTTGTAAATAAATGATAGTATAAAGTATTTCATCTCAAATATGATTGTTAATGTTAATTTCCTACAAAAATTCTATTGTCAAATTGCATTTTAATTATGTTATATTCATTAACGGATGAAGTTATCCAATTAAGTATTAAACATTTGCACATAGATTCTTTTAATTTTGTTGTTATCTTATTTTAATCAAATTGATACCATTATCACAAGGGTTAATTTTGATTCATACGATTTTTCACAAAAAAAAAAAGGAAAGAATAAGGCCAAAGTAAAAGTATAAATTGAATATTTATATTTAATTTTTTTTTTTTTTCATATTAATATTTCATACTATTAATAGTACTTTTTCACTTTTAACCTTATTCTTTTCATTTTAAAATAGATTGATTAGTTATAGATGAAATGATTAAATTAGAAAATGAGATAATTTAGTTTAAATTCGTTTCAGTGAATCTCTATAAAATATTCAAATTTATAAAAGTAAGAAATACTCTAAACTCTAAATCCATTCATATATGTATTACACGTAGCTCATTTTGTTTGACTGTTTTACATGAAAGATTTATCTGTAAGTTGAAAATGTATAAATAACTTTTCTCTTACTTCTTTATACTATTCAATTTATATTTTTGTTTTATTCTTTTTTTTTTTTTTTCACAATGATATTAATTTAAACTTGTGGTACCTATTTGAATCTATCTTACACTCATACATTTCCTTCTCAATGATATTTATTTATATTAGCATTAATTTCTTAAATTTTCAGTTCATTTTTACATATGTAGTAATGATAACAGACAAACAGACAAATTAGTTCATCTATTATTTACTAATTGTTACTTTATATCGTATTGTATTTCTTTAAAAGTACTTATTCCATTTGTTGTTCAATAAATTTACATCACATTTTTTAAAATTAATTGAATGTTATTATCCTATAAATGCTATAAATATTCATCACTTGCTGTTTTCTTAAAATATTCATTGCTGACATATCACTTACTATTTGTTACTTATAGAACTTTTTTTCTTTGAATTTTCAAATATTTTAATTATTTTCTTTTTTTGTACTTCCAGGAAATAACTCTCCTGTGAAATTTTCATAAAAATTTCTTTTAAAAACCTTTTTCTGTAAAATTATGGTTATGATATAAGCGAATGAAAATAAGTGAGAAGGTGTATTTCTCGAGACTTTTCAAAATTTCAGGTTGGTGATATAGTATCCATCATCGAAAAGGTGACACCCTTCAGTAACAAGGATAAATCGTGGTGGAAAGCTAAACTAACAATTGCTAAAAACGAAAACGGCAAAATTATTCTCGGCAGGAAGTTTGAGGTTTTTTTCAGGAGTATAAGAATTTATAACTTCAAAATTTTACATAAATCTTTTTGATGTCTAACGGTTTAATTAATTAATTACCTGACAAAGTCATATGAAGACAACGGAATAAAACGGGAGTTTTTGCTAAATTGCAGAAATCTGAAATAAAAGAATTTTCGGCAGCTTTCGATGTGCTTTTCATTTGAATAATACTTCGTTCCTCTAAGATAGATAAATATACCTGGATAAATTCACACTTTTGTAATGATTATACCATAGAGGAATGAGGTATACTCGAAAACATTTTTGAGAAATGTAGAAGAAAGTTTTCGTAACAGGATTGATATGTAAATTTAGTGTACAAAAAATAGAAAGTGTATTTGAATGGTACTATAAGACCTATTACTTGTCGGTACCAAACAATGCTTTCAATCATACCTACGTACGTTTAGAGTATTTTAGGTCGGATTATTTCCGAGTGAGTGCGTCAAGATATTTGACGACAAGACAGGACCACCGGCTGATCAACAGCTACTTTCCGCAAAAAAGGACGCAGTTGTCACTTCTAGCAATGGTCATACTTTCTTGAAACCAACCACAAATTTGACATGTGCGTCCAAGAAATCAACTGGTTGTCATCCACCACGACGAGATCGTTCCCTAGTACGAACATTTTTACGAAGGCATGCGGAACGACAAACTCCGCTCGTCTTCGGAACAGATCTTGTTGAATACTTACAGAAAACCGGTGAAGATGGTTAGTTTTCAATTTTTAAATTTTTCATGCAATCTATCTGAGCTTTCCAGATGAATGCACTATAGCACGTACAAATTGCATAATTTGCTAATTTATATGAATTAATTAATTATTAGATCTTATTTTTATAGTGCCATTAATATTGAAGAAATGTGTGGAAGTGATCGAAATGCATGGTATTGTTACTGGTGTTTATCGCCAATGTGGTATACAGTCAAATATACAAAAACTTAGGTTTCATTTTTCATATTTCAATGTTTATATTCCTAATTCATTCATAAATTTTCTGATTTCAATCCATCTACTATTCACTTTTTGTTTGCCTTTTCTCGCTTTTCAAATTTAGCAAAGATAGAATTTAATGCTTTTGATTTAAATTCATTTCAAACTAAAACTTCAATTTGATCGATTATGCTATAATTTCAGGAATGGCTTTGATTCAGGACATTTACCGGATTTGCGGGATGAAGCAATCTTAAAGGATATTCATTCAGTTTCATCACTTTTAAAACAGTACTTTCGTCAGCTACCGAATCCATTATTTACATTTGAGCTTTATCCGGAATTTATAGTAAGTTAACATTGATAGAATTAAAAGCAGTGGTTTACAGCGAGATTTTTTTTTTTTTTTTCATAATCAACTTGCATGATTGAATTCTAAAGAAATCTATGAAATTTTTATAGCTTTGTGCATATTTACTTGTTGTATGTTATGAGAATTCATGGAATGTTAATTCAGATCATTTAATAGTTTTTAAAAATTTAATAGATTAATTCAGATCTAATAATTTTTCTAACTATTATAATTTTAGTCGTTCAAATTTGCATAGTTTACAAAAATTCATATCTGTGAATTCATAAAGGTTAGTTCCAGTAGAAACTATTCATTAAATCTTAACTAATATCAGTGTGTTATCATAGGGTGCATATGAAACAACTGATGATGAACAAGCTAATCGATTTAAAGATGTCATTGGAAGGCTACCACGTGAACATTACAGGTTAACATCATTTAATTAAGTGACCATCATATAATCCCTCATTTTTACGTAGCGAAAGTTTTAAGACATGTAACATGAATGGTATCTTAGCAAGAAGATACGTACATAATATTAATTTCGTCATGTTGCAATTATATATAATAGAAAAAAGGAAATAAAACAGTTATCAATGCTCTTTGACAATAATTTCATTGCTCATCTCAAATTTAATCAAGTTAATTGTAAATAAGTATTATTTGATTATTATTTGAGGTTAATATTATAAATTTTTCTTTGAAATTAATATACGTTTTAATTCTTTTCAGAATTAACAAATTTGTTGACGAATTTGTGACATTTTTTTTTTTTTTAATTTCAAAAGCTTTATTTCATTTAATAAATGGTTTCTCATTCATTATTTTCTTAATTGTAGGACAGCAAAATATTTAATTCGTCATCTGACTAAATTATGCCAATGTACTCATTTGACAGATATGAATTCGAAAAATCTTGCAATTGTTTGGGCTCCAAATTTGTTCAGGTTTTTTTAATTTACTTGTAGTTTTTTTGTTTTTCATTTTTCACTTTTTTCTTCTTTTGCATTCATGTAACATCTAAATTAAATTCTTTCAAAAAATTTTTGTTTTTTTTTTTTTTTTTAAATAATCATTTCAGATGCCCACCGTGTATTGACGACAATTCTGGTGGCAGTGATTCATCACTTTTGCAGGGTCTGAATGCGCAAACGGGTCTTTGTAATTATATACTTGCCCATGCAGTTTACCTATTCTCACTTGAAAATGATTCCCTTTCACTTCCAGAAAGTTTGTTCTTTTAATATACAAATATTACTTGTAATAATTACTTTTTTATTTTTCTATAAATTATTTCAGGGAAGTTATTAATAGTAATATCAAAATACCTTGCTTAGCAAAAATAATAAATGAATGTTAGACAGATTTCTTGAAAAAAAAAAATTATAATTTTTAATGTTTCGTTCAAACATATATATAAAACATCTAAATTGTTATATTAAATTTTAATTATAATTATTATTTAGACATATTTTAAAGCAGTTACTTTTTTAGGTTGTGATTCTCATATGAAATCATTAATTAAAACTAGTGAAATATTTGTTCTATTTTTAGATGCGATAGGCAGATCATCAGTATCATCATGTAGCGGTGGTACCCTATCACCAGATTTGGATCGTCGTCGTTTTATTGATGTTAACGGTGGACCAGCGACATTGCCAACATTTCATACCATTATCGAAAAACCACGACACAGGTTGGTGGAATGCTGCTATCATGCAAGAATAGCAAGAATAGAACGGATACATGTTACTTAACACTAAGTTAGTCTAAGATTAAACATTCAAATTTGATTTGATATTTTAAATTTTGAAACTTTTAACTGAAAGTTGTTTAAAATATGAAGAAAAAGTAACTTCAAAAATGACAATATTTAATATAATTTTTTGTGTTTGCCAAATCAGAATTTGAGAATAAGATTATAAATTAATGCAGAGAAACAAGTGCGCATCCTGGTAGCAAATGGCGACGTATGTTACGTGGTCCATCAATGGATAATGCATTTGCTAGCTTACGTACACGATGGAAAAAACATGGTGAAGAATATTTAGACAATGATAATTCTACTAATAGTGTGAAGTGGAGAAGGTAAAACATATTTTACTTCAATTTTTGTATTCATTATAATTGGTTTATTATTATTTCTAAATTAATTATTTATTATGCTTCATATATGCATCTTTTTTTTTTTTCTTTTTTTTTTAGAAGTCCGTCAGATACGCGATCATCATTACGTGCCGCACGTAGCGCATCGCTAATCTCATTTGTTACAAAAAGTGTTGAAGAATTTCGTAATGGTGTTTTACGAAGTTGGCGGCATTGTGCACCAACATTACGTGATGATTCGATAACAAATGGTACAAGTGAGGAACAACATTCGACTGCAACAGCAGTTGCAACAGAACTTGTAAGGCGTCGAGGCTTGACAAGTTTTTTGGCTAACGATCAGCAACCATCAACAGTATGCAATAACTATCTATCACATATTAAAATGACCATGTTTTAAAAGATTTTTTAATTTTAAAAAAAAAAAAAAAAAACTAATGAAATTTTATATTATATAATTATATCTTTCTATAAAAACCAAAAAAAAAAAACATTTTATATTTTTTAAGAAGTTTTTTTTTTTTTTTTTTTTTTTGTTGTTTCTTTTCTAATTTGAAACTGCTTACAAATCTTACTACTAAACATCACTGTTTGTTGCTAGAGAATATCATTTAATCATATAAAATTATGTTGCAATTCTAATAAATTTAATGTTCAAAAAAAAAAAAAATTTTTTTTTTTTCTTGAATCTTTAAATATTTGTGCAAAATCTGAAGCATTATTAATAATATTTATCATATATTTTTAGTCGACAGATACTAAATTAGCATCAAGTATAAGGGGTAGTATACCGGAAGCATTTTCGTTGGATACCAGTGATTCCGGTAACAGTCGACCGCCTTCCGTTACTCAGTGTGTCTTTTATTGTTATTGCTGTTTTTCTTTTATTTTTTTGTTTTTAACTTTATTTTTTCAATAGAAAATTTCCAGTTTTTATATGAGAAAAGAAGAAAAAGGAAGAAAGAATATATTATTATTATAAGTTTGATTCAGTGATATATTTTAGAAATGACTGTATCGATGATGGTGTAAGTTTGTCATCTGATAGTTATCGCTTTTTTGGATTCTATGAAGATGAACAGCAATCAGAGGAAGGTGTAAATTTACGAGATATTAAAGAAATATGGACAAAGGACAGTGCTGAATCTGAACATAACTCACATGTAGCATTTAATGTGAAAGCAATAAGAAACAAGAAAAAATTGTCAAGAAATGAAGCGGAAGATGATATGCGATCATCTTCAACAGACGAATGGTCTGATGTGGCCAAAAGTAATTGTAGTAGTAATACTAGTAGTAGCACTGGCTCATTACATAATGATTGTAGTCGATATGATAATGTTCCAATAGGTTTGTTTCATTTTTTTTTTTTTTTTTTCAGTTTAATTTTTATAAGAAATGATCAATTAGTAATATAATATAAACAAAATGTATAATGTTATTGTAGAAAGAAAAAATGAATCAATAAAATTATAATTGAATAATTCAAACAATTCGATTGCAACATTATTTTTTATTAAATAATAGATTATAATTATTACAGTTTTATGAAATTCAAAATTCCTCTAATTTTTAAATTAATTTGTAATAATGAAAATTTATTAAGAATTATTATTTTTACATTTCTTAAATGAATATTTGTTATAGGTGAAGATGCTGGTGAAGGACGTTATGTTGAAACACCATTATCGTTTTATGATTTACCACAAAATAATGTCAAACCTGTTCGATCAAATGTTCAGTTATACTTTTTTTAAATGCAAATATGTTATTTGAAATCGACCTTTATTGTTTTGTTTCCAAAAATAAATGGCTTTATTCAGTTTCTCTTTTCTTTTTTGCTACATTACACTTTCAGATTAGTCGAATGCATGAAATGTAAATCATTTTTGATTAGTTTAAAAAAAAAAAACTATTAATGACAGGAATTATACATTAAATTGATTGCTTCGAAACATTCACTAAATGAATTAATTCATTTATCATTTAAATCAACATTTCTCAGACATAATTCAGATTGACAAACAGTTTCTTATCATTGGAAAACGAAAGAATTTCTTGACAAAAGACTAAATTACTTCTTTATTTCAGTTAAAAACAAATCAGTTAATTAACTGCCTTCTTTTCAATGGACAACAGAAGATAAACACTTATTCGATGGAACTGATCTTAAATATATACTTAAGCATCAGATGATCTGAAAAAGAATACCAATACAATTAGAATGATAGAAAGTTAGAAATTAAAAAAAAAAAATCAAATTTATAAAAATTTTTTTCAAAATTTTTGAAAAAAATAATATAATTGATCAAATTTATGCTAGTGTTGGTATAGAAAAAAAATGTTCATTCAATTTAAATCTGCAATATTTGCATCGAAAAATAATTTTCCTTTTTTTTTTTTTTTTTGTTTGTTTGTCGCCCAATTCGTAACAATTACTTTTTATTTCAAATGTTTCAATTTCAGTTTTTCCTTCCTCCCTTAGTTATGTCTCATCTTTACAAATTTTTGATAACTAATTACGATAAACTTCCTTTAACATTTTCCATGTTATACAAGTTTGATAAATAAAGGATAATTATGTCTAATGTAAAATCTGAAAGAAAGAAAAAAAAAAAAACATATAAGTAATTATGAAATCATTATTTCCTTTCACTTACCAATTTTCAATTCTATTTTCCCTCTATCACTTCTTTCTTTTTTTTTTGATTGCACAAGATAAATCTAAAATATTTAAATTAACTGTTAATTATGGTGAAATTTCATTCAGTTCAAATTTACTAGTATTTAATTTTCAGGAAAAGTTGACCTTTGACCGATGAATATGCTTAGATAAACGAAAAAAGTCACTGAATAGTTTGAAAAAATCAAAAACATATATATATATGTATGTGTGTGTGTGTGTGTGTATGTGCGCATATGTGCGTGCATCAGTGTGGGTGTACGGGTGTGTATGTGCGCATGCATGCATGCAAGCATGATAGCTTGCTAATTTTACGACACTTTAAATCATCCGCTTAATGAATTAAACTGATTATTATCATAGTATGATAAGAATCTATTAATGTATATTATAAAAATTATAATACACATTAAGCGTTTATTGTTTTATTCTATCAATGAATATTGTATTAGTAAATGTGAATTCGAGGATTACCGACTCAATCATTTAAACATAATTCATGAATTCAAATTGTTCATTCGATCGTCTCCGGCGAAATTATCCGGAAATATGAATCCTTTTTTTCTCTTTCTCCAACGAACTAAGATATCGGAACTGCTGGGACTGCACCGGATCGGATATATAGCCTAAGCGATAATGGGGAAAAATACACACATACACATGTGTATGCACACATGCACACATAGATACACACATACGCACATGTCCATCATACATACACACACACACACACACACAGACACACAGACACAGACATGAACAGATAAAGACAGACGAGGACAGACAGAGACAGACATGAACAGACACAGAAAAGTAGGTGTAGCTGTATAAACGGTTGGCTATGGCATTTGGCTTAGCATTAAGTCATTGATTGATATCGCGTGCCTTTTTTGTGTTCATTCTCGTGTGATGATAACGGAGGAAGACGGATAAAGCAAATCCGTATTACTGAAAGGATTTATTTGGGAGAGAGAAGGAGAGAGGGAGGGTCAGAGAGGGAGAGGTAGAAAGATGTGGAGAAGAAGGGAAAGAGAAGAGAAATTGATCTGAGATATTTCTGTTAATCTTATCATCATCTCCTTTCTTCTTTTCATCCTTTTTACTCTATTTGTATAATAAGTATAACATATCATTGTATATCATTTGAAAATTCATTTCATTTTAATTTTAATTTGAAATAAACAAATTGAAGTAACAGTCATACAACATTCAACTCAATCCTAATTTGGATTACTTTCATTTTTATAAATTACTTCAACATTTTGTTCATAACAAGTAATGTATTTTTGTTATTCTTTTTTTTGTTCCATAACAAAGAATATTATAGAAGTAACTTACTGAAAGTCTTTTTAAAGAAATTTCAAATGAATTTTATTTAATCGATTTACTAACGCAATTGTCACATCGTCCATTACTTATTTCAGTCATTTTTTCTTCTTTTCTACTTTTTCTTCAACTCATTCTATTCTATTCATATGTTTGCGAAAGAGCGATTTAGGAATTATAAATTCTCAAAAAAAAAAAGAATTCTTTACTTATCATCTGATATGATCATTGTCCAGTTTGTATCACACATCTAGAATCAGCATCTAAATTATGCTTGTTAAATTTTTTTTTCAGTCTATTTTATTTTAATATGAATTAGTCATGTATTTTACGTACGTAAAGAATATGTAAAAATTTTATTTTATTAATGCGGACGTTTATCGTTTTTTTTTTTTTCACGAGCATTTCCTAAACAAAACTAAACGTTACCTTGGCAATTGCTAAATGATACAATGTTATGGTAAAATTACGTATGTAAAAAAATTATGTGTAAAAGGAACGTAATGTTGCCATTTTCATATCAGAGTTAAAGTAGGAAACATTTAGTATTCCGTATTAAATATAATCTGTCGTTTTGCATTTTTTTTTTTTGATTAATTTGTGATCACTCTTTTTTTTTTTCTTTTTTGTCAGTATAGTCATTTAATCTTTTCTTTACACAACTATTTCTTAAACAGAACTCATGTACGTCATTTCGATAATTGCTAGATGATACAATGTCATCGTAAAAATTACTGAATAACGTGATTTCACCGCTGAAATTGAATATTTTTGTTTTTTGTCTTTTCATAGTACGTTTATTTTATATGCTAATTATAAATAATTCGAGATGCATCCATGTGGGCTTATTTCCTTGGATGTCTGAGCCAACTCATCTTGCCTAGGGGTCACGCATGTAGGTACCTGGTTATGGTAAAGTAGTTTGTTTTGGTTTCCTTCGTATATATATATATATAAATTAAATGAGATAATTGAAAACGAAATATGGAATATATTTAGCTATACTATAAACTTTTATTTGTTAAATTATGATATTACATTTTTTTTTTTTCTTTATCGGTCTTCATTGATAACAAACATGAATGTGCTCTATGATTCTCTTATTTATAACTTTTTTCATTATCTTTCTTTTTCTTTTATTTCACTTTAGCCGAATTAATTAGGTTCTTTCTTTTTTGTTTTGTTTTGAATGATTGTTGTTTATGTGAAAAGATGTTTGGGAATTAAGAAAAAAAAAAAAAAGAAAAATTAAAAGCTTTTTGTTTCTTTCAGTTCGTTTTTTTTTTTTCGCAGTTCTGAATAACACAATTGATATGGATTGTGAAATTTAAATGAATTCGGTGTTTAAATTGTTACCCTTTCCTTTCTTTTTCACTTTATCTCTTTTGACCTTCTTTTAACATTAATTTACAGATATTTTGAATGTTTAATTTTATACCAAAAGAAAAAATTGTTGCTGTTCTGTGAAGTGGAAATTTTGTAATCATTTTTGTTTCGGGTTTTTTCAACATTTAAACGTTTTCATTTTGAAAATAGTTACAAATGAAAAGAAAAAAAAAAAGTGTCGTTTATTTACTGAATTGATGATGGAGAATGAGGGGAGAGAGGGAGAGAAAGAGAGAAATAAGCCGGTACTTTGATTAGTTCGTTGAAACTTATTTTTTTTGTAAGCAGTGAAATCAAGCAACACTTTCATTTCTAAAAAAATCGAAAATAGAAGCTAGACATTTTGATGTTATTTCTGGAATATGCAAAAAGAAAATTCAATTTCACTAATCTCTCCGGGGAATTTTAAAACTTTTGATCGTTGGAATCTTCCGCTTCCGGCATAACTATTGAGTGTTTTCTTTTTGTGATTGAAATAAAAGTTGAAAGAAAAGAGAATTCAGATTGATGATTCTAAAAATTATTGATAAGGCATATAGTTAGTGTTGAATTCATATTTTTCATTTTGTATGAAATTGAAGACAGTAGAAGTACAAATTGCGCTTATTGATCCAACATATAGCTTTTTTTTTTTTTTTTTTTTTGGAGGGGGTCAAATGAAGTATGAATGATGATTCATTCCTGTTTGTTTAATTTTTTATAGATGAAGCAAATTGAACATTGAAAAAGAAGGGAGAATTTTTTTTTTTTTTTAATTTTTATTATATACAATAAAAGAAAAATTCCGCTTTCTTTTTCTTCATCCTTTGTCCCTGACGGAGTTGTCACAAACATTCAGCGATATTGTCCTAATTCAATTAAAAAGAAAGGAAGAAAAAAGTTTGGCGAAATTTCGCAGTGTATTTATTATCCGTTCAATTGCATTCTTTATTAAGTATATTTTCAGCAATAAATTTTATTGTTAATTTTCATGATTTTGAAAGTTTTCTAATCAATTTATCTGCATTTCTTTTTTTCATCACTTCATCGTACTGTTTAGAACATAGAAAATAGTGGTAACAATTTAATTGTGAAATTTTATGAGTTTTTTAGAATGCAAAATTTGATTAGCTTTTTTTTTTTGGTATAGCATTTATTTACATTGTGGTTATCATAGTAACTGTCTCTTTGTATTTATGTGTTTTAATTCGTTATTCATCGTGATTATGTGATTATTGTAGTTTATAACATTAACAACAATGAACACAAACAGTAATACTGATCCAACGCAAATTTAGCATTAAAAGTAGAAAGAAATTCGAACAAAAAAAAAAAAAAAAAAGTAGGTAAACTACAAATACGAATAGTATGTAGAAGTGTTTGAAAAGATAAAGTGGCATTTTAAGAAGCGAAAATTGAATATCCAAACAAAAAGAAGTGACTATTGTTTGCTTTTATATTTTTACGAATTTTATTTTTGTAAATTTATTTAAAAATTTATAATCCTGCGAGTCAAGTAATACTTATAAATCTGTAAATGTTTATGAAATTTATGGATTGTTTATGTTTAAAGATTATTCTGTAAATAATGGTTTAGAAGTTGTATGACATTGTTTTCTTTTTTTTTTTTTTTCCTAAAAAAACGCCGTTTAATGTTCTTCCAGCATACACACTCATTCCAGTTCTTATTCTACTATAAAGTGAAATATGTGAATTATTTATTATCGATGAATTTTATCTATCATTTCATGTCAGTCATTATCAACTTGGAAGTCGATTTGGTATATCTATAGAAAATCATTACATTTTATTTGTTTGTTTGTTTTATTATATTCAATTGTTTATCATTTATTATTGTTAAGCATACGTTAAGCATTACTGGTTGCAATGTCATTTTATTAGGTAATGTACAATTTTATCCTTAATCATAATAAATTCGTAAATTAACAATCATGTTAGTTTTGATCTTTCTATAACGAATTAATCTGTTCGATCTTTCTGTCCATAAAAAATTAAACTATCTATCAATAATTTCTCTCATCCTATCTGTACGATGAATTATTCCGTGCAAAGCGGAGGAATTCATTGGTTTTAATTTTTATTGTGATATGAGTCGTCATCTGATTAAAGCAAGCAGCAAAGCTACTTTTTTTTTACTTTGGTTCCTGCGACAAATTTTGATTAGAGCAATCTTGTGGTTGATTATTATCATACACTTTTTATGTCTTTGTGTACATAAAAATTTTCCCTGCAAATTTATTCGAGAGTAATTGTGTAGTAGAAATTCTGATTATATTAGAAATATTAATGATATGATATCTTATACAAAATTTTACATTAATTTGTATAAATTTAATAATAAATTATCATTACATATAAATCGTATCGTATGAGCAGTTCAAATTTTCTTTGAGAAAAATTGAAGATTTTCTAAAATTAAATATTGTCATAGTGGTATTGAGAATATTTTTAATAAAAAAATGATTTCGATATAAATATAGATGGTAACAACATGGCATAATATGATCGAATATGATAATAATATTGTAAAAGTATGAGTACCGTTCAGGCTGTCAGATATTTTTTTTTTTTTTTCGTTTATCCTACATCCATTACAATAGGTCTAAATAAAAATAAAAATCAAATTTAAATGTTCATACTTGATTGTATGAAGTGATTAAGTTATCAGATTTTGATTTGAAAATTAACACTAGTTTGTTTATATCATTGAAGAGTGATGTTTTCTTTATACGTTAAATCGTTATCAAAACCTGAAAGAAATTATAAACGAAAAGATGATGATAGGATATACTCATGGAAAACATTTTATTATTTTTGTATTTGTTATTTTTTCTTTTGTTTTTATTTCTCCCAAAATTATATCGACAGTAAAGTAGTTGATTTTTTTGATCAAATATTGATTAGAAATCATTTGAAGTATATTATAACAATTATCCTTCAAATAAATTATTCCAATAGAACATCATAGTATCAATTTGCTTGAACAGTTATATTTCTAAAAAGAGAAAAAAAAATTTTTTTCAAAACTTTTTTTTTTCTTTTTTTACAATGTATGATTTATATTGCAGAGATTGGTATATCTGATTAAAATAAACAAAATAACGATTTATCGTTGTCACTTTCTTTTTTTTTTTCATTTTATAAACATTACATATTTTCTGTGGAAGTGCTATTTTTTTTCTCCAGATATTACTGCAAATGAAATATATAAAATTGTATTTAGATAAAAATAAATGAATATTTTATTGCTGTAATTTTTTTCGTTTTTATTTTTCCTAACATTAACATTTCAGTCTTTTGATTGAAAACTGTTTCATTTCTGTGTCATGCTTTTTTTCTAGTAGTAATGTTACAATTAAAATTATATTTTACAAGAGTAAATGATAAAATTTGACAGAAAAACATGTTATATATTTTTTAGCATTATTATTTATCTATCAATTGATGAACGCATCATTTCTATGCAGTGCTTGTTCCCGAAGTATCAGTGCGAAATTTGTTACATAAAATTTTCATTATAATTTGAAAAATTAGCAAAGTAAAATTATGGATTACCTTGCACGTATATTATGCGATGTGGATGAAATACAAGTAAGTTATCAGTATCAAACCGGTTTTTTTTTTCTCCTTTATAAAATGGAATAATTTTATGGTAAAATTGTTAGCTAATGTTGCAAATTAAGGAAATACCAGAGTTTAACTTTCAATATATTTGTCATGCAAGAAAAAAATAATAATAATAATTGCAGTTGAAGCATTGATAAATGTTAGAAATATTATTTTCATTAATTCATTGAATTTTTTTGATTTGTTGTTTGTTTCTTTTTGTTTTTTTTAAGTTCACATTGCATGATAATACCAATGTATTTCGGTCCATTTTTTTTCTTTACAATGCAAATAAAAGGTTCATTTTACTGATAATTCAGTCAATGAATAGATAACAAATGATTAAAAGACTTATATCATAATCCTCCTTCCGATAAGTTTTACTAGGTTAATTGATTATTTAAAAAAGAAAAAATTTACTATACTGAATATACAAACATTCTCAACATTTTGTTGATTTTTGCATATAAATTATTTAATGAGATAATGATAAGATAAATTTTTCCAATAATGTTTGATTAAATTTTCGTGTAACATTAATAAAATTTATCAGTTAAGAAGAAAAAATTAATTTAATATGAAAAATAATATGTTGACTAAAAGATTCTTATGTCATTTCAGGTATTCGATTATTCATTGAATAGCACAGTGCCACATATAACAAATTGTGCTGAATCATCAATCCTTGTCATTACACCATTAATATTTTTGATCATATTTAGTCCACTTATTCTATATGACCTCAAGAAAAGTCGACATCCTCCATTAGAACTCTATTCACCAACAGTTGCTCGAATAGTAAGTGTATTTCATGCATATATTATGCTTCTACTATTTTTTCACTTTGTTATACACGTATTTTTTATAGTATTTTGATAGTTAGTAATGATCTAATTCAGCACTAAATTTTAATCATGTAATTAAGATATTTAATGAAATTTCTGGCTAGTAATTAGCTCGCGGCATGTTATTTTACTTATGGTGGAAAATTTTCTGATTTTGCTTCTTGTTTTTGTTTTTGTTTTTTTTTTTTTTTTTTTTTTTTTTTTTTTTTTGTGGAATAAAATTATTATATGATGAAGTTAACAATAGGAAGGTTTACTGAATGAATTTAGATTCTGTGTTTCTTGTTGGTAATGAATCGTCTAACTGCAACAATAATCAATCTGATAACATGGTTTCGGACACCGTTAACATATCAACCGTATAGCATCATGTCATGTTGCTGGCAAACGGTAACGTATTGCGTATGTTTGCTGTTACTGATTGCCTATCGTAATCGTGGCTTAGTGACTTCCGGCGTTTTGTTCAACTTTTGGCTTCTTACTGCAATTTGTGCATTTCCAGAACTTAGACGTCGAGCTGCTTATGCTGAAGATTTTACCGGCATTCAGGTTAGCAATATACTTATACTCTTACATTTTTGATTGTTATAAACATGAAATTTCGTTTCTACAGCAGAAAACCACAAAGCTTTCTAATTTAATTAAAGTGTCTAAATGGGGAATTGGTTTTAGAATTTGATTTTATTCTCTTTTCTTTTTTGTTGAAAATTTGTTTATTTATATCGTTTAGGATAAAAATGAAGTCTCAGTGAAATATGTATTGTATATAATCTACTACGCATTCATATTGTTCGAAGTATTCTTGTCATGTTTTGCTGATAAACCAAGATATTGGTTGAAAGATGTAAGCATGTTTGAATCGTGTTATCATTCTCTATCTAAGATCACAAAATTTAAACTTATTTTTGTATCTTTAATGTCAGTTACTAAAGGAAAAAGCATCTTTTAGCTGTTATTTCAGGAAAAACTTTGTCCAGAAGATAATTGTTCCTATCTGAATAAAATCACATTTAACTGGTTTCACAGCTTGGCAGCACGTGGTTTTCGTAGACCGCTCGAAGTTAATGATTTATGGCGATTACGACTACATGAAGAAAGTGAAAATTTGATGAAAAAGTTCAAGCGTTATTGGTTACCAGCGGTTAATGGTATGCTTATGTATTACATACTTCTTTCCATATTTTTCCTTAATTTAATGTTGTGATTGTTAAATATATTCAGTAAATTTAAAATTTTGAAAAGAATGGAGAGCGTTGTGAAAGATCTGACGCTGATTTGCTATCGTTTGCATTTAAGTCAGTTTGACTCGTTGTTTATTTCTTTTTTCCGCAAATGTTTTTCACATATTTTTTAAGAATTATCAGATTGATCATTGCAAAAAATGAAATATATTGTGATTTTATTAGGAATATATTTCAAGGTATTCTTGTCTTTTAATTTTAATACATGTAATTAAATTTAATTTTCAGCTTACTATAAAAAGAAGCGAGCAGCGGAACAATCAATTTCACTTAAGGTTCCTTAATTTTCCATTCAGAAATTTATCTATCTCTTTGAATAATTATGCTTGTTCTGTTACTTTTTGATTATTTGTATTAGATTAGTCTTATTTTAGAAACTTAGTCCAAAAACACAGCCATCATTACTGTGGGCGCTTGCGAAAACATATCGCTGGACCATTTTGTCTGGCGCTGCAATGAAATTTGTATTTGACGTATTAAATTTCGTCAGCCCGCAACTTCTCAGGTTAAATACTTTTTTGTTTTGCTGGAATCGATTCTTCATGATTTTTTTATTCTTTTTTTCGACTTATAATAAAACATGCCTTAATGTTGAGTATATTCAATTAGTTTTTGTTCAGTATACCTTATAATAAAGAAATTTGGTGCATCAGTTTGCATAAGGCCGGTTAATGATGTTAGTTAATAGAAATTCTTTAATATTGTAGTATTTTAGATTTTTGTGTCTGTAATTGGGAAAATTCCATAGCTAATTGTTTTATGTACCATTCAAGTAATTTATCTTTTTTTTTACAGTGCATTAATATCGTATATCGAAGATATGAAGCGACCGTTATGGATGGGTATTGCTATATCATTTGCCATGTTTGCTGTTGCACTCGTTCAGTCAATGGTTGGCCAGTTATATTAAAACAGTTTCTCTTTGTTATATGAAGTTATTGTTCATCTTAAATTTATCGGAAAAAAAGTAATAAGAAATTCCAACCTCAAGGAATTCAAAAAAAAAACACGAAAGGATTCTATAATGGATTAAAAAATTCTTGGAAAAGCTAGAAACATTTCGTGCCTCAACTGTTCTTTTAAATGGTTTTCAGATTCTGCATCAGTATTTTCACAAAATGTTCATGTTAGGTATTAATGTACGTTCTGTGCTGACAAACTCTGTATATGTCAAGGTATTTTCAGTATGATTTTATTTTGTGACTGATTTACTTCTCATTATTCTGAAATATATATATACGCAAAAGTTTTCTGCTGAAAATATTTTTCGTTGAAATAGTTATTTCGTATTCCTGAACTAAATGACTGTATTTAAGTATTCAAAATCAGTTTTACTTAATTTCTTTCTGTAGGCGTTAATGTTATCTAACTCTGCTCGGAAAAATCGTACTGTTGGTGAAATTGTAAATTTGATGTCTGTGGATGTCCAACGTTTTCAAGATATCGCCAGTTTTATTATGCTTTTTTGGTCTGCTCCATTTCAAGTAAGTCTACACATTCTTTTTATATTTATATAGTAATCATTTTTATGTTGGAAATTAATTTCCAAGTTTTAATGAAGATCAATCTCTAATTGGTTTATCATTTCATTACTTCTGGCCCTATTACTTTATCTGTAGATTTTTTTTTTTTTAATTACAGATACTGCTTGCAATTTACTTTCTGTGGCGATTGCTTGGAATAGCAGTTGTTGCCGGTCTCACCGTACTTTTCGCAACAATTCCCTTAACTTCATATATTTCTCTACGAATGAAAAACTGTCAAGTAATTGTTTCTAAATCATAAAATCAAAGAAGTGGAAAGTCGAATTTCTTGTGTCTGATTTGTCATAAAAGAGTTTGTTTAGAATATTTTCTCTTAAATGTTCACATTAAATCAATCAGTCTTTGAAAAATGTTGCTCCTTTATTTGTTTGGAAAAATTTCATACTGTTTATTAATAATTTTTGAAATGTAATGTCTATATGGAAGTGATGAATTTCAGGGAAGACAAATGAAACTGCGAGATGAACGTTTGAAATTCATGTCAGAAATTTTAAATGGAATTCGAATAATCAAATTTTATGCTTGGGAGAAAAGCATGCAAAAACTGGTCAATTACATTATTTTCAATATTATTGTTTTTGAGTTGTTCAAAACTCAGTATTTATAAGTAAAAGTTATTTGAGTACTCAGGTTTTGGAAATTCGCGAGAAAGAGATTGCTGTACTACGCGAAATTGCGCTTTATAATGCTGCAATATCGTTAACTTGGTCATGTGCGCCATTTCTTGTTGCTGTTGTCACGTTTGGCTTATATGTGAAAATTGATCCACAGCACAACCAACTTACACCTCAGGTAAGATAAATTAGGTGCTTAGTTTAAATTCAGCGATGATGAATAAATCCGAATTAATTCAATTCTGTCAGGCAATTTAAAATAAGTTGTTGTTAACTTAAGCATGAATATCTTGAATTAATTCACTCCAGATAAATAAAATGAAATTAACTCAAATGGGATTTAATTAGTTCAAAAAGGAGGATGGATTGCTTCGTACTAGCGATTAGAATAAATGATTCATTCTATATGCGATAGTTATTTATTCCAAACATAAGCCAATAAGACACTAAGCAGTCGAAATTGACATAAGCCAATTAAGCACTGAATAATCAAATTTGGTTACAAAAAAAGAAATGATTATATTTTAATCTCAGATGTGATACTCAAATACCATTCTATCATATTGGTTTAAATTTAATTACTTTACAGGTTACATTCGTTGGCCTTTCACTTTTCAACTTGATCCGTTTCCCAATGACAATCTTTCCATTAATATTCAGTCAGGGGACGCAATGTTCGGTTAGCAATACCAGGCTGAAGTCATTTCTGTCGGATGATGAAATGCAGCTTTCTGTAGTAGATCGAATCTCTTCAGGCGGTTAGAAATTGCATATGACACTTCTTTTAATTCCAAATAGAGGATCACTTCGATTTATTTTAGTATTATTTTTTATTGTTTTAGTATTACTTCGATTTATTTAGATTTTACTTACAGCCTCATAAGTCAATTTCATCACATTTTAACTTCTAATCTAGCTAATTAAAACTAAAAATTAATGAATTATTGGATAATCCTAACTAACCTCTGTTTTATTTTTATCGAGTAATCTGCTAATACTTTTGTAGATTATGCCTTGTCGATACAGAGTGGTAATTTTTCTTGGGACAATAATAAAGTGACATTGAATAATATCAATTTAAAAATCAAAAAAGGCGAGCTTGTTGCTATTGTTGGGAAAGTCGGCAGTGGTAAAAGTAGCTTGCTTTCTGCTGTCTTAGGTATGTTTTCATTTTTGATAGTTTTATTTTTGCGTTCATGTTTTTTTACTTCATCAATTTCATATTGTTTTGCTCTAGACACTGAAAGAATTTCAGTCTAAAATATGACATTCTATTTATTTCCGCAAAAAATTTAAGGCGAAATGGATAAATTGAACGGTAATGTGGATGTTGTTGGGTCGATTGCTTATGCCCCGCAACAGCCGTGGATCCAGAATTTGTCGTTGATGGATAATATTTTGTTTGGCACACCTTTCGATCCTCAACGGTATGAAACAGTGCTTGATGCATGTGCGCTGAAACCAGATCTCGCAACATTACCAGCTGGTGATCAGACTGAAATTGGTGAAAAGGTTATATTTAGATTTTGCCCGGATTTTACTATTATATCTTTGTGCTATATTCAGATTAAAAAAAAGTAGGAAGTGGAATATATTACCTTGTTGCGTTTTTAGGGCATTAATTTGAGTGGGGGTCAGAAACATCGCGTAAGTTTGGCACGTGCAGTATACGCCAATTCAGACATTATTCTTTTGGATGATCCGTTGTCAGCTGTTGATGCTCACGTTGGACGACACACATTCACCCGTGTCATCTGTTTGTTTCTTTTCATTCTTTGGATCTCTCATTTAATTCTTATGTAGTTACGCAAAACGCTATGACTGCAAAAATATTGAGTGCAACCATTTCCAGAATACCTTTGGAATCATTTACAGAATAAATGAAACGAATCCGGAAACAGAATACATAAGTTACAAAGTCAAAAATGAATTCTTTAAGCATCTCAAACTGGCTTATTAGCCAAGAAAACGCGTATTTTGGTAACACACGGACTACATTACTTGAAGTATTGCGATCGAATTGTCGTCATGAATGGTTAGAATTTTTAAAATTTAGTTTTTCCCAGCCAAAATTTACTGCCTTATTTAGTTGATTAAGTAAGGCATTGAAAAAAAAAAAAAAAATTTTTTTTTCTAAACCTACATGAATCTGGTATTCATAGATGGTAAAATTACCGAAGTGGGCACATTTCAAGAATTAGTTCAAGCACAAAAACATTTCGCAGAATTTCTGGAAGATTTTCTTATGAACAAAGTTAAACAATGCAAGCAGGCACAAGATGAAGGAGACTGTTAGTTTTACTTTAATTTTTACTCTCAGATATAACGTCAGACTTTATCTCAACTTTAATCTCAACCACAGAACTCAATCCATTTGAGCTTTGTTCCAGGTGTATGTGTTATTTCTGTTTGTCTTAAGTAAAAAATGACATTCTGTTAAGTTCGTGATATATTTCCAGTTTTCTTTTAGACACAGATCTTCAGATGAATTTATGCAAAGTGTTAAGTGACTTGTGGTATTTTTTTTTTTCCAGATGGCAGGTGATAAACTATATCTTAGATTCTGTGGACCAGCAATATCCTGGTAATTACAATATCTTGATATAATTTCAGCAGAAGAAATGGAAGAACTACTAAAAGATTTGCAAGTTTTGAATCCGGAACAACGCAAACATTTGGAAAGTTTTAGTGGGACAAGGCAACACACAGATAGTACTTTAACAGTTGCATCATCTATCAAACACATATCTTCGCGAGACAACTTACCAGCCGAACAACAGGTTACTGTTATTTTCTGCAGAATTTTGATTATTACATTATCTGAAACTATTATACTAAATGAACCTACAACAGTATAATATTGATAACAGTTTCTTTGTTAATAAATCATTTTAGGATGGTACCACCGAACAGGATGTTGCAGCGAAAAAGATCGATAGTAATTTAATAAAAATCGAGATTGGTGAAAAGGCAGATGGTATTGCATTGTCTGCACAAACGGCTAATAAACCAGCTATAGCAAGCAATGATGAACGTTCAAAATTAATTGAAAAGGAAGGCGTTGAAGTTGGAAAGGTCTCTATGGAAATCATTAAGAAGGGAAATATTCTTGTTTTGGTTGCAAAGTGGAAATAAGAAATGATCGTTTAGTTGTGCCATATCATGCCTGAAAGTGAAATTGATAATTTGAGCAGCGCATCGTTTTACACCATTTGTGGTGCGATTGATTCATGATTGAAATTTGTTGCTAAAAAGAATATAATTGTCTCAAAAAGTGCATAAATTAAAGTAAGGGTCAAAAATTAGTAAACTGAAAATTACAAATTGAATTTCGAAATTAGATTGGTAAAATTCTCAACAAATTTGCAAAATTTGTATTTTTATTGCAGGTGAAATTTGCAGTGTATCTTTTGTATCTTCACGCTATTGGTTATGGCACAACAGCAGTCTTTGTTTCGATTTATATTTTTTCATCTGTGCTTGGTGTTTCATCCAATTTATGGTTAGCCAATTGGTCTGATCATGCCAACAAAGGAAACATCACGGCAGAAGAAAACGACACAAATTGGCGTTTAGGAATTTACGCAACACTCGGCTTGGGACAAGGTGTGTTATTGTAGGAAGTTAATTACTTAGGCATTTTTAAGTTTAACACATCTTCGAGTGTTTTTCAACGTTTTGCCGTTCCTTTTCTGTCTTTCTCTTTCCCTCACACACAAAAACATTCCAAATATCCAACTGATCTAATCGTGATACCTTTTCAACCTAACAACTTTTTTCCTCCGACTAATCTTTGCTATTAGCCGCAATGGTTTGTACTGGTTCAATTACAATGGCATATGGAATGGTTTTTGCGAGTCGAAAATTGCACGAAGGAATACTGCGAAATATTATGCATTTACCAATGGCATTTTTCGACATAACTCCGCTCGGACGCATTGTGAACCGTTTTGGGAAGGTATTTTTTATAATTACATAATAACTATGATTTTATATGTATGTTATGTTAAGTGCTAAATTCCAGCTTTTACGATTTTTTTCGTTTGTAATGGGATTAGAAATTCAAGTTCAAATTCAGCAATACTCAAAGTAATGACGTTTAAATTCATCCTAACTGACTATAATAATACCTGTGCAGTGAAAGAAAATTAGATGACATGATGCTTTATTTCTTCTTTGAATAGCAAATTCTTTTTTTTGATTATTCTTACAAAATTTTTCTTCCTATACATGGTGAGATGGAGAAATTATGGAATTATTTGCTTTGGGATTTGCTTGTCTGCTGGCTCGAAATCTTTTGATTTTCTATCGTAGATTTATCCTCTTAATAAATGCTGTAGGGGGATACTAGTAATTCTTTCATTTTTCATGTTCATGTCATGTGTATGTATTATTTATTTTTGTTTAGCTCCAAAAGTTTTATTATATAATTCCTTGTTGCAGATTCATAACTTATATTTATTTTTGAATCTATAAAAAAATCACATCCTGCACCCGATAGGCAATGGGAATTTGCTGATTATTTAGAGTTTTTAAAGTAAACATTATTGCAGGATATAGTAACGGTGGATATTGAAATACCAAAATCTATTGATGATCTTCTTGATGATTGTCAAATTCTTGTTGCCATTTTAATTCTTATTGTTTTCATATATCCTCACTCATTTTGGGTTTTTATCACATGCGCTTTCTTCAATTTCTTCATTCTGGTATGAGACACTGTCATTTATGTAGTACCCTTTGTAAGAGGATGGTAACCACTTTGATATACTAGTTGGTGATTATGAATTTCAAATTTTAGATTAATTTCTTGAAATTTTCAAGAGTGGGGAATTTTTGTTTTTTATTAGGAATACTGTTGAACGATTCAGACGGAATTTTACCACTTACTCCCTAACCAATTTCCTTACATATAACTGTGGTAGGTTTGTTGACTTTTTTTTATTCTTATCGAAATAGTAATAACATGAAATAAAATTCCTCCCTTGCAACAATACTTTCCGGTTTCTTCTCATAGATCCTCATAAATCCTTATTAATATCACATGATGGGTTATTTTGTATTTTCTCTTCTGGATGCATTTCACAGTCAAATATTATAAAAAAAAAAAAAAAAAAAAAAAACATCGATTATAAAAATATTTGTTTAACAGACACTAAAATTACAAATAATTATTTGCATGGTCACTTCACTTGTTCTATCTTAAGTCAGAAAAAGTATCCAGACTTTTCCATGCAACTGATATTTTTATGCTAGACATGCAGTGTTTAAATCCCATCGTCAATGCTTTCGAATTTGAATGATTAAGAAAAAAATCCGAAATCCAACGTTTGATTTCTTTTCAACAAATTCATTGTTTTGATAGGGAGGTAAACAAAAAATTTTCATGATAAATTAGTTTAACATGTTGTATGAATCTTCTCATTATGTTGCTCATTTCAGTCGGACGAATTTTGTAACATTTTTTAATTAGATGATACTATCTTTTTTTTTTCTCTTTTGCCATTCATAGATTTCTTCTTTTTTTGTGTCGCAAGAAGTTACGAATCGTCACCAAATACTTGGAAAATTTTGATATATTGAGCATACATTAATTATTTATCTATAACTAGATCTGGCCTAGATTTTAATTCTACATCAGTCTATTTGCTGTAAAATTTAATTTTCTATCTATCTATCTATCTATCTATATATATATATATATATATACAGTTAATACATGTAGATTTCCTTAATTTCTATCATGTATATTTTATATAGAATAAAGAATAAATTATAAGGTTTTGTATGGCTAGCTGAAAATTGTTTACTTTTAGTGTCCAAATTTTACAATACTATTCACAGCAAATGTTATCTACAGTATGTTCAGATTATTATACTTAATTATTATTAATATACTATTGTCTATGAAACAATAAATTTCAAAATTAGGATGATAATCTTCAGTTTAGATAGAAATGTGTATAATTCACTCTCGAGATGGGTAACAATTAATGAGATAACAGGGAAAATTGCAGGATATAGAAATAGTGGATGCATTATTGCCGCATACATCTCATTCATTCATATCAACAGTGCTTGTTGTTTTAATGACAACAGCTGTAATTCTATACGCTACACCGATGTATTCAGTCATCATACCTTTTCTTGCTGCTATTTATTTCCTTGTTCTGGTATGCTTCATCAAAAACGAAAATTCTACTGTCCTTTTTTTCTTTTTTAGAGAGAGAGAGAGATGATAATGATAATGAAATGATCGTTTCTGGAATGAAGAAATAAGAGAATATAAGTTATTACAGTAACTGTTAGCGACAATTATTAAAATATTTAAAAATGTCTTTTCGCAAACTGTGCTCTTTTTTCTTATTTAACTCAGTTGATCACTGTATTGTAATTATATTTAATGGTAGTGAGTGGAAGTTATAATAATTGTTGCATGCATTTTTTTTTTTTGGTAAAAGCATGGTATGAGAAGCATGTCGTTCTTTTATGTACTTTTTTATTTTGCAAAAGAAAAATTTGGTTTTCCGAAATGTATTATTTGAAGAATATGATTTCCATATGAAACATACTTTATTATTAGACGAAATTTATCTTTGCTGATGATATTATGTTAATAGTATGAATTTTATAGCTTTTAGTAATTATCTTTTTGATATCATTATTGCTTGCTGTTTTTCTGTAGATTATCCTGTTCATTATGAGTTAATGGTTTTGATGTTTATTGGTTGTTAATTCTGATCATCATTTTTTCTTCAGATTTTTTTTTTTTTTTAATATTTTCTGCAGTAGGGTATTTTCGTCTGCTCAAATGGTATTACTATAGTCTGCATGTTATCCTGTTGAGCATGCTTTATGTATGATCCGAGAATGAGGATGAAATAAAAGTTTCTTGTACATAATCATTTCAGCCGGAAATTCCATTCAGCAAATCTGGATTATTGTGGTGTTCATTGTCCTGCAAATAGCATGGCTGCTGCATTGTTGAAAGTTTTACAAATTTGCATGTGTTTGCATGTTTGCAGGATTTGCAAGAACTCGACCAACGTCTACCATCATCACTGATCACCCTTACTGGATGTATTATTACCGCTTTCATTATTATGATTGTGCCGGTACTTATGACGCCGCAAATTATCCTCCCTTTTGCTATGATTTTGTTTTCAAATTTTACGTTAATGGTAATTTTTCAATCTATACTGCATGAAACATGGATATAATAGATTCGAGTTCAAAATAGATTGTAAGCATGGTGCTATATGGGATATTGTTATTGTTGCTTATTTTATTGTATAATATTGCTATTTTATGCTAATTTTTTCCGTTTTTTTTTTTTTCTTTTTAAACAAAATTCTTGTTCAGCAAGGAAGTGATTTAGTTTATATAGCAAGTTTCGACGTTAACTTCTTGGCTTTAACTTTTGCTTATGCTTAGGTTTAATAGTTTTTAAGCCTTCGTATGCTATGATGAAACAATGAGCAGTAATGTTTTTTCATCTTACTCATAAGATCATCATTTCTTTGACATTAAAATGCATTTCCAGATCACAGTTTAAATTAACCTGTGGGAAAGTAGGCATATAAAGTTAAAAAGCCTATCTGATGCGTGCATTTATATAGTATGAATATGCATCTCATGTAGAGCATTAAAAAAATCAGACGAAATTTTCATTAAAAAAAGTTTCTCTACTATCAGTTATTTTTTATTTTTTAGTTATGCTTTTGTCTCAGTTTGTTGCACAGCTAGAGTTGTCCATATGTTATCCATGTGCACATATTCTGGAAAAATACTTTGGATTGCCTTATTTCTTTTTTTGCTAACTACCGAAGAAAATGTTGATAATTACTCATAAGTTGATTTATTTCTTGCTTTATCTCACTCTATTGCTTCAAATTTTATTTTGGCATGCAATTTAATAAAAGCTTAATTATAATGTGAGGAAAAAGAGCAACCTCATAAATTTGGTAATACTTTGAAGAACAATAATTATAGAATTTGAGTAAGATTCATACAATATTGCAATGCATTACAAGTTTAAAGTTCTTCTCTTGTTCATGCTTATACGCATTTAATGACAGCTTGTATGCTATATTCACCGCTAGCTCAGGAATTTAGAAACCGGAAAGTATTTTGTAAAGCTGTAATTTTTTATCATTAAAAAAATATGTTTATTTTAACCTATCAGATATTAGCAATGCATATCGTTCATTTCCAGCGTTTCTACATTTCAACATCACGTCAATTAAAACGTCTGGAATCTACCGCTCGATCTCCTATTTACTCGCATTTTCAAGTTAGTTTTTTATTCACTGCTAAGGGAATGAAGATTGTGTGAAAAAAATTTTAAAGGACTTTGCTGTTAAACGTTGCTGGTTGGCAGTAATTTTTCATTTTTTGTGACTACTTGCAAGAAGAACTATTAAAATGATTATTGTGATATTGGATCATTTCTGGATAGAATTCTTTTTTTTTCTGGATTCTAGATAAAGTTGAAAACATAGGCAGAAATAAAGCTGCTATAACATTGAAGCTTGGAAAATTTTGGTATTTCTAAATTCGGTTTTTTTTTTTTTTTTTCAATTTTGGTGAGCAAATTTTCTGTTAGCAAACATCAAATTTTACTTTTCATCACTTGGAATCCATTGTGATAATTTTCAGGAATCGATCCAAGGATCAGCTTCAATTAGAGCATATCGATGTATGAATCGTTTTATCCATGAATCTCAAGATCGTCTTGATAAGAATATTGTTATACAATATCATTCATTGGTTGCTAACAGGTGAATTTTAATCAAATACTAATAAGGGGCAGCTATTCACTTGTACTTCTGTATCTTTGAGGCGGTTATCACAGAAACTAACAATGTATAGATTTAAAATAGTTTTAAATTTCAGATGGTTAGCAGTACGCTTAGAACTTGTCGGTAATCTTATTGTGTTCTGCTCGGCTTTATTTGCTGTATTTTATAGAGAGAGTGGTTCAGTAACAGCTGGTTTAGTTGGATTATCCGTTGCATATGCTCTTAGTGTATTGTTTTGATTTATTTATTTTTATTTTTTTGGAATTTTTAAATTATGAGTCTTCATTTCCGATTTTTCAGTTAACTCTGTAAGAGCGATAATGATACGATAAAATAAAATAAAATGAGAAATAAAATAGTTCATATTTCCATGATTTTTTATGTGGTTTTAACTAGAATTGTATACTTTTCATTTGAGATAACACAAACTCTAAATTGGGCCGTACGTATGGCTAGCGAATTGGAAACCAATGTTGTTGCTGTTGAACGTCTGAGAGAATACACCGATCTACCGACTGAGGTGAGATGTGTATCATGAAATTTTGCAATTAAAATAATCTGATTCAAGCAAAGTTGGTATCTTACTGTATTATATTATTGGAAATAATAGGAAGTAGGCATTAGGATGTATTTGGAAGGTTTTAAGTAAATGAAAAAAATGATGGATAACTTATTAATATGATATCTTGATGTACCATGTTCATTGTCGAATGTTTTACAGTAAAACTTTTGAAGTTATATTAATGAAACTATCATTTTAAAATTATATCACTATTTACGTTATTTAAACTTATATTTAACTTGTATAGAAAGCTCAGATAATATTTGATACATATGAAAAAAATAATTTCTAAAGTATTACCTATTAATACGTGATAAATGTTTGCAGGGTTTAGCGAGTGAAAACTTAGCGCATACGCCACGACGAGATTGGCCAAGTAAAGGAGAAATTATTTTCGAGAAGTTGAAAATACGATATCGCGATAATTTGGAATTTGTTTTGAAAGGAATCAGTGCAACTATTCATCCAGCTGAAAAAATTGGAATTGTTGGCAGAACCGGTGCAGGTCATATATTTTATTTATAATCCACTTTATATTCTGCTTGAAAGGCATTAAGCGTGATACATTGTTGTAACCAAAATCCCTAGATTTTTACAACTACTGCATGATTGTATAGTTGATAATCCCTGATCCAGAATTGAAATCAAATTCTTCTTTTTAAAGAGAATCAAAATGAGAATTAAAGTTGTGTATCAGTATTCATAGAACAGTTAAGGATTGTCACTTTAGTGAGCAATAACATATCTCTTTCAGGTAAAAGTTCTCTCACACTTGCTTTGTTCCGTATTATTGAGGCAGATTCAGGTCGAATATTAATCGATGGTGAAGATATATCGAAAATATCTCTGGATAATCTTCGCTCAAAATTAACAATTGTTCCACAGGTACCATTTTTTCATGATTGATTCAGTTTTTTTACTTGAATTCACTATGATGAAATATTCCCTTCATTTCTATGTTTATGCATACTTCCATTGTATTATGAATGTATTGAAAATTTCCATTAATTGTGTTGATTTAAGGATCCTGTTGTGTTTTCTGGAACGTTACGCATGAATTTGGATCCATTCGGCCATTTTGATGATGCCTTATTATGGAATGCACTTCGAACGGCTCATCTGGATTCGTTGGTGCATTCATTTCCAAACAAACTGGAACATAAATTAAGTGAAGGTGGTGAAAATATTAGGTGAGAAGCTGTTTCAAAGTATCATCCTACAAGCAGATTAAGCTTGTTAAACTGTTATAAATTCTGTGCAACATACGTACATATTATTCAGTTCCAGAGAAAATGAAAGTTCCAGAGAGTTTTTAATTTTCAAGTTCTAAAAAGACTACATTTGTATAACCAGAAAAAAATAATATGCTTAGAGGGTACAGATATGTTTGTGCGAAAATTTCATGCACATCTAAAAAGTTATACTATTCCTGAGCATTTGTTATGACCAAAAAAAAAATGAAATAGAAAGATGCTTTTTGGTGGGGAATCTTTACACTTGTAAATGAATGTAAATGTTGTATTTAAGAATATTTGATATCGTCATGATGCATATAATTAATATATACACCAATGAAAATAATCACTGTCATTTCAGTGTTGGACAAAGGCAACTGCTTTGTTTAGCTCGAGCAGTATTGCGAATGAGTCAGATTTTGATTCTGGATGAAGCAGCAGCGTCTGTTGATATGGAAACGGATGCGCTAATCCAGAAAACAATTCGCGAGCGATTCTCACATTGTACAGTGCTTACAATTGCTCACCGTTTACATACAGTAATGGATAGTGACAGGTTGGCTTTATGTTAATATTTTTTACTCAGAAATGATTTTTTTGGTTTCCAAAATGAAAAAAAAAAAAAAAAAAAAAAAGGAAAATAAGTACTTTTTATCTCTTTGTTTTATTGATTTCAGGATTTTGGTACTTGAAAATGGTTACATTCGTGAATTCGACACACCAAGAAAGTTATTGGATGACCCGGATTCATTATTTCGTGCAATGATGAAAGAATCTGGATTGTTGCCTACCAAAGAACATTGAAATATTCTGATCCACTTTATATTTCAAAATCCTAGATCTCTGGTTAAACTAACTTTGTTAGTCATGCGATAAGCTACTTTATCTGGTTACCACTTATTTACTATGCTGAAATGAATCCAAACAATTCTTAGTGATTAAATTTATTGAAAATTTGTACAATGTTTGAGGAAATTATTTAACGATTAGATTCTTCTGAATATTAAGGTGTTTTTCTAATATAGCCACCTTTTCAATTTCTGTTCAATAAAGTATGTTTGGTGATTCTTTTGGTTTATTCATGAATCAGTTTCTTCCATCGCTGAACACAGTTTCTGTACGATATAACTGGTGATTTGTTTCCTCTTTTACTTGTCAATTATATTTGATGTAATCTTCCATGCAAAAGCAATTTTTTTTTTTTTGAAATGCTTGCCAAAAAAAAAATATTTCTGTCGTTTATGTTGACCTATAACAAGTAGATATGTTCATAGTTGTTTATAGTTATTATGTTATGGAGTTTTGGATTAATTTCTAAAGTATGAGAATTTTGGAGAAGATGGAATTGTCGGAGTAGAGGAAAAGTTGGAAAGAGTTCGACAGATTTTAAACGTATGAAAAGTGAAATTTGCGGAGAGATGTATAGAAAGCGACTTATACGAGAGTTCATCGTTAATTACTTTGGCAATGAGTGCTTTTGCAGAAGTTTGTTATAGTTTCCGGATTGATTTATGAAAATTATCCCTAATGCAAGTTAAGTTCTCGAAATACCTCAATATAGTATCCTTAGATTAGTTTCATACGAGAAATAATCTTTAAGATGGAAATCATTACCGAATTATTGCAATAAATAAACGAATGATTATAAATTAAACGGATGGGTTCGATAATGCTTCTTATATCATAAAGAAGAACAGGTCATCGAGTATAGTACTTACGAGTAAATACGAATTTCCGGATTGCATACGATTGTTCATTATTGTTTGAATATTCTTCCATCTTACAAATTACACTTTATCGTCTTTCCATATATTTGATTTGTTTTCGAGGCTTTCGAGATGTTCGTCAATGCAATCGTAATCATAATCACAGGTATATATGGTTTATCATAAGCACATCTAAAATTTAACGTAATCGTATTATTTGTGATATTCTCATTGTAATAAAGGTATATATTCAAAGTTAGATTGTTCTGTGATATTAAATAATCAAAATTACAATTATTTATTGTGAATGGGCTGAAATATATATATATGTATATATATGACGTTGAAACATTTTCAAAATAATAAATTCAATCTCTGTAGCATACTTCATTAATTTGCAATATAAACTTTTCAACGATTGAGTAATGAGCAGATTCATAATTAAAAATATTGATGTTTTTTGTAAAATTTATTTATAAAACAAAATAAAATAATATTTGATTGTAAGAAATGAAAGAATATACTATGAAGTGTGACAGAAGAATGGAATGGCATAAAGCAAATACTGTGAATCTTATCAATGCGAGAAGACAAATTTTACTGAGCGATAATTTGCTGCTCTAAAAAGATTATTAATATGAAAAAAAAGCGAGCATTTTGCATTGATAACAATCAAAATATGTTGAGGACAATTCGAACACACTGAACTTGATGTACGATTGTTTGTTATTTTTAATGATAAATTATTGTAATGATTTTTGAGCTTCTTGAAAACTTCTGATTTGTGCATTTATAATGCATTTGTCTAAAGATCTTATTTCCTATCTCTATCTCTATATCTCTACTATTACTTATATTTAGTAAAAAAAAAAAAAAAAAAAATGGTTAAATATCATTTTGAAATAGTTTAGTATGTTGAAAATTAAATCCTTAATAAATTATATGATGCTATTATTGATTTGTTTCATTTCATTTGTATATTTATGTCTAATAATTTCATAATTAACTTAATAATGATATTATTATTATTATTATTTTTTAAAAAAAGGAAAAAAAAGGTAACGTTGTTACTTTTAAAAATAAAATAGAAATGACCAAATAAGGAATTGTAACTATCATTTATATATAACAAATTAAGTAGATATTTTCAAAAAAAAAAAATTAAAAAAGAGGAATTAAACAATATGCATTGTGCGCAAAAATATTAACGCCTATTTTCTCCACCTATTTTATCAAATATCAATTAACTTTTTGGGACTTGCTATGTGAAACTTATGAATTTATGTTATTCTATGAAATTTTCAGGTTATAAAAAAAAATTGAAAAACTTCATTAGGAATTTTAAAATTTTTATTTGAGTTATTCAAAAAAAAAAAAAAAAGTAATAAAATTATTCAAGAAAAAAAAGTCTTTCATCGGAAATAAGCATCTTCATAATAAAATAATAATAGCATTTATATTTGAGATGAAATCATTATTACTTGATTTCAATTAATTTTAATTAACTAATTTCGATAATTACAATATTTGATAAAATTTCTGTATTTGTGAAAAATATTTATTCTTGTGCAAACTGAATAATTTAACACTGAAACATTAACTTTTTCAGAATCATTAAATATATTACAACTCCTGAAAAAAACTGGAACCACCGACAATTGATTCGTTTAAAAATTCGAAAAGAGATAAAATTTTAAATTTGCTAATTATGGAGCAAAGTTGCTTTTTAACAGGAAGGTTTAAATTAACATGGATAATGATATTAGCATATTTTACTATTTCCACAATTTTACAATGGTATTTTACCCTACGGTATGAATTATCAACACCTCCAAAAGGTTTTTATCATAGCCAATTTAAGGCTGTTGCTAAAGTTTTCAGGTATATTTTAACTAAAATTTTCTCTTCTTTTCTTTGGTCGAATTTATTTTATATACTTTCATTAATGAATCATATTCACACATTATTCATATTTCCAACTGTTTAATTTCACAAAGAATAAAGAAACAATTGGAATTTGGAAAATAAATGAAGAAAGGAAGAAAATAAAATGATTGAAATTTGAAAGTGAATTTATATAGTTTAAATCAATGGTGGTAACATTTATATTATATTTTAGACAGAATTTTGAAATGGGTTTGGAAAGAGAAGGTGCTCATTTAACAGTTATTCAAAATGGAAAAGTTATCATAAATCTATGGAATGGTTATTCAGATTCTGAATCACTTCGTGAATGGAATCGTAATACGAAAACAGTTTTATTTTCTACCACAAAAGTAAATTTCAGTATTAATTGAAGTGATAGTAAATTTTGGAAAATTCGCTTCTTTTAAATGTAAAATTTCATTTACTTCAGTAATTATCAGTTATGATTTTACTATTTTATAACATTAATGAAGAAATCAATTTAATATATTTCAGTTTGAATTTTTTTTTTTTTTTTATCACTTCAATAACCAAATCTCATTTCTATTTTTATTGTGTTATTGAAATTTTTTGCTGAACTGAAGAAATTTGTTCAAATTCAAACTAATAATTTAATTTAAAATATTATGTAACTCGAAAATATGCTAATTTAAAAGAAAATAGGACTAATTTTACTGATCGTTGATTGAAATATTCTTATACTTAGGAAATTTTTAACTTACAGGCAATTGCAGCACTCTGCCTAGCAATGCAAATTGATAGAGGTCGTCTATCATATGATGATCTAGTAGTGAAATATTGGCCAGAATATGGACAATGCGGGAAGCATATGACTACAGTTGAAGATATTTTAACTCATAAAGTTATCATTTACAATGAAATAGATTTGAAAAAAAAAATAGTAGAATTTTTGATACAAAAAAAAAAGGATCGATTAAATTTTAAAAAAAATTTTAAGTTTAACACTTTTATTTGATTGTTTTTTAAAGTATGATATATTTTTATTTGTATGATATATTTTTAACTTGTCAACTGTATCAAAAATTTGTATAGGCTGGTATTCCATATCTTGATAATATTACAATAGAAGATGTAGCAAATGAAAATAGAATTATGAAAATAATGGAGCAAGCTAAGCCTCTTTGGAAACCTGGAACTGCTACTGGGCGAGTTATCTTTTATATTGTCAAAATACTGTATTAAACATTTCTTTAAACTGTTTTTTTTTTTTTTTTTTTCTTTTTTTTAATGAGTAAGATTTTGTTGCAAAATTATTATGACCTTGTTTTGTGATAATTTTAAAATATTTTTCAAATTAAATAGCAATTTTATCATTTTTTTTAAGATATCATGCTGTGACATTTGGTTGGTTGATTGATGGTATTTTCCGTAAAGTAGATGAAAAAGGACGCAATATTAAAACATTTCTACAAGAAGAAATAGCTGATAAATATGGCAATCTTTTCATTGAAATCAAATTTTGCATTTTAATTTAGTATTATGATTTTTATACATTTAGAATTTAGTAATATGAAAAAATTCTAAGGTATTGATACTACGATTGGTTTGTCAAAGGAGGAATTCAAGAGTTTAGCTCGAGCAACGCAACCTGGATTACTTGAATATGCTCGAGATGTGTTATTTGATCTACGAGTAATTATCATGCTTGCAATGATGTATGCACAACCATCAAATTCTTTAGCAGCAAGAATTCGAATTCATCCATCATGGCTTCCGTTGAATTTTGTAAGATTTTCATGAATATATAACTTTCTCAAGTTCCATAAGTAATTTGACAATATTTTGTGATTTTTAAATTTATTACCAATATATTAATTGCTTATGTTCAATATGACATTACTAAATAACATCTAAAACTATTGTTTTTTTCTTCTTTTTTGAGGATTTTCCATATTTTTTTCAATTCAAAATGTTTTACTCTTTCGTAATTCTTTCAAATCAAAATACTGAAAATTCTCTAGGATACGGTAGCACTGAATGATCCAAATATTGTTGAATTAAATATGGCGGCAATAGGAGGTGTTAGTGATGCTTACAATTTGGCAAAGCTTTTTTCATTGGCAATTGATGGAACACTTTTAAGTAATCAAACACTTGCACAAATAATTCGACCAACTATTACTAACTGGCATTTGGAACAAGTTTTCCTATATCCATTTGTTAAAGGTCGAGGATTCTTTTTTGAAAAACATCCTGTTAATAGGGTAAGTACAGCTATATTTAGGCAAAAAGTACGAACTATTTGCAGTATAACTACGTCATAAGATACATTGAAAATGTATAAATCATTAGTTAGAAAAGAAAATTGTATCGTGACATGGTTATATTTCGCTATGAATTATAAAAATACGACTTCCTAAACTTCAATTTTATTGATAATGACGAATTTTTACAGATCTTAGATTCAGATAACCTTCAATACTCTCCAATTTTCATAATTCATGACAAAGTTCAAATAAGGGCCAGATTTAATACCAAATAAATTGATGTTATGAATCAATGCTAACTTGTAGAACACGTACTTGTTTGGACATCCAGGATACGGTTGCCAAGCACTGAATATCGATTTTGACAATAAACTTGTCATTGCATACGTATCAAATGGTTTAAAAACAGGGAGCGGTAAAATGTGTAGGACATATCAGTCAATACTTCGATCTCTCTATCAATCGTTATGAATAGTAACATTTCTGTATATATTTGTAGCTTTTGAAATTTAATTCAACAATAAACAAATGAATTTTTTGTGACTATCAGTCTTTGATATGAATATTTTCAATCTCTGGTAAGAATCTTCTTTAAATTTGATTTTTATAAAAATGGTTGCTCTTTGCAGTAAAATATTGTTGTGTAGACTTTGCAGCAGTTTGCAAAAGAGTAATATGATAATTAAAAGCGTTACAAAGGAATAGTTTTTTTACGACAAGGTGTTCATTGAAACTACTGCTCGTTTTTAATAAGATGCAATTTTATATGCATCAAACTGTATTAAATTAGCTCAAAACAAAAATCGTACCCTCATCATACTAGTTCAAGCACGTAAGACTTGTCTCAACAACATTATATCACATTTATTTAACACTGCTGAGAAAGTATAAATTCCAATTTACAGAAATTAATATCGGCATAATTGGCCTATAGGCAAATACTTACTTTATTAAAACCTGTACAACATAATCTAAGTGATAATGGTCCTACGCCGCTTATCTCCAGCTCCAGGCACTTTTTTACGCTCAACAACTGAATCAAAAAATTTCGATAAGATAATTCGATTAGTGGAGCCAGGTGAAATTGGACGCTGACAATTTAAAAAGATTCGATCATATGCTGTCTGCAAATAAAAATTGATTAAAACTGGCCAAAATTCCTCGAAAAACTACATCTAGATAATTAAAATACCATAAAAGAAACTATAAAATTCACAATTTAAAAATTTTTGCATTATGACTTGTGAACAATACCAAAGACAAACCTGCTTAGCTCGTTCAGGTGCTAAATCAGATTTACAGCCAACAATCAAAGTCGGCATTGCGATACTTTCAATATCGCTTAACAAAAATCGTGAACTGGATGAAGATGTGAACGATGAGATCACAGAAGGTAACGATGATTCGCCACGAAGTAACGCAACCCACTGCGAAAGATTTGATTCACTTTTCTTATTGCTCAAATCGTGTACTAATATCGCACCTGTAGCTCCTGAAGCAGCAAATAATTTGTTCTTTCCTGTATGCTATTCTTTATTGACATTAGAACTATACCAACAGAAATCCAGCCAATTAATACAGTTCTCAAGCAGGGATTGGAAAGTAGTAAACAGTTTGTAAAATGATTTATTTCATTCACCAGGTTTTTATATCATTTTTATATCAAAAGTAAAAGCAAAAACAAGAAGAAATTAAGAATCTTGCAGACAAAATTTATTAGATAAACACCGACTTCACAAAGAAATATCTTTAAACAATGAACCTTCAAAGAAATTAACAGATGCTTTTTGATGAACTGTGGAACCACCGATATCCCAGAGTTCAATAAGCTCTGTTTGCTCGTCGGTACTTCCAGCACGATATTGGTGAGCGATTACAGAAACAGCACAACCAACCGTACTACTAGGAATTATATCATGCCTGAAAACTAAGTGAATACCGCTGTTTTATTTTATTATTTTGAAATACAAAATAAAAAACATTTTTGTGCTTATGACATTACAGGTTATCAAGTTGTTTCAAAGGAGTCAAAAAGTTTTGTTTACTAAATCTCTTCAGTTCACCTCCTTATTTCTGAAAGTATGCCAATGTAAAAATGATTGTAAAAATAATGAGGGGATGTTTCGCCTGATCTCTGTTTTGAAGAAACAATGCATCACTGATGATTCAATAATACCTGAATGAATCATTCTTCTACAAAGCGAGCGCACGAAACTATACTGTTCTTCGTTTTTTTTTTTTCATAATCTCTATTTTTTGTTCTGGATAAAGACGTGAGTATAAGTGCTACAATTTGAGCTATGTAAAAAAAGTTTCATCCATATTTGTTTTTAATAAATTATTTGATTCGCCGGTAATCAAAAATATAAAAAATAAATATGCACGCCACCTGATCAGCTCATTCTACTTGCAGCAAAAAAAATTGATGAAATGATAATAACCTGTTGCAAACGGCGTTGACAAATGAACTTTTTCCGACACCACTACTTCCAAGGACGACGACCTTATGCGAGCTCATTCCCGACTGACTTCCAGACATAACGAACAATTTGGACATTCAAAATATGCAGAATTAACAATACGATCAATATCTGTCTTTTCAAGAATATATCCACCACCGCAACTAAAATATACCTGTATGAATCATAATATATTTGGCATTGAAACTTATATAATAAAACAGTTCGTAAAAGTGAAATTTCCGAACGTGTCTGAATTCTGTGAGAGGTTCAAGATATAGTTAAGATGTGGGAGAAAACCATTTAATTAAATACTAGATTAGTAAATACTTCCGCTAGTTTCAATCAGGTCAAAAAAAGCATTCAAGATGGTTACCTGCAAAACTCCTCAATCCGTTCAACAGTATTATCGATAACAATCTGTTGCCCAATAATACCTTGATCTTCACGTAGCAACTGTTCTCTCAACCAAATATTGTAATCTCGACGCGTGTTCTCGTTCCTAAGTGTATCAGAACAAATTATTCACAGGCCATAAATATCATTCACGGAATAAGGAAAATTGCGCAAAAAGAATTATTACGCAAACGTTCACACCTAATGAAATTTAATAAATTGTAATACCAACTTTAGGACAGACCACGCCTTCGTCACCAGAAATAACGCCAAGCTGGAACCACCCTTATCCGGATGACTGGTGCGCAGCTTACAAAAATAAGCTTCTTTCAGTTCACTATAAGAAGCTTCTGATGAACAACCTAACACATCGTAGCAATTTCTCATAATGATTCCTGAACATTCCAATTATTCCTCCTGCAAACATCACTTAGTTTATGAAATATTTGTGCCAACTATCGATTAATTGCAGTATGAATTTGTTTGTCGTCTGTCATGAAAACAAGCAAAAGCAACCACACATCGAATACATTCTAATAATTATGCAAATTCAAAGTAGAAAACATAGATGCATGCACCAACAACTTGCAGCTATACAACTTATCGCTCACTACAGAATATTTATTAGCGAAGGAAAAGCGTAACTTAAAGAATAAAGGATTAAAATACAATAAAAGAAATAAAACAGAGAATTTTACGTATAATCTGTACATTAACGAAAACATTTGTAAACGAAGGCACCTTTGACCCCGTTATTCTGGGAACAAATTACTAGACATTTGTACAATGTTCTCAGAGAAATGATGAAAAAGTGTTAATCTCAATATCTAACACACTCTTAAATTTAAAGATAACGGCACTGGATCCTACTTCGCATGAAATGCAGAATCACGAGATCAAATAAAAGATGGTACGGAAAGAAGTATAACATAAATACATATTAAGATGCTACATGATTCAAATATATTACATTGCAAATTCATACTTCGAATTTAAAACGTATATGTTAAAAAATTACAACAATCTTTTCAATCAAAAATCAAAAGTTTAACTGTAATCAAAGAAGAAATGGAAAACACAAAAGAAATCCCTAAAAGGAAAATGACAAATTTTAATCCGTTCTAAGTCTCCAAAGCATATTTCCATTACAAAGGAATTGCTTTAAGAATAAATTCGAGAAACACAAAAGAGAAACTCATACTAATCAGGACTTTCGATTGAACGAAATGGTATAACTGGACGCAATGGAAATTTAATTGAACGATCCGACTGCAAGCTCTGTTTCTCGAAGTCTTCTGTTATATGTTGACGTTCGGATGATGAACGAAACTTGTAGCTGACATTTGCATACTGTTTCAAGCATGGACAAGCTTCAAGCAGAAATGAGCAAAATGGTGCACGCATCGCAAACCACCATGGATTACCCCCACGCGCACCAAATGACATTAAAATCAAACAAAGTAGTGCCAAATCTAATGGAGCACAAACAATGATGAAAGCAATTTGGCTGACTGGTTCATCGTCTGACCATGATATTGCATCCAACTTACCTGAAATTAAAAACAAAGAAAATCTGGTAACATCCAACAGCATATTTCCATGTCAGTTTTTAATTTTGTTCCAGATAAATACACCGAGTGTTTTATTCGTATGCTCTAAATGAAATCAATACTTCAACAAAAGAAGGAAAGCGAAGATTAAAGAAAAAGTCATTCAACTATCCTTCATCATCCCAAGACTTTACTAAAACCCAGTTTACAGAAAAACTTAAATGCGATATACATACCAGTTAGAAGCAAAAGGAATACAAGAATTGGTATCACAAGTAAAGTATGACACAGAGCGGAGTATAGATGCTGTCTTCTCTGGGAAGCTAACATATGAACTGATCGTGCCAACACAACTGCCAGAACAAATGCATAAAGCACCTGTAATATGTTTACTGATCTCATTTGAACTTTTAAATAACTGCAATAATTATCACAAAGAAGAAATAAAGTTAGTGACATTCAAATATGAATAGCATTTTTACAAAATTATGTAAGCAACGATCGATGAACGAATCGGAATTCGCTCAGTGAAAGTATAAGGCAATGAAATAAACTTACTCCGACGACGCTTAAGGATAGGACCACCCACAACGGAATGAAAACGATTGTCCAATGCCAATCCAATATACCATCCAATTTGAAAGCAACAAAAACAAACTGCACAATGTTGATGGAAAAGAAGAGTTCCAACTACAAACACTAATTATGAATTATATCGATTGTAAAAAAACCCACTATATCCATGTAAAAAATCAAAAGCAACCACATAATTTTAAATTCTACAGAGCAAACAACAACCTCAAATGATTTATCGTTTCTGATTGCCCATATAGCAACAACAACAGAGAGTAAGCTTAGAGCGAAAATGGGGACAAAAACGAGCAACCAAGGTAATTCATCCACTGTTGCATTTGCTTGCAATTTATGACAGCATAATACCTCAAACAATATCAGTAATCCATGCTCTCCGGTACATAATATCATTCCGTAAAAATCCGAACGAAGTGAGCTCTCTGTCCTATAACACTTTAGATTTTTTTGGAATTTTAATTTAGAACCATCAAAAACCACTAAATTAACTATAAAAACTGTTTCACGACATGCAGCAGAAAGATAAACCAGTTACGCAAGATAAAATGCTGCATTATCAGTTGATTTTTAATTCAAAAACAAAGAGAATGATGAATATGAAATACGAGCAACTTACAAAGATGGGGGGGATATAACGAAGGATATTGCTGCAACAATAGCTCCAAGAAAAACTATGAATTCGCAAATCCACAACGGTAAAAAGACAAGGGCGTAATTAAGCTCGATAGTACCATCAAAACGTAATGGAAGAAGTATAAAGAAACATAACAAACAACTGTACAGAACGAATTTCCTATAAGACTTAATAGTTTATATTTATAATTGGAATTTAATCAAAACAGCTGTATTTCCCTAAATGCACACCGAAGTGTCTGATGATTGCAAACAGTGTCTGAATAACCGATAATTGAAATAAAAATAAAATCTTTTGGGTGAAAAAAAAAAAAAAAAAAAAAAAAAAACAACTAACATAATTAAGTAAATCAGATAGTGGATATCATGCAAAAAGTGTGGAGAACCAAATAATTATTTTTTAAAAATTAGTTATATAGGTAATTGCTAAAAAGAAAACTTACGGAGCATTAAAGTCCCGAAAAAAACTGCGAAGACTAAGTTCCATCTTTAATTCTTCCATTGAATGTCTTGATGACGCAGGCTGGACAATGGAAACGATATTCCACACATTAAATTGATCATATCTATGTCATCTTTTCTACCAAAATTCGATGCAAAATTGCTGTAGAAAAATAAAAAATAATTTAGCTGAAAACAAGAAAAAAATATGTACCCATATTGCTGAATAACGATGATACTTTCAACAGATCAAATATATGAGACGAAAGTTCTTATCTGATTTAACAATAATACCAAATAGCAGTATTAACAACAACCGCAAATACAGTTGCTGTGACTAAGGTATGTACGTTTTTATCTAGTAAATGACTAATTAAGACAAAACAAATGTTTGTCAGGCGGGTAAAATAAAAAGCAGGAAAATAGGACAAAAAACATTGTAAATATGTAATATCATAGCAGATTGTAGGATTAAATAAAAGAGAATTAAGATTTTGAAAATATGACATATGTAGCATATTATGAAGAACGTATAACTGTCATTCGCATTATTACTCAATAAAACCCCCTAAACCTCGGAATTCTCCTTCATAAGCTCAAAACACTGCATAAATATTGCTAGGAAATATGCTGCATCAATAAAATATATCCAAATTTTCTAAAATCCTAAATAGTGATAAAACCATTATGTCTTCTAAATAAATAACTAGCTAAATATATGAGGATAATACATCACCAACAAATTTAAGAAACAATTAACCCTCACACACTGTGACGTAATTGACGTATAAACAACACGGTAAGAATTCACGGCACGGGCAAATCGTGGAACATAACAGGAAGCACAGTGAGGTTTGGGTTTGTGTGGTATTATTTCAGCAAACTTTCTCCATCGATCTGTTCATAGATGGAACTTCAGATTCCGCCTAAATTTGTGTCATCTTAATCTTTTTCAATTTAGATGACTGTTTCAGATGGTGCAAGTCTTTCCTGCAACATATAACAGTTGACATGGGTTGAAGAAAGGTAAATTTGGGAAATGTTGACATTGCCAACTCGGCGAATTATTTTTTGGTTAAAACTAGCGATCATAATTACTTGCATATCGTTCATCTTTCTTTTCACTCATCTTGCTGAAATCACCGAAAAACCTCATTACAGGTAGTGAATTTTGTTCATATATAAATATCACTGATGAATTCATGATTGTAATTCAACTATTTTTAATATTTTGGAGGGAATTAACTACTTTTAAGTAAATTATTATTCAATTCATCATTTCATTGCATCCTTCTTTTCCGAGATTTAGTGCTTGAATGAATAACTTTTTGTAAATGTACGCAAATGACTGCAACTTTTGTATACGAGTATCCCCCTGTCTGTCTGTACATATATCATATCATCCCATATGGTATTGTTTTTGCAGATATCCTGCGCAACATATACCACCATATCACTGTCCATTGTCAAATAAAACGGGTACAACCTATAAGCATCATGGATTTGTTAGAAATAAGACAAATTTTTTAACGGATGGAAAGGTGCTGGTATTTGTAGAAACGTTGTATTCGAAGCTTGGAAAGCAAATAATTAACATATTAGATGCGCTGAAGATACCTCGTAAAGTTGAAACTCTTACAAAAAATCTTCCGCTTCTAACGACCGCAAAACGTGGACGTTTCTCAATTATTATTGTTGAAAATTATTATAAATATTTAAATTTACTATCATGGAATCGGCAACTTCTTGATAAATACTGTCGTGAATATAACGTTGGTATAATTTCCTTTATTGGTAATCGACCCAACAGCTATATTAATGCAAAAGTCAAAGGTTCACAGTTGACAATTCACACCCAACAACGTGCTGTAAATCTTCGCTTCAATGAACGGTCGCGTGTTAATTTTATTAGTAAACCAGGTGCTGTGTTACAAGCACCAGAACCGGATAAAAATGATTGGATATTATTTGACATCATTAGCGGTAAATAATATATACTTCCAAATTCATTTTTCTGTATGTTTCAAAGGCTAGGGTTTAACTGTAAACTTCCACAGTTTGTGATCAAATATGTAATGAATTGAATTTTAGTAGAAGTGATTAGTATCCATTTGTTTTGTGAGGTGAGAAGAAAACGTACCATTTTTTCAGGCTATGAAGGTATTGTGCTGGCTGACGATATTTTTGGAGAAGAACGCGCTAGTGTGATATTAGACGATGGATCGGAAGATGGTATTGAAAAGATTTTGTTTGGGCATAATTTCACTCATTGGATCAACAAATTAGCTTTTCTTGATTCTTTAAGGTTTAGATTTTTTTTTTTCTAAAGTATTTCGTAATTTAGCTTTCAAATTATTTTGGGACCTTATGTGCATGGAAGAGATAGAATTATACTTGCCGCGCACTTTTTTTCAGCATTTTTTTCGTAGGTATATGCGAGAATCTCTGATGTATGATGACTTGGAGCGATTTGTTCAAATCGACATCGATGACATATTTGTTGGTACAAGTGGAACACGCATGACTAAAGTGGATGCGGATGCTCTGTTGCAATCGCAGTTTCGCTTACGTCGAGATATTACAAATTTTACTTATTCCTTGGGTTTTTCTGGTTATTATTTTCGAAATGGTGACTCCCTTGAGGACAAAGGTGACGAAAGGCTAATTGGTACAATTTTAAGACTTCATCTTTAAAGCATTCAGCTTTAAAATGTTATGCTGAAATGTAATTTTTTCCAGAAATTGGCAAACATTTCCTTTGGTTCCCTCATATGTGGAAACACAATCATGCACACGAACATAATCAAACATATTTGGAAGCTATTATGACTCAAAATAAACTTTTTGCACAGGTTTGGTCTCAATTCAGATCTTCGTTGCTTGAAGTCTCTGAGTTCTTGATAATATGATATTCTTGATAAATTTGTTGGATATCTTGGAAATTTTCAAATATTTCAAAAAGCATTTATGAAATACCAACCTTTGTTAATGTTTGGAATTTAATTTTTAGAGTATGGCCTTGCATGTCAGTTCAGGTTATGCTGTATCGCCACAACATGCTGGTGTTTATCCGGTTCATGAAGCATTGTATAATTCGTGGCAGTTAATCTGGAATATTACAGTAACATCAACAGAGGAATATCCGCATTTTCGACCTGCATCAGCACGCCGCGGCTTTGTACACAGGAACATATCGGTAATTTTTCCACATTAGGAAGATTAATTTTTGTACGTTTTTTTGATCGATCCATAACTCATCTTTTTATTCTTGCATTTGTCATCATTGCATGAATAGGATACAAATGTCTCTACCTTAACCCTTATTTTAATTAATGCTTGATTTTGAAATTCTGAAGCAGATCGTACGTATGATGCTAACTTTTTTGTAGGCTTCTGCAGTTTGGCTTTAAAAAAATACGTTTAGGTGCTTCCGCGACAAACTTGTGGTCTCTACACTCATACACAATTCTTCCACTCATATCCTGATGGATTTACAAAATTACTGAGTAATATTGAAGGTGGTGATCTGTTCTTCACTATAGTGATTAATCCAGTGCGTATTATTATTGGTGTTTTATTGTTATTCCACTCAAAATGTTTTTGACTCTTGCTTAAAATGAAAATTTTTATCTTATAGTTAATAGTTCTTGATGAATAAGAAGTATATTTCTGACCAGTAATTCTAGGAAGACTAGGAAGGAGTCACAAAAATACGACATGAAATTTCAGTTTTCGATCTTTATGACACATCAACAAAACTACGCGAACGATCGCCTCGGTATTTTCTCTTTTGAGCGAGTGATAAATTTTATCAAATGTTGGACAAATTTACGTTTACGGTGGGTAGAACCTGTACGCATGGCTTCTGCTTACTTTGCCCGTTATGCGGCTGAAAAAGTTCCAGTCTGGAGTGTAAGTTTACAAGCTCTGTAATTAATTGACATTTGTGGGATTACTCAATTACCAAAATAAAAAAAGTGATCATTAATGAAAATCAGATGAATTTATGATTTGGATTTCTTATTGTGTTTCATAGCCTGGTGAAGTTTCTCTTTGTATTCTGAACTTGTATGTTATTTAGTCATAACTTTCTCTTCTTGTGACTTTTTTTTTCGTCTATTCTTTTTTACAAACCATGATTCTAGAAATTTTTTTAGAATCCTTGCGATGATCCAAGACATGCAAAAATCCTTCCACAACCTTTCAATTGTTCTGAGATGCCGCTTCCGAACATGCTTGTTGTGGGACCGCAAAAAACTGGTTCAACTGCTCTTGCCACATTTCTTAACTTGCATCCGAATTTCTCTAGTAATGATCCAGTTCCATCATCATTTGAGGAGTTGCAATTTTTTGGAGGGCCGAATTATGCTCGTGGATTGCATTGGTAACATTTTATTGTATACATTTTTCGGTAATTGATTACATTCTTAATTGATTTTCAGTGGTATAAGAGATCCTGTTACAGGTATATGGACCAGTTTCGTTCTAAAATTGATCATCTGATTGTTTTCGAGAAAAGTGCAACTTATTTCGATAATCCGGATGCCCCACGTACATCATTTGCTTTACTACCAAAAGCAAAAATCGTTGTTGGTTACTAATGATTTTGCATTTTTTTTTTTTGCATTTGAATAGTTTGCAACTATTCTTTGATATTCATCTTTTGAAAAAAAACAAATTAATATTATTTAGCGAAGCATTTTCAGTCTTTTTTTCAGATCATTCTTTTGGATCCGGCAGCGCGTGCATATTCCTGGTATCATCACATGCGTGCACATAATGATACAACAGCAATGACGCATGAACTAGATCAAATTCTGGATGCCAACGTTTCGTCGGTTCTTTTGCGGCGCCTTAGAAATCGCTGTATTTCACCTGGAAGGCATTCATTAATATCAGCAGATTTATATCCCGTGCTAAATTACGGGCTGATAAGAATTAAAAATTAGTGGAGTTGTATAAAGGGTTAATTCGCTTCAGTGAAATCTTAATGTTTCAAATGAATGAAAACATCTGATATTTTAACTCGAAAATTTCAGATATACGCATCATTTGGAACACTGGTTGGATTATTATCCATCGACGCAAATTCATTTAGTTGATGGTGAACAGCTTCGTACAGATCCAGTGACTGCTATTACCAATTTAGTTGATACTCTCCATGCACCAAAATTTGCCTTCAGTGATCTCATTAAATTTGACGACAAAAAAGGATTCTTTTGCAGTTATATTAACGGTACAAATTAGTTGTTTCTGTTTGAAGTTTTTCAAAAAAGAAACTTTAAAGTAATGCAGCAAAAAATTGCCATATATGTCAGAAATTGTGAAGTAAAGTGCGTTCTTATTTTTAGTTTTGATTGCATCTTTTTTTCAGGAACAAAAAGATGCTTAGGTACAGGTAAAGGGCGCAAATATGAACCGCTCGATGAGAAACTTCGTGAGAAACTAGATCTAATTTTTAGAGATGACAATATTGCCTTGCATAAGCTGCTGTTGCGTAATGATTTGCCTATTCCGAAGTGGCTACAAAACCAACTTTCCAAAACTAATTTTACTTGAGTACTGAGGGAATGGGAAGGAGATAGGTTGTAATTTATAAGGGATGGATTTTTATTTGATATTTGAATGTTTTAAGAAATTTTCTTGTGTAATGTCAGTCATATAAGCTACTGCCACTCCTTACTTTTTGCTTGACTTGATTTAATTGCAAGGCACCATTCGAAAGCCTTATTTTCCGAAAGGTTTCTTTCAAAGCCTACTTTTTATATGAAATTATCCTCCTTGTTGTCTAGTGACCGCAGCTTTTTCACTATCCTTTTTTTTATTTAAATTTTATTTGACTGTACTTCAACACATCTTTAACTCCAGTATTTCGAGTATTTCTGCATAAATGTATGGGTCTTCCGCAATCACTTACAACTGGTGCATTTAAAAATGTTGTAATGTATTTGAGCAATTATTTTTATCAAGTTGCCTTTCACTTAACGTATTGTATAAAACTCGCTATTGTAAATTTCAGCTGACATATCGAATTTGTATGTACGCTTAATAAGGCCCACTTTAGTTTGGACCACAGAGCAAGCAGAGTTTATCCATGTCGAAGTTTGCGTTTGAAATCCAAACAAGGAATTGTTGTTTTCGTAACAAGTGCAAAATTATCCTAATGCTGTAATTGTTTCTGTCTTATGGTTTTCTTCTCTTTTAACGGAGCAATTTCAAGAATTTTGTATATGATACTGTTCCACGCATATTTAATGAGGTGGAGAAATATTGTAAAGCTCGCAAATAAGCTAAAATATGTGATGACAAATAAAACAGAAGAGTAAACTATGTAGTAACAGGAACAACCCTGTAACAGCACCAGATGTTTCTATATTCAAATGAATGCTCTGCTAATTGGAACCTACATTCTTACTCTCTCCTGTGCGGCTCTAAAATCCAGTTTAGAACATCGTGAATGCATCATGGGAATATTTATTGGTGAATACACCTCTGATATAAAAACATTTACTCCAGTAAAGTAATATAACTATTACAAAGAGATTTCTCTTGTGGATGGTATGAGGCGGTGAGAGATAAAAATGCGAACTAGTTGTATTTGTTCGTAAAACAATTTCAGGATACAGGAAATCAATATCACCGAACAACGATTGAACTCATTATTAGATATTTTGATGAGAAAATTCACGGCACCCTAAGTCGCTAGATAATTCTAACTTCATCTATGAAAAACTGATAATGAAGACACACTGAGATAATTTCGAATAGACAAAGCGAAGAAATCCAAACGCTAACTTTTGTGGCTCATCGTTTCACAGATTACTTCGGCCAAATTACCAACCTGCCGATGTAACAAAAATATTTTGATACTTTAAAACATAAATCATAACTGACTGCATGCAACGTGAAACTTGGATTCTAAAACTGTATCAGGAGGCAGTGGACAAAACTGATCACAGACGATCAATTCTGAGAAAGTGCTGAACGATCAATTATTTTTTTCAAAAACAATTTCAAAATTGGTTTGGTTTTTAAAGCAAAGTTATTATTTTACCAAATATTCTTTACAAAAAAAAAGGAAAAATATTAAGTTTTTAATAAATATCCCGTTCAAAGATATATTTCTATGCTACATCTCTATATTTGAAAATAGAATCAGGGACCGAATCCGGATGGAAATAATCGATACATGTGAAAGACAATTCAAATGGTTATAAACAACAATCCACTTGCAAACCTCTCATTAAATAGGTTAACAAATAATATACTAATTGTCCAATGTATCGAGTAAATCAATGATGCGTTCCATAAAGCGAACGTGTGCTTTCTTCCCATCCTGAAATAAACCGAGAGAAATAATTGTCTAATAAAGAATACTATAAATCTTCCAAAAAAGTTTTAAAAAAAGAAGTCCAGATGAATAAGGAACTAGTTATGAACAGACCGTTAATTTGATAAATTCCAGAAAGCGCTGAAGCTGTTCAATTAGTGCAACCAACTTTCCGTTCTTCATTTCTGCTTTTACTATATGTACTGATTCCTGTAAAATCATAACTAATCTAAGTGTTACTATCATTAACAAAAGAAATTTTGAATTAAAAAAAGGGAAAAACCGATGGACAAGAAAAAGATAAACCTCATTTTGCAATAATAAACACCCAATCAAAAGTGCGAAGTACGATGCCAAAACTGAGTCTTCCATATGCGAGCTAGCCTTATTCATGGCATTTTGTACAGCTTCAACCATTTCATCCTCGGATAATTCCGTTGGCAATCGATGCAACCGACCATCATCTGAAGTATTAAAAACTTGGCTACTAAAATGATCTGCAACAAATTCAACTTATTAAAAAAAATATAATTCTTGGAGATGACAAACAGTGTCTTCATCCAAAAAATAAAAATAACCTTCTATCTCCTCATCATGACTAACACTATCATCTGGAGCATCCTCAATAACAAGATCATTATCGAGTTCCTCATCAATTGAACGAGCCAATGATTCGTGATACACAAATAACTAAATATTGTTTAAAGTGTTGTAAAATAATGAACAAAAATGTCGCTTCATTTTAAAATCAGAACGCGGAACAGCTATAACAACATTCTTTCTTCATCCCTTGGGAAGCTTGATACAAATTTTCATTCTAAAACTGTCTATAAAATCTAGCTGAAACGTGAATCACAACCACAACTTCATCCATAAGCTAAAAGAAACAAAAATAACCTGACTAAGGGCCTTCAGTGTTGGTTCCTGTCTTTCTGTTCTACTTTCGAGATCATAAACTGGAACTGTAAGTCCAATCAACTTACGTCTGTTAAAATTACAGCGTTCAAGCAAATTGACCAAAAGACTACACAGCTGCAAAAAAAAAAAAAAAAAAAGAAAAAAAAAAGAAAAAAGTGAATCGCAGACCCCAAAAGTGAGATTAGAAACAAACAGTAAAATAAAATACGTGAACAAAAAAAGCTTACCAACACGATGAGATCAAATTGCTTCTCCCTGCGAACATACTTTGGCACCAAATAGGTGAAGCAGGATACGCAAAGTGAGAGAAAATCATTCATCTGACCCAATTTCGTGCAGCATAATTCTGCAACATTAATTCAGTGATTTCAAAGAAAAAAAAAGGTACTACAATACACTATAATATGACTATAATATAATCGAACAAAACGCAAAAGAACAATCAACATACCATTTTCATATGATAAACTCATCAATAATCCAACCATTCGATTTAAACATGTAATATTTTGCTCCTTTAATTCATTGATATCGTCACCAAGTCGTCCTACTGTTCGAAACAGCAAAGACATGAGCCTAGAAAATTATATTGTGGTGAATCTTCATAAAAGATACATCCAACTGAATCTTAGAGAGAGTTATGAAAAAGGAATTATATCACAACATCACTGGTTTTTTAGCAATTTTACACTTCAACAATTATTATCAGAGTTCTAATAATTTCGGTTTTTACAAGTTTCTAGGGAGAAGACATCAAAGTTACAGTACACGCATTCAAAATTAAATAGTTCTTCACATAATTTATATAACAATGCATTTCTTTTTATTTCACTTCAAAAAATTTTGAATCCCATCCTTTGAAAACATTTTGATTTCATAAATACCTTCCGCATGATTGGATGAGGGCGCTCCCTCGATGGCTAATCAAATATGCTCCGTTCTTTTCATTGCAGACTGTTGCCTTCAAAACAAATAGTTATTCCAAATTCAGCAAACTATTGAAATGACAAAATTCACTTCAGTTCTCAATACATAAGTGTTATACAGTTTCAAACGCAGAAACCAACAAGACATCTATAATATTAAGGTCCAGCATGCATTTACGTAAGCTCATAAAAAGAAAACGCACTGATTCGAGTACTCTGAAGCATCGTTCAAGGACTTTCAAGCAGAGAAGCATATCCTCATCCGATATCTTCTCATGCAACAAGCGCAATACTGTCTTGTCCACTGCAATAACAGAAAAAAAAAATGAAATTACGATAATTTTGCAGATTAGAGTATTAGAAGCTCCCCAAAAATATTGCCAGAGTAATTACACAAACTAGTAGCATGTATAATTTTCTAAAAGAAAAGCTGAAAATCTAGCATTTTATAAACCACAAGAATCTTAACGATATTTATGTGATGCACTAATTTATTTAACTGCAGTAAGCAGTAAATGTGAAACAAACTGATTAGTATCAATACTTTTAGAAACGATCCACTGAAGTATGCCCACGTTCAACAGTTCACTTTGCAATGACTGCTCACGATGTTTACGCGCACATATGTAAACAAGCGACTCCAAAATCAGAAACGAAGGCTGTAATAATATTACAGTGTGTTACACATTAAAGGTTTTCATAGTTTCGCACATAGCATGGAATGAATAACTAAACAATCGCACCGAAAGAGTTTTTTCCGTAATATCAAATTGAACTTTCTTTGATTCTGTATTTGCAAATGATTTTTCCAACCACTCCTTCAGTACATCCATCACCTGAAACTCTCATTTACGCTTCGAAAAAGGCGTAATGATAGCACTGCAACCAAATAGACAAGAAGGTTTCAAACATTCGGACAAGAGAATTTACATTTACATTTAATTTGACATCTTATCATTTATAAGCGCGATATTTTACAACATCATACAAGGCTAATGAAGCTATTACCGATGTTGTAGAGTTAGGAATATAAATCTTTCCCAACAGGAACTATGTACCTCTCTAATGCAAAAACTAAGTTATATGTAGTCGAGTACCCACCATTTTCGAATATTTCATGCATTCTTCACTCAGATTTGGATTCTCCAATTTTAACAGCTGACTGAACAAACGAAGCGCAGGTGCATCAACAAATACAGAAGTGGTATCGCGAGATAACAAATAAACAACCACTGAGATACAAAGTGCCAAACTCTGAAATGTAATAAGAATTCAGTCGAATAATAATATCTACATGTGGTATCACCATTACATGTTCAATTAAAACAATTTTTCTCCTAAATCATTATGTATAAAATGATAAATTTAAAAAATGAGAATGGATGACTAAATTACAGGTGACTTTGGTGAGTCAGGAATTGCCTTCAGTGTCCGACTGATCAAATTGTTAGATCGGAAAAATCGCCGGAATTCGCTCGAAACACATTTCTTGGCCAGTGATATGATGCTAAATTATTTAAAAAAAGAATAGAAATGACCTAATTGAGTGAACCATTTTAGACTGTTACGACACAAAACATCCACAAACAATAATCAGTGTCGAAGTATGGAGAAGGCATTAATCTTAGAAGATGCAAAGGAATATGCAGAATTCTATTACCTTAAACATTTCAGATTGTTCGATGACGCTGAATCCAGAAGAGTACTCAAAATATATTTCACATCGTCACTGAAATCATCCTGTTCACCCGACTTCAAGCATTCATGTGCCTCCTTTACATCTCGAATCCAAACATGTGCTCGATCGCCTTTCCTACTACGATCTATTATACCTGACGAACCAACGGTACTTACATTTGCTGGAGTAGCCGTACTATTGTCCTGACAATTCATTAATTTAAGCATTAAGCTTAGACAACAAACAACAAGTCAGTCGGTTACAATAAATTGTTCTTATAAATAAGCTTTCAAAAAAAAGAGGCTTAATAACAACAACTTCTCTAGGCATAACAACCAAATTAGGAAAGCAGTACTTTTGCTTTAGTAGTTATTAAACCCGCATTTGAGTGTTTCGAAAGTAACCCAACATCGTCATTATCATCATCGTCATCCAACATCCACCTGTGCTTATACGCAGCTTTAATTCCCAGCGCATATTCTTTTCCAGAAGTTTCCACTTTTTCTGAAATATTTGTAGTATGGTTTGCACATTTAAAAAATTTAATGCATAAAAAATACTACATGTGTAACCGTTAAACATTGTGACTTATCGTGGCTACAAAATAAGCTCGATATAAAATAAGTCACTTTATTCTGAAAAATTCATACACAGGTGTATTACGAACTACTTCAACAATGAAATTTTCAAACATATCCATAACAACGTCGCACCTTGAGAAATAGTACATTTTTCTTCCGGTTTTGCACGTTTCGCTTGAGGAGCTATCTCATTGCTACCTTCATTGTCTTCATCTTCTTCATCTTCTATTTCAAAGCAAAAAACATCACTACGCTGCGGATTAGATTCAGTAAAATGGTGTTTCGGAACCACAGTTTTCTGCTGATCTGCATCTGAGTCAGAAGACTGCTTGGTAGGTGATGAACTGGGGGATTTACCATCAGAAATTCTAGCATGCGTCATAGAGATATTTAGTGCGCATGTGGATGAATAATTATTTCCAAACTTGCTGCCACTGCCCTCTTCTTCGCCACTTTCATCAGACTGCAAAAGTAAGTATATTCAGCCTGCTGTTAAAGTAAGACAATAATGAAGTGATTAGAAAACTGAATTTAAAATTCGAAAAATACATTTCAGCTAAACTCCTTCACAGAATGCACGTGTTTATTCTAAAAGTGAATATCAAGGCATAACTGTTCACTTTATAAGGAACTTGTCCCACAGCATACCTGAATCGGATAATTAATTTTGAACATAGAAAAAAAAAAAAAAAAAACAATCTTTTTCATATGCTCGAGTATATGCTTTTTTACTTAAAAATTCCATTCGCTATTTGGAAGGCTTCTACTCCTGCGAAAAATAAAAGGCAATAACTGTGATGTTATAAATAGGATAATTGGAAACCAAAAACGAATAACATTTCAGAAACAAACCTTCTCAAAGTCTGGAATACTGACCGTCGGAGAAAGAAACGAGCTGCTTGATGGACTTGGTGTACTTATTTCACTATGAGTTTGATCCCTCTTCGGAGATGCAGGTTTCGATGAACTAGATAAAACAGCTTGGAAATTCTATTTTGTTTAAATTAAAGGTACTTTATTTATTGCAACTTATATGACCAGAAACTCCATTGACCAGTCCCACCAAAACTGAGAAGTAGGGAATCGCCAAGTTTCAAACCTAACCTTTACAGGAGCTCATTATTAAATGTAATAAAACAATCAATAAAACCAACGGATATGTAAAAATTTACGGATCTAAATCTAGAGGCCTTCCCAATGAAGTAGATGCTTTGGATTGATTAGCAAATACAGAATCGAAAAGTGCAGCTGCCTTATCTTTTTTTGACGAATCGCCGTAACGACGAGTAGACTTCCAGTTTGAAAAGCTCGACATCCTAAGTTCTGATCAATCTGTAGGAAAAAATATATATATATATATTAGTAAGGTATGTCACATTAAAAAGCGGAAATTGCAAATATCTGCACTGCTTAGGACGACTTCTTGCCGATACTCATATAAAGTTCCTTAACTACTACAACTGCAAGCAATCACCAACGCATTTTGACTAAACCAGTTTTCACCAGTAGCAATCACGTCGCCCATCTTAAAATCCAGTAGATAACACCATGCACATGAAGACCAACAATGAGCTTACCGGGCTAACTACCCTGGGTAACTAATATTAAATGCATTAATAATTAAATATTGAAAGTAAAAGTATTTGTTTGGAGAAAAGCATAACTTTGGTATAACTAAATGGAAATAATGCGAACTTTCGAGCTTTATTCAATGTAACAAATTAACAACATATATATATATATATATATATATATATATATATATATATATATATATATATATATATATATATATATATATATATATATATATAACAACTATTGAGCAAGACATTTACGCGAAACAAAATGATTACGAATTGGTGAAAAAGTAGATGGACATATGAGATACGGACCACTTTGATAAAATTTGCACTTTCAAACATTTCTTAAAGCTCTTGACCTTCCTTTACTATTCCTGATTATTCCAATCATATTTTTCTTTTACAAAAGAATGAGCTTCGCGTCAATCATGTTATATCCACGGCTTAGGGAGGCATCCGCAAACCACCGTCAAGGCGTATTACTTCCCCATTCAAATACCGATTTTCGATAATATGACGCACCAAGGCACCAAATTCTTCTGGACTACCCAATCTATTCGGAAGAGGAATCATGTCGGCTAGAAAAGTTCGTACCTGAAACGTAATAATAATATTTGTAAAACAATACATACGTAAGTTCTATTAATTGTCGCCAGAAAGTAATACTGTTTGTTACCTTTTCGGGAAGTCCACTCATCAACGAAGTATCAAAAAGACCCGGTGCAATTGTCATGAATCGTATTCCATCCTCTGCATAATCACGAGCAAATGCAAGCGTTGCACTTACGATAGCTCCTTTGGAAGCTGCATAAACACTCTGAGAGAAAATAACATCACTTTTGGCATTAAATGTTTCTGAATTATCAAGATTGCTACATATTTCATCACCTATTTCCACAGAATCCCTTGAAAATATAACGAAATTTTAAAAATGATGCACCTGTCCTACTTGTCCATCGTAAGCTGCTATAGATGCCGTATTGATGATGACACCACGAAAACCTAAACTGTCCCTGCTCTTAAGCGCAAATGTTTCAAGAGCCTGCTGTATAACATTGAAAGTACCGAAAACATTAACCTAAAACTAGAATAATGTAGCAAACACCAAACTGCATCCACTACACTTTTATATCCATCACCAGAAAAAGAGACCGAAAACATCATTTGTAATTTGATAAGCGACTAAACATTAAGTAAGGAAAGTTATTACATCAAATGTTTTACGAATGAGTTCTTTGTCACAAGCTTTCTTCTTTTGCAAATTGTACAGCTTGAATGGATATGACACACCAGCACAATTCACAACAGCGTCCAAATGTCCAAATTTATTAATCAGAGTATGAAATGCACTTGACACATCATCTGAAGAGCGCACCTGGAAATCGAACATACAACATAATTCCAAATACCAGGGAGAAGCAAATGTCCCATTCATCTTTACTGTGGTCAAACCCTACACGTTTAATTTTAGCATATATAAACTACCAATATTTCTTTGTTTCAGCAACTTCGCCACGGAATAAATTAAAAATTGAAAGTTAAAATTTTCACATCAGCAGCAGTAAATAAGCAATTCTGTCCCATCTCCTTCGCCATTGTTTCACCCTTCGATTGCGGCAAATCCATAATGACTACTTTGGCTCCGTGTTCGAGAAGATGTCGAGCTGTGCCAGCTCCAAGGCCGGATGCAGCACCGGTAACTAATGCTACAATCCCCTAGAAAGGCAATGAACATTATGTTACCTGGACAAATTGAAGTATTTCAAAAAATAATACATATAAAATTTCTCAGAGCCATACCTTCACAGAAGCCAAGTATGTGGCCATGGTTTATATCACACCTGCAAAAAATTCATGTTTGTAATGAAGAATCTGGTAAGAACTGACAAATTCATGCATTTCTCATAATGTTATCAATTTCGATTATTTTACTTGCAGCTCTGTCCACTGAGGTTAAGCTTATTTCATAACAGCATGAAAAAAATTCTATATATATGAGAAATATGAGATATGAGAAACTAAAAGAAAAAAGCTTTAGACAACATCCGAAAGCTAAGCTTTAAAACGTGAACAAATAATACTCTTCAACTTATGCAAACCAAAGTAAATATTACTGCGGAAAGGAAACCAGGCAGAACCCAAAAAACAAACCCATTAAGTTTTGCTAAATAACCTCCTAGAGTGATTTCTATGCCCTCCTCTGCCAGTAACCAGCATCCAACAAACCGAAATAATGAAAGTGCGTGAAAGTCCAACTGAATGGACCAGGCCTTTCTGATACACAGCCGAACAAAATTTTACGATCAAACACGCGGTCCGTCTATATCCCACTCTCCCTACTGTAATTGCTTGAACATAGAGAGGACGGAACAAGCATTCTCGTCAACCAGATTCCATTATACAAAAATAATATTAATTTTATTGTTTTGTGTTAATTGTTTTATTCTATTACTTTATTGTTTGGCTAATTACTAATCAGTCATGATGTAATCTCCACAAAAAATTTTTTCAGTTTTCAAATTTTGACAAATTTTTAAAGTCACTGTAAATACAGTAAAACGTTGCTCGACAAACAATGATAAGTAAATCAACACTCTGAATCATCGGTTTTATCGATTAATAAAAATTAAATGTAAAAAGAACGGCAGTATTTTGCATTAACAACACACATATAGCAACATTCGCACATATATTAAGGCCTGAGAATGAATAAGGAACTGTTACATTCATTTTGAGATTTATTTGATCAACAAAAAATAGCAACAACAGTTCAAGGCGGCATCCTAAGAGCACCATCTAGACGAATAATCACGCCATTTAAGTAAGTATTATGAATAATGTGCAAGACAAGAGCGGCAAATTCTTCTGGTATGCCTAATCGTGCAGGAAGTTGTACCATTTTTTCATATATTTCTACATTCTGTAAAACTAACGATTGATTTCTTGACATTCTATTTATATTATAACAAAAAATGAATGAAAATCTGTGAATTACCAGTTCATTCATATGGGAGATCACCAAAGGCGTCCGGAAGATGCCTGGGGCAATAGTCACAAATCGAATACCATCGGAAGCATAGTCTTTTGCTAATGATATTGTAGCACTATTTACAGCTCCAGAAGACATCGCATCAAATCCCTGAAATGCTGCTACAATAACATCATTATTTCGGTGACAAGATGATCTGTACATTAACAAATATGTATAATAACAGTAAGCAGAACTTAACTCTATGAAATTAATATTAATCAAAAATGATCCCCAAAATAAAAACTAATCGGCATCTCATAAATTTAAAAACTTGCTTGCCCAAACTGTGGTTCAAACGATGAGAACGATGAAGTATTGATGACAACGCCTCGACATTCTGATTCATCTTTTTCATTTTGTGTCACTAAATCGAGTGCGTGTCGAATAACATTGAGCGTACCGACAACGTTCACCTTAACAGTAAAAGTAGTGAAATATAAACATTAGGAACTAACCGCAGAACTTATGCGGTGCAACATTACAGCAAAAGTTAAATTTCATGACTAGTATTTAAGATTCAATAATCCAGAAAATCTTACGGCTAACACTTTCTTCAAATCCAACTTTACTGATGATTTGTGATTCATATTTTCTTTATTGAAGCTGAACGTTTTACAATTGAAAGAGATCCCAGCACAATTGATCACAGCGTTCAAATGTCCAAATTTATCCTTTATTTTCGATACACCATTTTTTATTTCCTCATCAACCGTTATCTGAAAATTGTGATTACAACTGGAAAATCTGCTGAAGATTGATGCCCATATATATGGAGGAGGGAGAAAGAGTACTTGAATATATGCCGAACAAAAAAATTCATCCATTCAAAAGATGACATTTAAAACTTAAAAACTTAGACTGAGTTTTCCGGTTAAAAATGAATATTACATTGGCTGGTATGTATAAACAATTTCGATTTATCAATTTCGAGAGGAAAGCACCATTTGACGATGGTAGATCCAACATGGCAACTTTGAAACCATGCTTGAGTAAATGCTGGACAGTCGCTTTACCCAAACCTGACGCAGCACCGGTTACCAAAGCTACTGCTTCCTGTGGAAATGAGCTCAAAATTGCTGTAAGGCTTCAAAATCAGATTGAAAAGCTTAGTGAGGATAGTTCAATTATTTAAGTTACACTGTCACAAGATTTTTTATATACCATCCTCAATTCCCTACAATTTAGAAGAAAAAGTGTAGTTTAATAGCATTATGGGAAGTAAAGGAAAATAATAAATATTATTTAGCGAAGAAGTTTTTTTTTTTCTTTTTTTTTACAAGTCCTAACATACCTCGCAATTACTGAAGTTTTAAAGAACTAATTAATCAGATAGCAGTTTGTGGAATGCTCATTCTCCCTGATCAATCCTTATTACATTCATTAACTCGGACCTGATAACTTTAAGATTAATAACCCAAACACCGATATAGTTCAATCATTTGACGATTACTGTCAGATTACTATTACCATCAGAACCACAACGAATGTAAAAGAAATACCTTCATATCGATATCGCTGTTAGAGTCAAGCAGCCTCATGTAATAATGATAACATCAGCAAACCTGGAAGTAATTGTAATCAAATATCTTGCAACAGTTAATGTCATTATTATCGCGATAAACTGTATTCTCAAACTGGCATCACCTTTCACGCAATATTACTTTTTTTTTACGAATCGTGATCTCACGCTCTTTTTTCACAAATAAATTACTAAACCTCAGTTTACCAACGTAATCGCAAATTATTCACCACCGTTTCACAGTTTCGTTGCGCACGCTGGGATGCTACAATGTATTCCTGCAAAGTTGACGTTGAAAAAAGAAATGCTCACGTTAGAGTTAGAGACCTACTTTTAAAGTGCTTGGGTTAGAGGTTGGGGGAAGCAAACTAATGCATTTAATTAAAGGGAAGAGGCCAATAAACGAGTAATATTAAAGGATTAACGAAATAATACATCTTTAGGCATTGGGAAATTTATTGAATGGCCATACTGTACCAGAATTATCGTAGTCGAACAGGAGATGATTAATAAAAAAGATAAGAGATTGAGGAAATGGTTAGATAGACATGATGGGTAGTGGTACGAGTGACTGAGATTTATTCATGGTTAAAGTAACAGGTGAAATAACTCGTTTGCATAACAGATATTGAAACTACATGCAAGGTTTCATCCTAGTTTTTTTTTTTATTTTCTTAAGTGAAGTAATTGAGTTAAATATTATTGAGAGCAGTGGTTAAGTGTTTATCTAGTCGTTTGTGCTATCCCATTTATCTTCATAGTTAAGTGATTCTTGTATTCTGGTGTTGATGAATATATGAGAAGGTCACCTTTGTTTGATTTTATTAATTTATAGTTAAACTGAGAATCTTTTCTGACGACATTAGCATTGCAGGATTAGATATAATTTTATGGGCAGATAGAGTTTCGGTTTTGGGGTCAAAAGAGGTGAATTTGATTTCCTTTGTTGGTGGTGTACAATGTGAGTGTGTATTGCCCATAACGAAACTAATTAAAAAAAGTATGCTTTAGAGCAATGACAACGCTGTCAACTTGTGCACAGGACGGGAATGGAAACTTGAATCCGATGTCATTTACGGATCAGCATGGGAATGTTATATTGGAACGCTTGCGTTATCAACGTGATACGGGACGTTTCTGTGATGTATACATTGTTGTGAAGGATCGTCACTTTTGCGCACATCGAAATATCCTTGCGGCGTGCAGTCCATATTTTGACTCAATTCTGAGGAATTCAAAAGTTGTTAAAGAACAGGTTTGAATCAATTGGAATAGTCATACTTCTCACACCGAACAATATTTTACTATAATTTCTTCATCACTTTACATGTGAAGGAAAATTGGAATTACTGTAACGATCAAGCAACAGATGACTTTATAAAGAAGACTTTTTATTTTTTAATCAATTGATAGTTAATAGAAGTAGAAAATTACCACTTTTTTTAAATGCATTGTTGCTACTATTGAAGCTTTACTTTAACAACTTATTTTTATAATTTTGTGTTCAAATTGTTTATTGTTATATAATTTAATTTCAGGTGATTGTGAATTGTCAAAATCCTGCAGTTTTTGAACTATTGCTCAATTACATGTATAGTGGAAGTGTTGTTATCGATCGTAGCAGTGTAACGGATTTGCTGAAGCTCGCCAATAATTTTCTGGTTTATTTTTGACTTCAGAAGGAAGCACTACATTTGTTATAGTGCTTTACTTTTGCATTTCTGGAATACATTATGCTTCCAGCCAGCGAATTATAAAAAATTTAAAATCCTTCTTATTCTTTTTTGGTTTCAGATAACACGAGTAAAAAATTATTGTGCAGAGTATTTGGATCGTTACATGGATTCAGCCAATTGTTTGTCAGTGAAAGAACTTGCACTGAAATATAATTTACCGGCTCTCCTAAAGAGTGCATGCGATTTCTTCGATGTTAACATCAACAGATGTTTGCTGGAGAGCACAGATATTGTCGAATTCTCATTGGCTCAGTTAAATGCATTGCTTTCTGAGCCAAAATATGCCAGTTCTATCTCCCCGGATGTCCACTTGAAGTAAATTATTTCATTTTCGAGAATCATTAGCAAATGCATGTATTCAAGTCTTTAATGTTAATTCCTGAATCAAGTTTGTCGATTTTGGAAAGAAATTTATTCCTTAATGAGTTTTTATGTACTTTAAATTCAGATTAATAGTTCACTGGATTGGACATAATCCAACACAACGTGATTCTCTCTTCAAGGACATGTTAGCTGCTTGTTCGTTTGCATCAGTACAATCCGCTACTTTGGAATATTTGCTGGACTATTCATCTTTCCTTATCAATTCCCAAGCAGCACGATATACGCTAATGCAAATGATGTATGTTTCTAGTTCTATTATATTTGCACCCTACTCTTCGAATTAAATTTGAATATTTTCAATTAGTTTCTCGCTTCGAATATGGAATATTCCACACAGCATACACTTATAAAAAATTTTCAAGACCATTTTATTTGTTCAGCAAAACTACTTATCACATCCGTAACTTTGTGTTTGCATTGAAATGTTTTATATATATATATATTTGATACATATATTTCCAATTGTATTCTCTATCCTTGCAGTGCAATCGACTCGTTACAATTAGAATCCACGTTACCTTATCCTCGATAGAATGTACCTATTATTTCTCAGATCTTCATTATTTGTTTTCAAAGGTGCGAGCATTCAATGCTAATGGCAAAATACCAAGCACAATATCGAACTCTTACTGCTCAATTTGGCAATGAAAGAACGATTTTTTACAACGATGCACATTTGACATATGGAAGCAGTTCACATTCCCAACCACAATCGCGTAGTATTTCTCAAGGAGAGACTGGCTTCACGATGAAGTTTGATTAAATCTGTTTCATTAAATTTACATTAAGTACGCAAATTTTTCCCGTCGTGTTTTGCAAGACTTTCTGAAAAATGAATCCGGAATTGAGGTAGAAGAAATATAAATTTATTAATGATACATGACAAATTTGTTAATGATACATGACTTTGCTTAACTATTTTTTCAGATTTTTAAAGAGATAATTATAGCATAAAATCGGAGAGTGGGAGTTTGCACAGCGGAAGAATTGGTAACGAAGTTCATGAAACAGACACCGACAAAGTGCATGCACAATCAAATTATAATGAAGAAACTGGGCAACCTCCTGTAATTGGTGCTTCAACAACTGAAGAAGTGGTAATTGCCATTTTATTCACTGATTTTTATTGTGGAACCGTTTTATGCTTCACTTTTGGGAGTTTTGCTTTCACCAAATAATTTATACAATAACTTGTACATACTAATTCTACTTTCATGACAATAACAGAGTTTATGTATGAGTTATCTTTTATTCGATTTGCTAAGTATCTTGTATTTGCCAAGCTATGAGTTTGCTTTCAGCTAAATCCCACAGAAACAAATGATGGTTCTCGTCCGGCTTTGAAGCTGAAAATTCACTTAAACGCGATGAATATTTTAAATCGAAAAAATCGTCTTTTAGGTATGTTTATGTTCAAATACTTTTTTATTAGTCTTTTTTGTTCCGTTTATGTTGTGGCATGATATCATGACAAACCATTTCCATTTTGCAGGGGACTATGACTTCAGGAAAAAATGATTTTTTTTTCTCTCGAAATTAGCTTTTCATTTGCTTTTATCTCTTTTCCTCAGTGGTTGGCATATAAGAATTGGGGTCGGAATAATTAGATTTTCTGGTTTTTTCCAGCTGCTGCCGGTCGCCACAAATTATATCGAAAGTCAATAACTGCAGCAAACCAAGTATTAGCAAAACGACGAGGAAGACCACCAAAAAATAAAACTTTTGTCCGAGCTGAAACTTTGAAAACAGATGAGGCATCAGTAGGTGAAGAATTATATCCAGACTGTGGAATTGATCTTAATGAACAGGTAGATTGCCACCCATTAAACTGAATTTTTTTTTTTTTTTTTGAAGCGTTTCTTTTTCTGTTAATGAAAATAGTTATATTTGTAAAGTTTTTATACGGATTTGTAATAAGTTTTGTTGAACTTAAAAGTGTTTTTGTAGGTTATATTTGATGAAGCAGATGAAGTTGATCCGTGCTCAAAGCAGGATGAATCCGATAATGAAGCGAATGGCGAAACAAATGGTACATCTGTTGAAAAGCTTTTTAAGTGCGACTACTGCATGTACAAAAGTTCAAGTGCGGTTCTCGTCAAACATCATGTTGTACGAGCACATACTCAAAATATTGCCTATGTTTGTTCTCTTTGCGTTTATGAATGCCGTTGGAATCGTGATTACTATGAACATATGAAGACACATTTCCCGGTATGTTCTTCAGTAGTTACTAATTTGACAGTTTTTTCTTTTTTCGGAAAGAAGTTATCGCACTGCTTCCCTATGAAATAATATACTTACATTCAGCGCTTATTTTAAACATAATGTCTCCAGATTTGGTAAGCAGCTTAAGTAGTTAAAAGGAGTTTGGTATAATTTGTTTAATTGTTTGATATAAACTATAAGGAGTTTAAACTATGAGAAAAGAGTTTTGTAATAATTTGAGGGTCCGCCTTTCCAATGCGACATATGTCAGTATGGCATTGATTCCATCCAAAGTTTACTTTCGCATCGCTTAACACATTGTAAGTTCGTGTTATTCACCTGTTGTTTAGGCTGAATAATGAATTAAATACAGTCACCTTTTGATAGGAAAACATTAGCTTTGAAGAGTTTCAATGATTTTTTATATAGAAAAAGTTGTGCGTCGATTTTTACGGAAGAATTTTGCTTCAGCTGATGAACGACCATTCAAATGTACATTATGTGAATACAAAAGTCGCTCAAGAAATCATCTTATTGGTCACATTCGCAATCATACTGTTGATAAGCCTTTTCATTGCTCCGAATGTGGTCGTGCATTTGCAATGAAAAGTACTTTGGATCAACATGTCGCTGCACATTCCGAAAATAGGTGTCGTCTTTAAAGCTCAGTGTGTAAAAATTATCTCTGTATTATAATCTCGATTCGATATTTATATAACGATTTAGAATGAATTTAGTTTCCATTATTTATAGGCCTTATCATTGTCTTCACTGTGATTTTTCGACAAAATATCAAAGCCATTTGATTTCTCATCGGCGTATTCATTCGGGTGATGTTTTTCACTGTCATTATGAAGAGTGCACCTATTCGTCACCCAAGAAAAGTCAGCTTGCTGCACATTTAAGGTAAAGCTTAATAATTTTATAAAGTTGAGACAGAATTCTTATTTCCCAGAATTTTTTTATTGCTTTTATTTATAAGCTTTTTGTTACTTTTTTTGTGTGTGCAAGTCATCAGACACAAAATCCTTATAATGCATTAATAAAGGGGTGCTAGTTTTTCGTCGATAAAACGCAAAAAAGGAAGGAGGATGTACTGAATTACATGGATTGGTGGTTTTTATTTACAGTTAAGCAAACTAGGAACTAAATAAATCACATGAAATACTTACTATATTTCTCATGGGGATACACGGGTGAACATTTGTATGTAGGTTTTTGATCGGTCACATTTCAAAAGCTTGTTAAGATATCTTAAATATGTTATTGAAAGACATTTGGAATAATAAACAGTCTTTTAAAGTCAGTAAATATAGCTTACTGTTAAAAGAATGGTCCATGCAATCTGAAATTTTATTTAATTACTTTTTACTTATAATTTTTGGTTTAGTAAACTTTCTTTCCAGAACACATTTAGCAGTCAGAGCACATCACTGTAAGACGTGTAATCGTTCGTTTATCGAGAAATCACACTTGGTGCGACATGAAAGAATACATTTGGAGGATAAACCTTTTAAGTGAGTTTTAAGGTCTTCAAAATTAAATTAATTTAAAAGTAATAGACCAAATGAACCTGTGTTGCTTTAAACGATATTTAGATGCGACAACTGCGACTATTCATCTTCGAGACGGGATAAGTTAAAAGAGCATATTCAGAAACATCACAGTAATTCAAACAGTGGTAAACAACATAGACGAAGATATCGGCGTGCAAAACAATTGGCACAGCTTGCTGCGCAGGCTAAGGTTTGAATGCTATGTTCATCGTTTTATTTTGCAGCATCAAGTTCTCTAATTTGATATCTTATATTTTGAAAAATCAGGTCTAGGATACAGGAAGATTGCAATCGGTTTTAGACTAGACTTGCTTTCCTTTATTGGATTTTCGAATAAATCTCTTTTGACATTAATACATCTTTTACTCAGCATGATTTTTGATTTTTGTTGGTAGGTAAAGGTAGCCTGCCAGCAAAATTAACTACATTACACTAAAACAAAAATAGGTACACTAAAAAATCATCTGATTGTGGTAAATCTTAAAGGTCGTGTTAAACACTCGTGGCATATAAGCTTTTAAACGTATTTGAATAATATCGAAAATATTGCATTGTAAATCTGTCACTCTCCATCATTATTAAGCTCTACACTCCTTTTTTGTTTTTTATATAAAAGTTATTGAATTTTATAAATTTGTTTGGCTTAACAGACACAACCAAATATGGAGAACATGTTTCGACCAATTCCTTCCTCAGAGTTAGCTGATAATTCGTCGAATAACTTGAGCAGACCTGTCGCCACCAATGCATTATCTCAGCAAAACATCTCCGAATTTGCACTATCTGATATATCTCGACCTCAAAACGAGCATCGTCAATCACAAGCAGCTAGACATATCGAAACAACTCAGCAGACACACCCACATTCATTAATGGACTTTTCGTCCCTTAACACCACAAATCCTCTAAACATTGGACGACCATCTTCAGCATCGGTACCTGCAACCACAGCGATGTCTGTTTCACCAGCAATGAGTCTCAATTTTCATATAGGTAGTTTCAGTTCATCTTGATTTTCATTTAACTCATTTGTTATATTTTTAGTGTGTTTTTCTGCAACAACAGTTGGTGAAAAACTATAAAAATAAATGAGGGAATATATTTCAGGTGTTATAATGGATTCTCCAATTGAATCGTTGCGAACACCCGTGCCACGTAGTCCACATAGTGTTAGCATACATTCGGATTTCTTTGATAGTTCTTCACCTGCTGCTGGCCAAGATGCACAACGTCCTATGAGTTTGCCACCGTACAGTGGTGGGGGAGGTTCAGGAGCTAATAATCAGGTTGGTCCATCCTGGCCGTGGTGATTGATCTTCATTTATTGCAAAGTAAAGTCAGATCAGTCAAATTCACGCACAAATAAGGTCAAGGTGGGACACTTGGGAAGTCAAATGCGTGATTAAATTCAAGAGGTCCTGGCCTAAAGCAAGTGAAGTAGTGCCTTATTTTTTCTAATTAATACATGGAAAAGTGTCGTCCTTATAATGTTAAATATATTACTGCCAATTAAGAGATGCCACAAGTAGATTGGGGCTCGATCTCGTGATGTAAGGCTTGCTTTGTTGTAGTGTAATGTTAATATTATATATTATGAATACATCGCAAACCTTCCTCATTTTGTTGTGCACATACTGAATCATTCAGTAAAGTGAAGTTATTAAAACACTTATATTTTTTTGCTGGGTCCTGAAATTTATTGAGGTTTTGCGAACTTAGCATATTTGTTTGTGATTTGTGAATATTCATACCAATGTTTTTGTACTGACAGCAACATTGCTCATTTTATACCTTTTTGGAGTAAATTTTGTAGGAAAATCGTCAAGTAAAATTTTTAGAGAAATATTGAATACGGGCGTTTGCCTTTGCATCATTCATAATTTATATCAAATATCTTCCTTTGTATTAGATCTCACATTCTTTTTTTATTTGTTTTTCAACATTTTTTATTGCTGCATCTTTGGCTTAATGTGTAATAAAATACTTTAAGCCTCACTTGATCATACAAAGTTACCACTGGAGAAGTGATTCAAGTTTGTTAAATGGGATGTCTTAATCAGATTTACTATTCCAGCAAAAAAAAAGTTCAGAAAAAAAAAACTTTAATCAATAGTTCAAAAACTCGTAACACTAAATGTGTTTTATCTAATCGTATCCCTCAGCTTCAACGAAATAACACCTGGGAATTACAGCAATGTGAGAAACGTTTTTACTTGAAATATAGATATGCAATAAGTCTTAGGTTTCCAGAAGAAAATCAGAAAGTGAAGAAAGACATTTAGTAGACAATAAACCAGCTTCTAGTAGCTTCAAAGACTTTTTGTTGTGTAGAATAGGACCACTTAAATATGATGGTGAAATACAGCCTAATAGGCGATAAAGCATTTATAAAATATTACAGAAACATCGGACTGAGTATTCTAAACAGTTAAGAAAAAAAAAAAAAACGTAATATGCGACTCTGAAAGATCTTAAAGTAAGCAGAGGACTACTGAAATTCACAGGAAAAGGATAAATACGGATTATATTAGGAATATGGAAAATGAACTGTTAGATTAAAAAATTTTTTTTTGAGAAAAAAGTTTTTAAAAAAGAAAGTTCCTGAAATAGAAAGGAAATTACAAGGAATTCGTCTGCATTACAGATAATAAGTATATCGAGGAAGAAAATACAGTATAGCACAACCTCAAAGAACACCGCATTCTTACATCACCAGGAAGGGCTCGTGGATATAACTTAACTGAACGTACACAATTAAGGAATAACTGTAAAGTTAGATAACTCAACAGATGTAAAAATGGTATCAGTTAATCAACTCTTTTTTTATGTGAAAAAGCTTTTCTCAGACAATTTCCTCTCATACATCGACGAACATAATGACGGAAAGTTTTTCAGCAGAACCATTTCTAACAAATAATTTAAAAGAATGGATGAGAAATCTAGGTTTTCTGGATTTCGAACAATTTAACATTGGTATCATACCAAATTGGTGGGTCGATATTTCTAAAAAATAAAGAAAATAATTTAAATGATAGAACATTATATTTATGCATGAAGTTTGTGTTTCAGTAAAAAAATGAACTCTTTGTACATAAAATCAACATTCTTTTGAATCTACACAAAACTTATAAAGAAAAAAAAAAAAAAAAAAAGCTAGAAGTTTAAATCAGCAGTTTATAAAATTTAACAATGGGTAACAAAATAGGCAAAACAGTGGCTGATCATTATTACATTAACTTAACAAGATACCTTAAATAAATGACTCCCCATAGATACGTTCGAAACCAGTGATTAGTACCAGCGTTAGCCTGATATTTTCTAATAAGTATAGGATGAGGAACTGGCAACAATCCTACCAAAGTACCATGCTGAAGGAACTTCAGGATTTCGCTTTCGTCTGTTAAACCCCTGCAAACTTTGCATCTCAAGAGGACACATCAAATACTTCAAAAAAACTTCATTTCTAAAGCTATTTTGTGCAATACAAAATGGTGCCTTAACGGAAATGGTGAAGTCGAAAGTTTAAGTATTCAATTTTTATATGAAAACTTACTTATCGATGCAAATCTTCTCAACCTGTGGCACAAGAACTTGCAGAAGCCTCATCACCGTTTGAAGAGGAAGTTTACTTTTCCAGGATTCAACCCAGTCTGTACTTGCCATCCAACCTTCTTGTACATCATCGCTTGCTTGTGCCAAATCGTTCACTCCTTTTTCTGTCATTGCTGATACCAATGGCGTTTCAGCCAGGGTAGCCTTTATATTCGCTTTGTTTTCCACATCTATAACATTTGATTCAGTATTCACAGTTCATAGCGATAATTACCATGTGGAAATCGATATCAGTCGTTTGATAATTTATTTTGCCTACTTGTTAAATTGCTGACGGATATGAAACATTGTTAACAAAAAAAGTCTTAGTTGTCGAAATTTATATCAAACTACGTAAAAAAGTGGGGAATAAATGTAAACTTGATGTACCAAACCTTACCATCAACAGATTTTGCTACAGCTATTGACTTTGATTCAGCAACCGCACCGCTTTTACGACCTTTGCGCCCCTGTAGCATTTTCATGATATATGCTGAATCAGATGAAAGATTTGCCAGCTGATAAAATACTTGGCGTTTTCGAATGATAGTATACACCAAATTTGAATTTCCTGAATATATAGTAGTTAAAAAGGATTGATGAAGTATATACTACTAACAGGTAGTTGATGAACATTCTTATCTATTTAATCAAAATGCTTTCTGAGACTGACATAGCAGAACTTTTGCAGTATTTGCAAATAAAATCTTCCAGAATAAAGAAAAGCTTTATTTAAACAATACCATCGAACTGATATTGAATAATATTATTGAGAACTTCAAGAAGGAAGAAAATAAGAAGATGATTCGTCGGCGATGAAAACAAAAACCAGGGAGTTGAAAAAGCTTCAATGAGATGAATAAGCTTATTAGCGGCGATCATCGAAATGGACTTCAGGTATGGTGACACTGCAAAAAAAGAAAAAAATAAATAAAAAATAAAGCTATTAAGATTTTGTAGAAAGTTACAGCGTACAAAAACTCAAGGAAAGCAAACAGTCACGAGATAAAACTTAAGTTGGACTTTAGATTGTAAAACCTCTACAATTAAAAAAATAGTAAATGAAGCTAATTTATACTATCCATAATTGACGCAATCTGCAACAGACTAGTCATTTCTCGCATTACTTCATTCATTGCTTCATTATCCCGACCTTTATCTCATCCCACTACTAATTTTAATACTCATATGACAATAAAAAAGCAAACAAACCGTTCACAATAATTGTTAAAAGACAGTCGAAAAGTGATTGCAATCGGTGATTGCCAGTGGTTATCAGCTTGTGAAACACCTGCAATAGTCCACTCTTCATACAAATATACTGGATATATCGCACAGTTTGCAATCTGTCTGCATGCATCTTTCATATATACATATACAGCAACACTTTGATAATATTGAAAGCGATATACTGAAGAACAGAAGACCTCTGTATTAATACGACTCATAAGAAAAAAAAAAACCGTAGTCCAAGTTACAGCCGCTGAAGGTGGAATTGATTCATAAACTATAAAATCCATAAGAAAAAAGTACTGTAAGAGATAAAATATGAACAATGAAAGAATAGTACACAACAAAATTATTTTAAACCCACTTTTCAAATCAATACTTGAAAAATCAACCCTAATAACATACAAGGATAAGCAAATCTGCATGTGTTCCAGTGAATGACTGAACATCGATAGCTGCTCGTGGAGTGTAGGGTTTATTTAAACGTACACCAAAGTTTCGTTCACCACTTAACAACAGAATAATAAAAACACCCATGTGTATCAAACCAACACGAGCTGCAAATTTTGTTCAGTAAAATACAATAACTTTATCTAGCTATTTTTCAAAAAACTTTAACATAATAGTTCGAAAATATTTTGTTTCCCATACCTGGATCATTGCGAGAAGCACTAATGTGAAATAATATCGGGACAAGTACCTCCAGAACATCACTTGTTTTCAATAAATAAAACATGAATTTCTGAAATACTACGTTTTCAAAGTAATGTAAGGAATTTTAAACGCGTGCATAAAATTAGAATGTCCTGTTTGTTGAAGAGACAATGAACCATTACCTGATTGTATTCACAGCATTTCCAGAGTAAAACGAGGAGTTCTTGATGGCATGTTATTTTTTTGGTAGAACTCGGAAGATACGTTGCAACCAATGGATTTGTTAATAAACGAGTCATGCCTTTTAACATGAATTCAAAGTCCTCCTCGCGATGAATCCTTGATAGATAATTAATGAAAAAATTGTCAGCATATTCGTTTTTCTGAAATTGGTTCCAACATATATAAGTTATAGGTAACCGCTAAGCTTCAAATTTTTTCAGAGAGACGATTACCTTGTCAGACGATTGTGTTTCATTATCCAAGCACACGATAAGCACTTGCAATGCAGTCTGCACAAGTGGTTCTCTGGTGTCCGTAAAAAGTAAATAATTATAAGGTACACCGAAACCAACTGGATCATATGCGCAAACTATATTAAGGAGGGAAGTAAAAAGCGGAAGAACGTGACGATTTTCCGCAGATGTAAATCTTGCTATCCATCTCATTCTATTTTCATCTGAAATTAAGGAAACATTCTGCCACCGTAATTCGAGTTTGACTTCAGAAATCCTAGATATGTTATTATTGTAACTGCCTCAAACTTAATAATCCAACGAAGTTGGATGCTAATAATAAATAATAAAGATGACCCAAACTTCCTACAAATAGTGGAGCAAAACATTTTTGACTCAAATCACACCTGAAATTGAGACATAAATAACTTCTGAAAAGCATGTCAACAAAAGTTTGAGAATTTCAGTCCGTCGCTGATCATGCTCTGCTACTTGCGGTGGTTTTGTCGCAAAACCAACTCCAGCTTCCCATATATATTCGCAGCTGTCAATCGTACTTAGGTCATCCGATCCTCCCTAAAAAATTAAAGCGATGACATAATTTCGCGATTCATGTTTGCTAATTTTGCCGTCAGAGAGTACAGATAAATGGATAAGTTTGCAAAAAAAGATTTACCAAAAAATTGTGTCTGGCTTAAATATTAATCTTATATGAAGTGAAGGATAAACAGAATGAAAAAATTCCCCATCGATAATATATATGTTCCCTTTCATTAAACATAATTTTTATGTACAGAAAAGTACCGGATGGTTTCTAAGAGATGAAACGGTGAATTCAGGACAAAAGAGTAGATCGGTAAGAGCGGATATCAATGTATATGCTAATGGTTGATGGGGAAACTGTTCATTTTCTTCTGCTGATGGTAACGACCAAAAGAAACATTTCCAATCCGAATCTTCGAATAAATATGGACAAACCCTTGTTAGAAGTCGTATACAATTCAGTACCTAAAAACAGCGTTTAACCCCGTTTAACCAAAGAATGTGTATTTGAAAGTTTTTCATATTTAGTAACACAAACTTGGCTTGGCCGAAATCTCCATTGAGTTCATAAAGCCAGGAAGTGAATTAGAATATTTAAACGTGAATTAGAATATTTAAACGATTCGAAGTTTTTGCATAATAAACCATGGCTTTTTTGGTCGAATTAAACAAACAAAAGTAATCCAACACACCTTTGTCGACGATATGGCTGATGGAGAGTTACATGCTGTTGTTATTTGATCTACAGTTTTATAACATAAAGCTGCCAGATTGCTCGGAGAATTATCACGCAATGAACGAACCTGCAAAATATCTTAAAAATGGAGATAATTAAATATTTACTTGGAAAAAATGATGTCCAATAATAAATTAATCTAATTTCTCACACATCAATAGCAGTTGCCATATATTTACTATAAATTACTATAAAACTATCGCCGATCTTTACTGGTCATATCAAATAGCTTCCGAAAGTATTAAACTAACATCGTCCGCTGTGATCAGTGAAAAAATATCCGCAGCACTGTTTATATTAGAAGCACATAACTCTTCCCAAAATGCATCTTCTTCCACTTTTGATTTTTTCGTTGTAAGTTCAACCACTGCTTTGCGAAAATTAATTTTACTCCCAGAATTACCCATTATTCGACTAGAAGTTCTTTTGCTCAGTTTTAGAGAATTAGCAAATTAGTAAAAATTTCTGACAATATTATGAAGCAAACATTTGATGCGCCTTGAAGCAAATATAGTCGATTGAAGTATAGTTGAGCATACAAATAGCCTATCCACACATGAAATCAAAAATGAATGAAAATAGTACCCCAAACAATATTCTAGTTAGATATGCTAATTCGTAACAACAAAATATAACAAAATATGCTACAGGAAGAAAATGAACAAAACATTACAAATAATTCTTGCAAATGTGTCATCATCCAATTCATAGACTTATCCTTACCAAACAGTTCCTGCATATTTCATTTCAGTATGCTTTCAAAGAAAATTTCCACAAAAAAATCCATTAATGACACCTATAGCGTGCGTAATCGTGCAGTATAACTCTACGAGAAAGTTATCACCACGCTTATAACGCTCAGAAGTTGAATAAAGCCTACAAGTTAAAAAAAACTCAGCGAATGGATGAAAATCGTTTGTGATTCGTTGTTGCATTATGACTGCTGATTCTGTTGCATGGCAAACAGTGACGGACGTGGCTTGCATGAGGGCTTCTTCTCTTCTGTGGTAAAACGGAAGAGCGACATCTTCATCCGGTTGTACATGTCCAGAATGATGTCGTTGAAAGCAGTTACAAACTGATAGGAAGAAAAAGTGAAAAGAACTCTAACTTGTGGTATTTTTGCAATAGTATTATTCACCATCCTATGATATCGATTGAAGATAGGATTTCTGAGTGATTAATGTTATTGATTAAGTGATAATTGAGATATTTGTCAAAATAAAGTACTGATAATTTGTTTGTATTGAGTGAGATGGAAATAGTATGATAGATTTAAGACTTGATCATTCATACATATCCATAATCCTATTACAATTTTTTTGTCGTGCTTGAAGTCAGGTTGAATCATTCAATTATATGAGCAGTGAGTTTAAGCGTGAAACATTTTATTACAAATTTTCGTCTAATTATTTAGTGGAAGAGAACAGTGATATTCAGATAAATAAATTCTATTCATCTCGTAACGTTGGAAAAAATTCTACTAATCTCGTAAAACATTTGGCTTGGCGCTGAGCTTTGCTGATTGATTTCTTACATTGTTTTGCTTAGATATCATACATATTTGTGGTGTTTCAGCATTCTTTGAATCTCAAATCGGATCGATCAGTGCGAGAAATTAAGCATATATTGGATAAATAAAAAAAATTTACATGAAGTATAGTAGCTTGCTGTTTATCATAATTTAACGGCCACAACAATCTCATCATCTAATAAAGACAGCAATTCTGAAACATGCAGCAAACAAATGACTGGATAAGTGATTTTCCTTCCCATCATTTTCGTTAATTATCGATTCAGATTTTAAGTATTAAATTCATATCAGTTTCATGTGCCACTTTATTGCGACTTCAAAATTACTTTTCTTTCCAATATCTAATGTTTCAACATCCATCAATTCATCGAAACATTTCAAACACTAAGTTCATCTATCTTTTTTCTTCTCAGCTTTAAGTGCCACTTACTGTCAAATTTCAGATTAAATGCATAAACTTTGGTGAGCTGTTCGTCATGTTAATGTGATGACGAATAATTCTATAACTAAGTATCCGAATACTTAATGAGCTGATAAAATTCAATGAATTGGAAAACCAATTTTGTGAGTTTCGAACTTAGTTCTTTGAAGAGTCTTGAAGAATAACGAACTTCTGTGAACAAAAAAGATTTAAAAGATGTGAGGAAGAGGTGAGATCGGGACGGCAGCGATCTGTTAGACTGAATTTTAGTGTTTAACAATAACGTTGACATACGTCTTTTTTTTCTAGACAATTGCTATTGCTTAAAAATTTCCGATTTTGCTTCCATAGGTATTTACTTTTTTTGCTACAGTTTCTTAATTACTGAGAGAATTGAAAGAAGTAAAATTTATTACAAGATGTAAACAACTATGACAAAGCAGTAATAAGCGCGATCCACTTTTTAAGTTTATCAATGGGAAATAATTTCGTCTTGATCAGATTGAGATTCAGTTGGTGCTGCAAATATACATTTTGATTTATGAGGTCGTTTGATTAATTATATGCTTAGCGTAAGATAGTTACACTGCAGTTTTCCTACGTTCATGATTCATTTAAAACTACTGCAGGCGAAACAAATGAGCTTTCAACCCTGAGTCTGATAATCTGCATATTTTATTTTCCATATAAGAGTTATTCCCTCGACATTAGCAATGTTTGGCTTGATAATCTAGATATACTTTTTTTTTAAGAAAGATTTTATTTTAGTACAAATGATTTCGTTGAAAAAAATGTTGAAGCAAAGAAAAACGAGCAAAATAGAGCAAAACGAGTCTGTCCTAAATTTTCTTTTTCTATAAGAAATTCTTTCAAATTTAAATAGTGTAAAACTCACTGTAACTTCTGTAGAATTCATCACTATAAGGCCATCCACGTCTAATATGTTCGAGAAGATATTCTCGTGCCAAAGCTCGTAGATCATTTGGTGCACGACGGATTTTTGATGAAAATGCTTGTGAAACAGCATATCCTCCAGCATTATGTGGTTTGTATCGGATTGTTTCAGTTTCATTTTCCTGAGGTTTTTCGGATAATAGTGACAAACTCTGATGCTAAATTTTCTTTTCTACGAAAATATCGAAGTTTTTATTTATTTATATGAGATGGAATTTGTTGTTAATTTTGAAGACAATAATATTGGTCCTTTTAAATGATATCTTCACCTCATTTGTCGATGATTTCTGCGATATTTAACAGTATTGTATTATCCATCCTTACGGCATTCTTTTTCACAAAGTAACTTCTAACGTCGCCATTTCACTAATTAAGATTAATTAGAATTGTTATGTAGAGAGAAAAAAAATCCACTGATTCACTTTAAATATAACTCACATTTGGTTTTTCGAACAACTGAGGTTCTGATGTTTTCGAAGTAATTAGTGCTGGGGTTATTGCAGTCGTTATGATTGTACTTGAGGCAGTGGTAAACGTTTGCAATGTTTTCGCCTGATTCGATGAGACTGATTGCTAAAAATTCTTATACTTGTTATCAATTTGCCTTTCTCCTGAATGACTAATTCGAAGTGCCAAAGTGAGAAATCAGGCTTGCGTAATGAATTCCATGATGTCTGAATTGGTATCATTTATGACTGTTAATGTATTAATGAAAAAATTTTTAGATGAAAAAACAAAAAGATGTATCCTTGAATTCCATTTGTCTCAAATTCAAGGATATATTTGTGGATAATCTGAATAAAATAACCACCTCAGAAGTGGTTCTGTCAAGGACTGGTTGTCTAGAAACATTTGATACATCAGATTCTAACTGATTATCATACTGTAATAATTCATTTTCATGCTGTTGGCGTTGAGCGGTCGTCAACGGTGTATATTTCAGGACACTCCATCCAATACTTCCTTCTTTCTCAGGCTTATTTCTTTGTAAAATTTTCTTAATCAATACATCCTCATCAATATTTCTCTCTCCACTTTCACAGCAGATCGGTGTATTCAGCGATTTGTAGCAAAAACGTCCTGACTGAAGCAAAGTTATGAAAATTGAAAACAGAATAAAAAATATGTTTCCGCGTAAGTTATTCCAAGTTTTTGTACACTATAAGTAAAGGATACAATATTATTACATTTTGTTAATAGTTTTTAATGTAAATGAGAGGCTAACTTTGAACATATTAATGGATTTCTTTTTATACATTAGACCAACTGTTTTGGTTTGTGCTATAGTGCTTTGCATGTTACAGATGTACTTATTGTCGAATTGTATTGAATGTGAGGAAAATTATATATAGTTGCATCAGATACTCATTAATTCTTATCAGTTTTTTAAAATCTTCCCAAATATCACGAAGGCATTACTTGATGAGCGCAGTCTTCTTCAGTACATGGTACAGGATCTCCGTTGCCATCAAGTATAGTAAAAGCAGGTTCTGGACATTCTAAATTTGGTGCATTGAAAAGTTCATTATTCAATGCAATTGGCTGAATTGTTTCATCTGGGGAATTTATTTCTTTCGGTGAAATAGCGCCATGAGATGTATCAATGATGGATGATAATTCCTCACAACATATCGAATGTTTCCCGACGTTAAGACATTGCATGGAACTCTGGAAAATATTTTTCATTTTACTAGTACTGAAATTGCATCTGAAAACAAATTTGAAAAAGGAATTGGAAAATTTAGGAAATGAAGAATCCCTGCGGAGAATTAAAAATAATCTGTGCTTAACTCAATCTCTCATGCTATTTGTTACTGTGAATCACCTGTGGGCAGGCATGAAGACCGGGAGTGCAAATGAGAGGTAAGCCAGCATCTGTGAGTATTGTAACACTAGGTGAGGGGCATTCAAGAGTGGAATCCAAATTAATTCCTTCCTCTGTTGGACAACATTGATAATTTGTTCCGGAAAAATAACAGGAATATCCAGGTCCACATAATTCTTCGTGCCCTGAAATATTGCATCACTTTTCAAATAGAAAAACTAGAAATATAGGAATTTTGAGTAATTCAGTCAAAAAGTTTCAAATGGATTAAGCACATGGAAAAAAAAAAGCATTTGAATTTGAAAAGTGGCTAAAATAATTAAGTCTCGATAGATATAGACGAAATTAATTTAAATGAAAACATAATAAAATTGAACCTGGTAGGCATTGTTTTACGGTATCATTATCGTCCATTTCAGGCAGTTGGGAATTCGGACAGTACAATTTGGCATATTCTGCAGTAGTTCTTTTTTCAATGTCACTGTTATGCATTGAAATGAGTATCGGCATTGAAATGTAAGCTTCCGTTGTATTACTTTTTTTTTAATTCAAAAAAGATTAAAATAACACAGAAGTTTACTTTATATAGCTAAAGCTTTATAAGAATCTTACTTGAAGTTTTGGATTTCGTTGATAAATATATCAAATTTAGTAATGAAATTCAATTCTATAGCTCATAGTTCCAAATTTATGAGCCATTTTATTATAATTTCCTTTTTTTTTTTTTTTTTTTTGACACAATTTTGAATGCTCCGAAATTGGATGCATCACGAATATCCATTACGGTTATTTTCTTTTCTGTGGTGAAGAAATCAAAAGGATCATTGAAAGATAATGCTATGAACTAAAAAGTTTATTCTCTTTATTTGGGAAGAAATAATGGTGTGTCACAAAACAGAAATTGTGACAATACTAAGAAGCATCTTAGCAAAAAAAGGAAAAAGAAAGAAAGGAAAGGAGAGCAATTAATAGCTTCAAAACGTTGTAGCTCCTTATCTCAAAACTGGCAAAATTGGCAATCAGGTGTAAAATTTGACATGCCAAAATTGATAACAATGGAATTATTGTACTGAATAATCTCAGTTAATTTGAATATTATGTTTAAAAAATGACAAAAACGAAAAAAGAAATACCTTTGGAGTATGTCAAGCATACAGTAATGCTGAGTAAAGTAAGTCTACTGATTAGCTGCCGGTGCATAACCGACGAGGCAAGACAAAACAGACATTAATCAACTACAGTTTTCGATCAACCTAAAATCATTTAGGTCACAAACAATGGCCCACTTTTTCAAAACCACCCATGAACAAAGATGGATTATATCAGATATATTCCTTCTTTTGTTCTTCTCCGCCATCCCTTTGATTTCTATGTCGTAATCCCTTCAGTCATAACATCTCCCTCATCACGCAAGAAAATAATCAGCACTGGAACTTAATTCATTTTGCATTCCATGAATTTTAAGGTTTTAAATTCATTCATCCACATTGCGGTTTCTTTTTTGCGAATTGAATACTTTTGTTATCGTGATACTTTTCTAGAAACAGATACAAAAATCCTCAGACGACTCCCAAAATGGATGGGATAATATTACCACCCAAATAACATCTCAGATCTCTGTGATCATCCAAAATGTGTCAGTACTACCCAAACTAATAATGCATCAATGAAAACTTCTGCACACATGGATTTATTGAAGTATTATATCATAAGTAGAATAGATAAACACACCACTTCAATGAGAAAAATTAGATATTTGTAACAGTCGTAAATTTTCATACCTTCTATATATAGATCAGTTATTTTGAATTTAATCACGCATCTTCAAATATAAGTTTTTTCTGTTAATCTGACTAAAAATTCAAATTACATACCTAAATATTGAGTTTAATAATTTACTATCTTAAACCATTTCTAACTAAATAAGATTTCTAAATTTCAAGTATGCCTATTACTATTTATAACTGCCGTTCTAATCATAGCTTCTTTCAGTTATTTCATTTTGAAATTTATAGAATAAAATTCTCTAATATTAGCAATTAATATGCGAACAAATAATTAGTAAATATAAATTAAGAACAGTTTTTATAAATTTTTGCAAAATCAAAACTTTTCTTTTTACGTACAAAAATGATGGTGTAATGCAAAACATATAGAAATCAATTCGCTGATAGAAATTACTGATATATGGTTGAATCCATTTGAACTGTCAAGGAAATAATAAATTGCACAAACCCAAAAATTGTTTGTTGTTAGTAAATTTTCAATATGTAGTACTATACGCAAACATGTACAAATTCAGGTCTCTTAATATTTGAAAAAAAATTAAAGTAGTTACTTAAATCAATCCATGAAAATAGCTAAACATTAATTTATTATGAAATTAGTTATGCATTAATTTATTAAACTATAATGTAATCACATAATACAAATGTCAAAAATGAGGAGTTATCTAAATCAAAATTAAATGCAGTTATTATGGAAATGAAATTATATTTCACGCAATGCAGAATGAAGCAATTCATGCAAAAGTAATATATTTATAAGAATATAAACAAAATAAACAAGAAGTCATTAAAAGTTAAAATCCGTAAACATGCCATTATCTAAAACTTGTCTTCTGATCATTAAATCGTTTTGAGAATTTTATTTAGTATAGCAATTTATCGTCATATTTTAATGAAGAATAATGAAACAAAAATCTGGAATATTGTAAATCTGATGCTATTTTTTTAGGCTCTTATATATCAATAAAGTGACTTTTTCCGAACTAAATTCAAGTTTCTAAAAAAATTGTTATCAAGAACTGGGGGAGTTCTTGAACTGTCGTACCGAACCATTTCATTCACTATTTTAAACGTGCAAATAAAGAAGAGCAAAAATCAAAAAGCATACCCGAGACTGAAAAGTTGGCGATGTATTCCACGGATTAAGTATTTTACCATAATGAGATGATGCACGCAAATCTTCACTGAATTCATTCAAACAGCAGGTTAACCCGCAGCAATACTGAACATATCGTTGACATCTAAATAAATTCAAATTTTGCTTTTAAGATTTTCGAAAAAGAATGGACCAAAATCTTGTGTAGTGAATTAATAACTTGTTGTACATAAATTACATATAAATTCTTACTGATAAACAATATCATATATGGGAGAACCATCTGCGTATTCCAAATTTTTTCGTTCATTTGAATCCATGCGATATAAACAAGTGTCTCGTGTTGTTAAATAGTTGAAGTTATCCTAAATCAAAGTGTTGTAAAATGAATAATTATTCATACATATAAAAGAAATTTTGAAAATACGAAAAAATTTCCTTTATTAAAGTACCATATAGTAATATCTTGTTCCCAACCAATAATTGCGTCGATATCGAGAAAGATAGATTCGATCATTGAATGCTTCCACTTTACGTATTGCATATCCATTAAGCATGTAAGTAGTGATTAACTGCAATACGTCCTGAGTTGTTTCATTATTACCGCTACTCACTTTACCACCGGAATGACTTCTAAACATAAAAAGTTTTTTAAATAATTTCAAATTTTGTTTAAATTGATGTTTTTTAGACTAAATGTGAAATAAAAAAGTGCCGTAATAGCGCATGAAATATGTGTTAATTGCATAAAGCATTCCATGAGCTGATAAATAGTAGGTTGACGAGTTATTCGTCAACATATGAGAAGCATATATCCGAAATTTCCGAATCATCGAATACAATAAGCATTAACCTGACTGCTGGTAATACAGGATGCCTGAAAAAGAATAAATTTCATTTTTATGTATATTAGTAAATCCCAAGATTTTAAACTGTAAAACTGAATTATTACAAGCGATTAAACGTAGCTTATTTGAGAGAACAAAACTGAAAAATTAATATTCTAAGAAAAAAATTTTTGGATGCAACAAAAGTTTTTGTTAAAATTTTCACAAAATTATATGAAGATTCCAGTCAAAACCATTCATATAATTTACAATAGTAAATTTATATAAATTGGAATTTATTAAATTTTTTAATTATTGCAGTTTTTTTTGTGATTTTTTTCGTCAACATGATTTTAAATTTATACAACCATCTCCTTAATTAATTATGTCTTGCTCGTTTCTCGGTTTGCACAAGAAGGTTGCAATTTAAATAGAACAATGCAAATTATGTTCAGTTTAAGTGATAAAATATACCTGATATCGATGGTTAAACTGCATGCCATCAGTAAAAAAAGGAAGTAACAATAAGCAGTATGCATTGCTGATCGACAACTGTTTATATATATTTGTATGTTCGAAACTATTTTTCACATATCATTATTTGTTTAATCGATTTATTCACGTTGTACACCACAGCATTACTAAAGCTATTATAATCTATCAAGACATGCAACTGCTTTCTGACCAACCTTACTAGACTGTTAATAATGGCTCAATTAATGTGATTAAAGTGAACGAAACAAATAATATATAGAGTAAAAATCAAATGATGACTTAAACAATAAGTTATCATTATTCGAATTTAAATTGAAGCATTCTTAGTGTAATTTATGTATACGAATTAAAAATTACAGTTCATTAAATTAATTAGTAAAAGCATCTAATTTAATAAAAAACATATAGATGCGTATTTCCACAAAAACAAAACTACTTTAAATTATCATCTAAAGTTTTATATGAATTAGAATCGAAGTGCCACTGAAACTAAGCACTTCATTAATGTAAAAGAATGATCAAAGAGCATAAGTACTATTTGATTCATTATGATGCATTGCCTATATGTGTAAATCATCGAAAGTTGGAATTTTCCTTTAAAAAAAAAAAAAAAAAAACACTTTTTCAGCAAGATAATTGCTAATGTTTAAAATGAATTATCTCAAAAAAAATGAAATTTCAACCTCACATCAATAACATTGAAAACTTTGTTCTTTCTTGATACTTTATTGTTCATTTCCACAAAAGGGTATTTTACTTAAATGCACAATGGAAAACTCGTTTGTCGAATACTTAGATGAATTCAATTTACCTGCCGTAATTTTTACATTCATGGTATTAGGAAATTAACCACAACATCTTTCTTTCTTGTTGTCAATGATGAACATAAAAACGAGATAAATAAAAATATCACTGGACCATGTACAATTTTATTCGTTCATTTTTTAGAAAAAATGCTGTTATTAATGCAAAGCTGGAAGGTAAATAATAATTACCAGTGCATATGACATCAACTGAGCAAAAACAGTGTTGAATCTTCCAACAATTGAATAGGTTCGGCTGTCAAAGAGAAAAATGGCGGCAATAAAATTGATGTTAATTTATAGCACATTAAGTAATGAACACATTCATTGTTAACAGATTGTAACATTATGGACAATGCATATAAGCCTAGAACAATTGGAAGATGAGTATTGAATAAGTAATTCTTCATTTGAGATATAATATTGAAAGTTTTACATTTATCTAAGGAAATAGTAAACAAGATAATCTTTAGTTTATAAATTGCTATCATATAATACAAAATTATTTCCATATTTTATAAATTTATTTCGATTACGACATCATAAAAGCAATCATAAATGCAACCTTGCTATAATTACCTGTGCAAAATGATTATAACAATAATTACCTGTGCAAAATGAGAGTTTGATGGGATATAAAATCCTTGCAGTATATATAATATGCATTTCATAAATTCTTACAACATTCCAATGATTTTACAGTCAGTGTAAAGAACAGAATATTCTAGTACATATCACTGTTCAAATTTCAATTCCCTTCAGTATTTTTTTTTTAGCAATTATTGTTAGGCGTAATACATAGCATCCTCATGCTGAATCTGTTTGAGCTATTGATCATTGATTTGATCTCAAAAGATATCCATTAATTTGTTTTAATCGGTTTGTATTTTAAGGATTTTTGTCATGAAAAGCATATTATGGAGTATATTTTACTACTGTCACCACATTTGCAAAACATTTCTTGAAGTAGAAGAAGGCAGATGTTGTGGTAGTATGATATGGATCAATCGTACAGAATCAAACATGAAAGAGGTTTATGGATGAAGAATGCTTAAAAATTCATTCAATGCGCAAAAATCTAATACGCTTTTTTCTCTTAGAATGCATTACATTAATCGATTTATCTTACATAATGATATAGATCAGATATTCATTCAAAACTTCACAGACCATAAGATTATGCAGAGAAGCTGTTCAAATTTTACATTCTTAATCTATAAAATGCATACGTCCGAGCAATGCAATTCGATTATCAACAAATATTCAGTTTTCATTTGGAATTGAAGCTAATCGATCTTCAAACGTTTTGCAGTTCTAATTTGGAAAATGTAAGCATTCTGGTAGGAAGAATGATTGTGAGAAATAATTTAGAAGTGGAGACTTGATTAAACAAGAAAATGTTGGTCTTAAATTACAGTTGCGGACTTTCTTAGCAAATCTTTCTCATTATATTTTTATAACAGGATTCAAATTTTGGTTTGCTGTTTGTGATTATTGTCAGCACATTTTCAAATTTTCACTGACTTATACAACAAAATAGACAGAAGATAATAAACAATATATTTGCTTTCACTCAATAAATTTATGTTATATGTCATGAAAAAATTTGAAGATTTAAAAATATTATTTTTTGGGAGACGTTTTTGATTTCGGGGAGATTTGCTGAATGAGGTGTGGAATAACGGAGGAATATAATAATTCCTTTATTAGCAGGAATAATTATACAATAATTTGACAGAGACGAATCGTAGTTGTATCACAAACTTGTGAGAGGCGAATACGTAATCGTAGTCCCAGAACTTGTCGAGAGGCGAACACTCGTTGACCTATCTTTATTCCTTTTTGCTGCCTTTTTTGGCGTTTATTAGTGATTTAAAATAATGGCGTCTTATTAGTGATCTCCTTATAGCAAGCAATATGAATAAACAATATGAAAAAATATGTAGTGGGTAAAAAATATTATATGATAGCCCTGCTAACGAGTAATCGGTCTTAAAACAAAAGGTTCAAGGTATAAACATTACTTGTAAAACTTCATATAACGTATTTCTTACTCTGATATAGTAGTTTAGTATTTCGCGACACTATATAGTACGATAATGGAATTGGTCATGTGAAATTTCATGACTGGGACCGATCTGTGTGTGTTCATTCAGACCAATGCCACCTCTGTCACTGCTTTCATTTCTCGGTCCTTTCTTGCATCCTGCTTAAAGGTAACATTAACGTTGTTACAGACCTATGAACTACTAAAATGCGCACGCCTTAGGATTTATCATGTATTTATGTGGTGTCTTATCCAATACTTTTACAGTAATGCTGTTTCAGAAGCAATGTTTCAAAGTATCTTTTAGGTTTGTATTAACCGCGAAAAACATTTTACACCTTAATGTAAGGTCATAACTGAATATTTATGAAGGAATTTTTCAATCTTTTATTACTATTGTTCTCAGTCTTTTCAGAGAATTTCTCAGGGGATTCGCGGTACAGAATTCCTACCGTAAGAAAACAAAAAGACCTGGTCAAAAATTGCAAAGTGATGAGCACACTATGTATCTTGAAATAATTCAGATTTTTCTAAAGTAAAGCGCTTTGCCATGATCTCCGTTACTTTTGCTTCAGGCTTCAGATCACAATTCTCTTCGTAAAGTTTCCACTAAAACTGTAGAAATAAATTTTGAAATCAAATTTTTTAAGAAAATCCTTGATGACTGCGCCTTGCGTCATAAAGGATTTTTGACTCAATCTGATCTCTTGTAAAAAATGCGCTTCCATAAATTCCGAAATCCAAAGTTATTGAATTTTTACATCACAGATTACCATTTCAATGTTAAGAAGTATTTTGTGACCTATGACGTTTTCCTGACCGTCAAAATATTTCTACGAATGCTAATAAAAATTCTAAATAAATTTTATACTTCATACTCAACAAATAACATTAACTATTACAGTTTAAAATAAGCAAAACAACAAAGGGAAAAAATCATACGAACAGCAATTCCGGTTCACATTTTCGGCAATATTTCAAACGATGTAGTGTTGACCGATGACACTACTGAAAATGCAGTTGCAGTTTTGATCATGCAGGAGTGGATTAATCGAAGACCAAATGTGCAAAAAAATGAATTTAAATTAAATGTGCAAAAAAATGAAACTTCCAGTCATTTAAAATGAAACTTAACATCAAATGTAAAGCCTTACCGCCTTTGCCAGTCTTTTCTCGCTGACCGTCAGCCCTTCCTCATCTAACCACCCAACCTTTCTTTTCGCTTCTTTTTTCAGCTCTTTCTATACCTTTTCTAAAAATTTTCTTGAAACTCTCCTTCCCAAACCTTCCTTTGAACTCTTTTAACGACTAACCAATTTCTTCTTTCTATAATGTTTTCTGCTTTTTAACTTCTCTTTAACTTTTTCTTTTTTTTTTTTTGACTTCTTTCAAACTTTCTTTTTTGAACTTTTCTTTTAGCTTCGTTTATGATTTATTTCTTCGTCTAATTTTTTTCTTTCTCTAACCCTTTCCTTTTTTAAAATTTTTTCCTTCCTCCATTTCTTTTATTTCTTTCCTTTCCCAATTTTTTCTTCTCTTAATTTTTTTTTAAGACCCCTCTGAAATTTTATTTTTTCCAACTTTCCTTTTAACTTTTTTAATGATTCGTTTCGCCCTTTAACTTTTTCATCTCATAATTTTTTCTAAATCTTTTCTCCTTATTTTTTTTCAACTTTCTCTTTAAATTTTTCCTTTCCTCAATTTCTTTTATTTCTTCCTTTTTTTAATTTTTTCTTTTTATTTTCTTTTTTATTATCCTATCCTGTGGCTTAGTTCAAGAAGCTTATTCAACTGCATACGATCCTATCATCAGCTGGAGTATTTGCTCCTTGTACGCAATCTCCGCATAACCAAGAAACTGCTTCATTCTTAACAGAAGAATAAAATGTGGTACTGATTATATTTTGACCCAAATGGTTCAACATCTTCAGCAACAATGTAACAAGAAGAAATAGTATTTACATTCACCAACTGTGGTTCACTTATAGAATCCATCGACTCTCATTATTCAACTCTTCCTTATGCACATTGATACAGGAAAAATATCCGGTAGTTTAGACAGCATATTAGTAAAATGCAGTCCAACATTTGAACTTACTGTTACACACTGTCGTGAAAGACGAAATATTTAAATTATTATATCCAAAACTAACAAATT